TATATATATATATTCGAGCGGAAATGATTTGAACACGAACAAACATATCTTTGTTCGTGTTCAGCTCGTTTATATATCGAGTACAGAAAAATTTTTTAGTTCGACTGGTTTGCTTAGCGAATGAATCTAACACGAGCTACCTAATGAACCAAACACGAGTTGTTTGCGAAGAATGATATTTTGACAGCCATAGCCTATAGATCTCAAATTCATGCCATGATCTTACCAAGTGTTGGGTATTCGGTTTTAGCTGTCTGCAGTCTCTTTGCTTAAGTCAAAGCAGACATCATCCATCATGACTCAATGACATGTGTGATATCTTTACTGTTCTCTCTCTCAATGACCGATATGTCATGGCATACTCCACATGAATAATTGCCTTGCAAGACACACTGTCTCAAACTCTTTTAGGAGATTCTTTATTCGGACAACTTGATTGTCAATCTCAATATAAGTATTCGACGAGTGTTAAGTAAACCACTTGAGAGCTTTGAAGCATATATCAAACTCATCATGCACTACATCAACATATCACGATGTCTTCCGACTCCGTACAAAGGTTAGGTAATGTGCCTTGATCCATACAACAAGACTCCTGTGTCTACGGATAAAAAATTTAGCATCCCAAAACATCATTTCTCTATATGATAACTCTGCATTGTCCAAGCCAAAGTGCCAAAAAAATTTGGGGTGGCATTTACGTCGGTAGTAAAACGGTCAAAAGTCTAAAGTGATCTTGAATTTAGCGTGAATGTTAGATTCCACAGAAATACCAAGTTGTATTCTTGCATATTCGTGCATCTTAATCAATAGATGAAAAACCTCGACAATGAATCTTTGATTCATAGTTTTCTCCTCAAAGCTTTATACAAGAAATCAAAGAAAAATAATAATAAGTGTTAATATATGATAATATAGATGTGTGCATGTTAAAGTGAAAAGAAGTTTTACTAGTGCTTGATCTTTTAGTATTTGGTGGAGGGCTACTTTGAAGAGGCATCCTAGGTCTCGTAGCCAAGTTAAGAGCTATCGGGATTGGTGTTGGTGTATCGTGCACTTCCATAGGTGGTGGTGTTCTCACTTTAGAAGACTCGCCTGACCAGAATGATAAAAAAATAATTATGGGAAAAAAGTATATAAACGAAACACTTGTATCAACTGCAACAGGATCAAACATATTTATAGATGATGGAGTTCCACCAAAGCCTAAAAAAGACTACATTGAATGACATCCTGGAATTGAAAAAACCTTATCTGAAGTTAAAAGCCACAGCGGAATAGGACTGACATTATTCACTATAGAAGCACGAGGAGGCTCTATATGCCGAGATCACACTTGTCTATCTGATGATGAAGCTACCTCAATGCGATATATAGACATCTCCTTTGTTTGCAGCCTGATCGATGGGAGAGTATCACTTTCATTCATAATAGGCTCACTGCCCCTTTTAATTGCATCCATGGTAAGATAATGAATAAAGATGACTAAAATGGTTAATATAAAAGTAGAAATTAGTTTTTATTTTAAATAATAATAGAAAAATAATGTTCATTTAACTCTACCATCTCTGTTTTACGAGGAGACTCGCCAAAGCTTCTAGATGCATGAAACCACCAATAGCCTAACTTGACGTTTGATTTCGAACACCACATTTTAAGAAGGGTGCAAAAGATTGTCTAACCCAAATCAGACAGATATAACTAATATCAATGAGTTATCATGAAATGCGAAATCGAGAACGAGTGCTTAGTTAAAGTAGATACACCGACATCATTGAAGCTACATAAAATTGGGTCTCAACTGACATTGAATATGTTTGTAGAATATCAACAATCCTTGGAATAAAGGACCTTCCATCATACGTTGTTACCTGTGAATATTCAAATTGGCAAGCTGCCCGACTGACTCTTCAAAATAATCAAATGACTAAATCGACAATATAACTTGTTCGAGCACATGCTAATAAAGCACTCATCAAATTTTAAGGTTCGCCTATTATGAAGTAATGTGCATTTATCTCTCACGTTAAGCCTGTTTGTGATCTTCATCTCAGATCATACGGAAGATCGAGTGCGTTTGACTAACAAACCAATGAAAATTCTTCACAACTAAGTGTGGAAGCAAATAAAAATTTGTGCATATGCTCTTCAAAGTAGATGGTGCTTGTGATAGCCGTATGACTATAGGATATTCTTTCTATATGAAAAGTGAAGTGCACTCCAAACAAGTCAGAGCTCCATGAAGGTGAAGGTGTATACAAATATATATGTATTTCCAAGGCAAAGCTAATATGATGGGATGTTCGAGATAATTCTCAGAACTACCGGTGGGTCCCACTTGGATTAAATAAATCATGTGCAGTCTAAATTTATCGCCCAAGTATAACAAAAAATTGTAGATGGCACAATAGTATTAGAATCTAACATAAAATCTAAGTAAAAGTTGCGAGTTAGTTTCTAGTTTATTCTTATTCATCACCAGATATGTAACACACATATAAGCGGACAAAAGATGAGCTTTGGTGAATTTAATTGAAGTCTAGAATGCGCAAAACACTTGTGCAAGCCTTTAAAAATTTGAGCTGATTTAAGGACTTGCACGAATTATGAGATCATTGGTTAGTTTAAATGAATTGCTCTGAATTTATGCTATGGTCTCAAAAAGCGTAATCTACTTTAAAAGCACATACTCGATCAATTTTTTTAAAATATGTGCATGTATCACAAGCAATTTTTATAATTTTTAAATGCACTGAGATACATGCATGGACAAAAAGGATTCATGTAGCCGACCCCACGTAGTGGGATTAAGGCTTTGTTGTTGTTCTTGTTGTTGTTGAGATACATGCATAGTAATAAGTTACAAGCTTGCATGGGCTTCAACCAATGTATATGATGCTCAAATATTTGGTTAAATAAAATTGTATGAGTTGATTTTAAGTTTTAGTTAAATTATAATTTACCTCAAGAAGTATCTAATTTATGTAAAAATATATAAATACTTTGAGTTTTATAAATTATTTCTTTTCAATATTAGATTTGAAATGCCAAAATATACATTCTCAAGCTAGCCGCTCTATCTATAGGGCTGAGCAGTCCGATTGTCCTCCTCATTGTGATTGGAGTTGACAACTACGTCCCACTTTAGCTAGTCCGATCGTCCTTCTTATAAAGATTAGAGTTGACAAGACTGAGCTGCCATCTAAGCTAGTTTGATTCTCCTTCTCACTAGAACTGGAGTTGACATTATTATGTTATATGATATTAAACCATGAGTTCCAATTAAACTTAAATATGAATATTTCAAACGCTTCAATCAATTTCTTAACAATAACGCAGTTGATAGAAGATTTAAATTAGAGTGTCCACTTTCGAAATGAAAGTTTGGGCGACATCATCTATTATAGTAACATACTAAGTGCGCCAACAATGATATTGATATAGAAAAGGATGACTTATGAACTCAAAATAAAAAATTTAAAATAGAGTTGAAATGATATAGTAAATATATAATATAGAATTATCATGTACACTTGAAGATAAATTTTATCAGTTGCAATTGTATAGACTATATTGTATGGTTCTTTAGGTAAACCACTAGTAACCGAGTTGAATATAGAAGAGATGGGAAGTTCACAGATGAATGTGACAAAATTAGGAAATATAAAGTGAGAATTGCAATATTTTGTAAGAGTTGCAGATATTGATAAAAAGTTGTTGAGAGTAAACTCAAATTGTCTCTGCATTTGAAGTTGATTGCTAAAAATACATAAATAATTCGGTAAATGGAATTGATATTTAATTTTTAGGAAAAAATATGAGTCAATTAAACTTACATAGCTAGATTTTGTGTAAAAACAGTCATGTAAGCACGAGTAACAGTCAAAATTAATGAAGGTAGTTTATTTCAACTCAAGGAAACGGCTGGTTTTTTCTCTGTTATTTTCTTATCCAGAAAATCACTACTTGCGCTTTAAGCACATTTTTCTAGTCAATATAAAGCCAAAGGCAGTGTTTGGTTGAAATTTAATTTTAGGTTAAATAGGATTTATCAATTACAGTAAATTCAAATTTATTAAACCCTATGCAACAGAGAGAGCTTGCGAGCAACGACGGAGCAAATCCCTTAAATTTGCCTCTCAATGAGATTTATTAAATCCGGATTTATGTTATAAAAAACTTTGAACTTGAGAAATTTTGATTTAACGGAGTGTTCAATTTAATTATTATTTTTTTGATATTTGGCTGGATTTACTTTAAATTCATGCCTAAAACCTGTTAAAACCATGCTGTCAAACAGCCCCAAAATGTTGAGAATTGAGAATGATAACACATTGCTTGAAAGCTTTTTATTTCCCTGTGTTTGGTTTTAATGATAATATTTGATGACTTTGAGCCTTTTTTTGTTACCTAGTGGCTATTCTTTGTTGAGAGATCCACACCATAATAAAGGGCTTGCCTTTGGCGAGAAAGAGAGAGATGCACACTACTTACGAGGACTCTTACCTCCCGTATGCATCAGTCAGGAACTACAGGTGTTTCCCCATCTCTTTTAAAAGCAATCATTTGAAATTGTTTCTTAAATTCATTTTTATTAATTTAGGAGCATTTACATTCATACCACACAATATTTATGTATTTATATATTTATTACCCAAATTTTAATATTTATATACATAACACTCAAATCTTTAATATTATATCAAAAATATCACTATCACTATTTTTCATACGTAAAATACACTTTTTTCATACATAAGTTTATCACACGAAGGTGCTATAATTATAAATATGAAATTTTTGGTGTTAGATATGTAAATACATAAGAATTGTGTATTTCACAATCTTCGTAGATTTCACTTTTATTTATTCATTCATCTTTATTGTGTAGGAAAAGAAACTTATTCACAATCTTCGTCAGTATCAAGTTCCTCTGCAGCGATACATGGCATTGATGGACCTTCAGGTTCTTTTTGTTATTGTTATTGTTTGAGTTTCTTTACTAATGATACTTATTTGTTATAATTGAGTTTTACCATCACTTTTGCAGGAGAGAAATGAGAAGCTTTTCTACAAACTTCTTATAGATAATGTTGAAGAGTTGTTGCCAGTTGTTTATACACCAACTGTTGGGGAAGCTTGTCAGAAATACGGTGGCATCTTTAGGCGTCCACAAGGTCTTTACATCAGTTTGAAGGAAAGGTACGAGGTTTCATAACCTGGTTACCCTTTTTTTTCTATGTATTTTTATAATTTTTTTTTTGTTCATATTTTTGTGGGGCTTTCAGTGGTAAGATCTTAGAGGTATTGAAGAACTGGCCTGAGAGGAGAATTCAGGTTATAGTGGTCACTGATGGCGAGCGAATCTTGGGACTTGGAGACCTTGGCTGCCAGGTAGAATTTTAACCATGTTTTGTGTTTAATACTACTTGATCAATGAGTGTATTATATTAAAAAAGGAAAAAAATTCTTAAATTTACTCAGGGAATGGGGATTCCCGTTGGAAAGCTCTCTCTTTATTCCGCTCTTGGAGGAATTCGTCCATCTGCAGTAAGTATCTCTTAATGATATTCCCAATGTCTTGTTGCTAATTCAGTAAATTCTTTAATGTTTCTCATTTCAATTCTTTCCAGTGCTTACCCGTTACGATTGATGTGGGGACAAACAATGAGCAATTACTGAATGATGAGTTCTATATTGGATTGAGACAGAGGCGCGCAACTGGGAAGGTATGCTGTAACTATCTAAGTGAGTAAAATGCCAAAATAGTCCATTATGTCAAATTAGTCCCCGGACTTTAAATTGGGGTGTGGGCTCCGAAAATTCAAACGCTCTAGACTCTCACATTTCTTGTGTGTTGATAGAGTATTGGGGGTCAAATTTTTAGAAGATAGATTGAATTTTAGATAAGACATTACCCAAAAATTTTGTTTTCATTTTGCGAGGAATTTTTGATATGTGGTTTGAGCTTTCACATAGACGCAAATCTTTATTGTTAATTACCTCTCCCGATTTGAGGAGAGTGCTTTCAATTAAGTTTGATCATTTAGAGTTAAATATTTAACATTTAGTTGCAACATATATATGGTTTTAAGTTATAAAATTTATCATATGGGGCTTAAGGCGGATGTGGGAGAAATGATGGTGAACCGGGTCAAGATCTCATGGTTTCGTCGGCTTGAGTCATGTGGTTCTCGATCTACTTAATCAAACAACCAAATCCGACTAAATGATTTTTTTCAGCAATCATGGGCTGCATCTTTTAAGGGATTTTTATAGATCTGGGGTGAAAGTTTGTCTAAGGAACAAGTTTGAGTCGACGTTACCTGATAAGTCTTTATGATAGTCAGTTGTACAATTACATTTCACTATTGAAAGAGTATAAAATTGTTTGGGAACATACGAGATGCAGCCATAATTGTAATATAATTGTTTTATTTTGCGGCAATCACCCGGTTAGAGGACTCTGGTCATAATTTCTGCTTTGTTGTGTCATTTGATGGTAAAATTATGGGGACGGAGGACTCAGGAAACATTCTTACTAACATGAGATTGTTTTGAGTGCAACTATAATGATACAAATATTCACTCTTTGTGAGGTGAAATCAATCAGAAGTTTGCCACCTTTGACAAAATGTTACGGAGAGTGGGCGAATTTTTTTTTTTTAAAATTTTTGAATGATTGATTTTAATTTGAATATTTTGATTTATTTTATTTAAGTTTTTGTATGATTGGTTTTAATTTCAGTGCTTTGATTTGTGTTTTAAGAATTTGATTTAAAAATTGATTTGAAACTCGACTCCTCTGATTGAAATCTTCAGTTAACACTAATATCGGGAATTTAATTGTTTGATCTGAATCTTAGCTACTTCTTTCTAGCAAAGGATTTGATGTAACATGAACAGATGATTGTACTCGAACCTTGTCAATTCTACTCTACTTACGGAGGGTCTGGCTCAAGATTGTTACCTTAATTGGCTTTCAACATTGTCAACTCTTTCTTATTTAAAGAAGATCAAATTCATAATTTAAATCATTTGAATTTATTACAATATACTTTCAAATTCAATTTTGAAAATATATTTCTCTAATTGAAATTTTTTATCGACTCGGTGATCATCGAAGAATTTGACATTTAAAACTTTTATGTTTAAGGTTCATTTGACATTTTTCAATTTTGATATATTTAATATATTAGTCACGTCTACTCCAGTTTTGATGGGATCGATCTAGATGATTTGAACTTGTAAATTTTTATACTTATGATTTTTCAATTTAGATTCATCAACTTAAGTTCTTACGGGGAGGATCTGATTAGTTGGGTGAGACTTACATTCATATTTTTAAGATAAAACGACCAGTGTGGATTTATAATTTTGAGATTGTACACACACATTTCAACATATACATATTATGCATTTTATATAAATATTAGCACACATATGATCATAGTATTTTATGTCATTTCATGTATTATAACATGATGCTTAATGCATTTACAAAGTGCAAATACATAATATTTTATATATATCAAGGCAATATGATGCTTGACTTATTCATAGCAAATGCATATTTTAAAATACTCTTTAACATTTTTTGAGGCAGAATTTTAGAGTTAGAAAATCCATGAAGCACAAATGCAAGATTTTAAAAATCATTTAGAATTTGAAATGCATGCGTGGATCGTACACAGTTTCATTTTGGGCTTTAAAGAGAATTGTCTTATGTTCACTTGCACAATTGTTATGAATCCGATGGCGATTCTCATATTAGATCTTTATTTATTTTAGCATTTAAAAAAGAAATTTATGTATTAAGCTTAGCTCCAGCTAATGATATTTCATATTCAAGTCGAGCTTACTCCCCCATTTATGATATCACATATTCAAGTCAAGCTTAGCCGCGATTTATGATATTTCATATTCAAGACAAGCTTAGCCTCCTATTTATCACGTTTCATATTTAAGACAAGCTTAGCCTTGAATATATGATATTTCATATTAAGTCAATTAACAAATATTCACAATACAAATAAGTTATTTTTGCAAATTCAAATCACCAAAAATTTCCGCAACCATCGGTACAGTCCCCGCTAAGGGGGCTTCTTCGGGATATTTGGCCTGCTCAACTGTCTATAAAGCGCATGGGTTAGTGTCATGAGATGTTGCGTTCGGAAGAGATTTTTCCAATCCATTGGCCTATAAGATGCTTGTGGACCTTCACTCAACTTGCATGAAAGTGATGCAATCATAATTTTTCTACATTATATTTTTGCTTGTGAGGCAACGACTAATGATGAAATGAGATCTGCGAGCTAATAAATCACCACCCAATTATCTCATATCTCTTCTCTTTCTCCTTTTTTTTTTACTCTCTCTCTCCTAATTTAGTTTTTTTCTGTGCGTTGGCTTGAAAAAATGAGAGAGGCTCTCTTTATTTTTTTTGTGCCTTGGCTTGAGAAAATGGAAGAGGCTCTCTCTCTCCCTTTTTTTTTTTGGGTGGCTTGAACATAAAGAAAGAGGACTAACGGGTTGGGCTCGGGTAATGTGGGTGCTCGGAATTTCAGTGGCCCGTGGTTGCCTTCCCAAGTAGCCCTCGTAACTACTGTATCGTAGAGGCAAGCAAACCATAAGGGTTTTTTTTTTTCGGACTGAGTGGGCTGTAAATGAACCAATGCACTCGATGAACAACTTGAACTCTACTAGATTAAGACTCGATCATGTTCCTTCAAATTAGTAAATAAACAAGCTTGAACAAATATTAAAAGCTCAAAGTTTAAACAAATTGAATATGAACATAATCTTGTTTATTTGTTTATGTTCACAAACAAACTCGTTTGTCGTTCAACAAGTAACTTATTAAATACTTGTCATTAAGCTCGATAATAACTTATATTTATATATGATATATTATTTAAATAAATTTTAATTAGTTATAATTTATTTAATTATAGATTTAATAGTAATATATTATTATATCAATAATATTTTTAAATTAATTTTTTAATTATATATTTATTTTATTAGTAAGTGAATGATAATTTATAATGAGATATTTACGGTTAAAGTTAGTGTAATAAAAGATTTTTCTCGTAGAGTTTTTATAACCTTGAATATGATAAGTTCATTTTTTATGACCATAACACTGCAATTGCCAACAACATTAATGTCGATTGCCTTATTTTTATTATTTTCTTATTAATTTGATTAAGCAATTGATCATCTCCATAAGTTTTAGGATCAATTTAGTTTTTGCACTTACAAAATTTGAACCAGTGCAGTAATATTAATAAGAATTAGGTAGCTAATTGGTAAAGTTTAAATATTTTGGAGTTCATGATTAACAAATTAGTAGTTGCGATTAGAATTGCAAAATTATTTATTAAATTTTTTTAATGAAAATTTGGATTCTTGTTCGAATTTTTAGCTCTTTTAAATATTTATTCACTTGTCATAAATAAATCAAATACAAATCAAGTTCAAATATGAAAAAACTAAAACAAATCAAGCTTGAACAATATATAAAAGCTCGACACAAGCTCAAGTAAGGGTGTAAACGAGTCGAGTCGAGATCGAGCTACCCTCGACTTGAGCTTGAGCTCGATTAATTTTATCGAGTTTGAGCTCGAGCCCAAGCTTAAGTTTACGTGTTTGAATTGGCTCGCGAGCCGACTTTTTTAATATGAAAGAGAAAAGACGATATTAATTTAAGCCAACTTTATATAGTAAGATGCTAAATATAATGAATAATCAGGAGATAAATAATATGAAATCACGTAATATCCCTATGAAATATTATTTTTTTAATATTTTTTAAACTTTAGAGAAAAAATCTTAAAATTTAATATATTTTGACTTGAGCTTTGCTTGTTAGCTCATGGAGCTCAGTTCCCGAGCCACTTATGAAGCCGAGTTAGAGCTGACTCATAAGTCGGCTTGACTCACTCTAAGAGTTTGTTTAGTGTAGCTACAACTTATTAATGTACTGCTAATAAACAACTGATCCAAATAAGCTGTTGATTAGCAGCTGATTCGGATAAGCTGGTTGGCTGTTTGTCTTGTTGAAAAATATATGTTTTTGAATAAATGATCATTCTGCTATTGTACAGTAATGTTTTTTACAACGAAATTGTCATAATAATATATTTAATATTTGAAAAGTAATAAAACACTTCAGAATAGTACAAAAATAAGATATACCTTGCTTAACAGTGAGTGTCGAGATTGCTAAAAAAAGTGCTAGAAGAAGCGATGTGGGAAGATTTGTGAGGCAAAGATGAATACTGAAGTTTCGAAGATCTTTATATGCCACTATCCCGTCGTTGCTTTCCCGCTACCTCTGTCAAGCTGGTTCGTGAATCACTACACGAGGAAGGAAGACAGGCGAAATGCCTGCAACAAAAGAATGAACAGAGAAATTAAAAGTTTCAGATGTCTTTCCTTGCGGCGATTCTATCGTTGCCTTCATAGCTAGCCCTTTTCGCGGCTATATTGTGAAATTTGGTGACGAAAGATGATTCAGGCGAACAGAAGAGGATCTGGCTTCGTTGGAGTGACAAAACAACAGGAAAGAAAGTGAGGGATTCAGTCTGCTTGTGCTCGGCAGCTAGAGGGAGTTACAAAGGTCTTTGTACGCTGTTATCCGGTTGTTGCTTTCCCTACTTGCCTTAATCGCGAATGTATTGCAAGAAGACCTCGAAGGGGAAGGGCTTCGAATTGGAGTAAGGAAGATGGTTACGCCTTCATTGGAAGGGTGGAGCGAGCTCTTATGTTGTGTGGTTTTCCTCAAGAGTCCCCCAGCTTGTTGTTTTCTGATTAGTATATGAGCATGGGAGCAGTTTGTTCGACATGCTGGGCGGGAGTATTTAGAGGCTTTATTTATTTTAATTTAGGAGTTTTTATATATAAAAGCTCGTAAATAGTGTTATTTACATATAAAGGATTCCAAAGATTAAAATTACAAATAAAGATTCCCGCTTCTAACTTTCGATCCCTTTGCTCCCACTGGAGCTTTAATGGCAGTAAACACCGTTGATAGAGTTCAACTGCCACCAACAACCACTCATGCCAGCATCAGCTTTTTTTCCAACACATCCTCTTCTTCATCATCTGATTTTAATGCTGAGAACATCGATGACGGCGGCGCCGACGAGCTTCCAGACGACAGTAGGAAGATGAAGTGGGAAGGATGGCCGTGCGGGAATAGAAAAATCATAGTTTTTTTTGAGAAACTAATGAAGCAGCTGATCGAACGTCAGAAAACAATGCAGCAGAGGTTCTTAGATACAATCGAGAAGTGTGAGCAGGATCGAATGGCGAGGGATGAGGCGTGGAAACGCCAGGAGATGGTTCGGCTTTACCACGAGTATGAGCTTATGGTGCAAGAGTGCGCCGTTATCTCCTTTTTGGAGAAGTTCACCGGCGGCGTAACTAATCCGACAATGGAGCAACCTTCGGAGGCCAGTGAATTGGAAAATGAAGGGGATAAGGAAGAGAGGAAGAGGTAACGTTTCATGGCGGAGATAGTTAATTGGGCTTTGGAGGTGGAGTTGAAGAGGAAGAAGTGGAGGCAGAGGATGTAGAAAGCATTGGGGTCGATGTTGAAGCTGTAGTGAAGAGGTGGACAGGTTGGCTGGAGAAACACCGTCAACAATAACCTTTATCTGTAAGTTTAATTTTTGGAAGCTTTTATGGCTAAATAATATTTTTCAAGAGTCTCTCTATATAAAAACCCCTTTAATTAATTTTTTTTGTGGTTAACATGAACTGAAACAGCCTTTCATGAGTAAGTTCAAATTTATAAAATCCGGTGTTGTTAAATCCAAGGAATTTTTTTGGTATGATTTAACTTAAATTCACTTAAACTTCTATCATATTTGACATTTTATCATGATCTTTTTTTTTTTTTTTTGTGTGCACTAAATCCGTTAAATCCAACTAAAAATCAGATTTAGTCAATCCAGATTTACATCAAATAATTAAATGAGGGAGAGAAATTTGGATTTAACATATGTCCAATTTTTTTTTTTTTCTTGCATTTGGGCAGATTTACGCTCAAATCGCCTGTAAATCCTATTGATTTTATGCTACCAAACACTACCTAAGAGAGTTTGAGGACCATACTAACAATTTATAGACTCTTGGGCTAAAATAATCCCCTGTAAGAGAGTTATGAAACCTTTCTCGGTTGAAGCCAAGCATGAGTAATGACTTTCCTAATTAAATTAGCAACTCTTCCCTTTCCTCTTTTGTTTAGGAATATTCTGAACTGCTCCATGAATTCATGCGCGCTGTTAAGCAAAATTATGGGGAAAAGGTTCTCATCCAGGTTAGCTTTTAATCAAGCTAAAGTACTTCATATGTTGATATTGATTATTTTTGAACCCAAGTGCGTATGCTCTTTCAGTTTGAAGACTTTGCCAATCATAACGCATTTGAATTGCTTGCCAAGTATGGAACAACTCATCTTGTGTTTAATGATGATATTCAGGTAAGAAGAAAACATTCTCCACCTTCATCTTTTACTTGAACGATTAATTATCATGTTCTTGGATTGAATATTCATCATTAAAGTCTTGTGAATCTTTAATTATTTAACAGTGGTTTGTTTGATTGTTGCAGGGGACAGCTTCTGTAGTACTTGCTGGGGTTGTTGCGGCATTTAAGTTAGTCGGTGGAACTATAGCAGAACACACTTTCTTATTTTTTGGTGCTGGAGAGGTTCTCTTTTGCTTTATTTCTTGTTTGAAAGCTCAGTATTTTGGAATCATGAAGCTGTTACTGGTTCAGACATGCTTTCGTTTCCAGAAAAGTGTTTAAATGATTATCCTACTCTTAGCAGAGATCATTTCAGTACCAGAGATTATAATGTTAATTTAGTTCCCAAACTTATTTAATGAGTTGAAATAGTCCATAGTTAGGACTATTTTATCCATCATTAAAATAAGTATGGAGACTAATTTAGCACTTTTATAAACTTTGGTATTAAAACGATCATTTTTAAATAGTTAAGAGAATATTTTGACACTTTACTCATTTTTTTTTTCTTTTTTCATTAATTAGGCTTTAGAGTTGGTTTCAAAACATTTTTTCCATTATCCAATTGTGTCCTGGATTTTGTTAGCGTCTATGTTGTAGGCTATTTTATTGCCTATCTCGCGAATTTCTCTTCTGTGAAATTTTATACTAATCTAATGGCTTTTAGGCTGGTACTGGAATAGCTGAACTTATAGCACTGGAGATTTCAAAGCAGGTATCATTCATTTATCATTCAATTTTGAGCTTTTAATGAATTTACTACTTATTCACCCCGGGAAAGTTCTTACTCCTGTCCTTTTATGGTTTATTTTTTGGATCCAACCTGTACTTTCCAAAAAATTATAATGTCATTTTTGCAGGCTAAGGCTCCTGTGGAAGAAACTCGGAAGAAGATTTGGCTCGTGGACTCTAAGGTTGATTAAGATGATTTAGATTTCAAGACTTTGATATTCAAACCATATATCTTCTCATGAGCTCTCTTCGATTTAATCTAACTGTTGTCTCGACTTACATTTTGAAGGGGCTGATTGTAAAATCGCGCAAGGAATCACTTCAACACTTCAAGAAACCTTGGGCACATGAGCACGAGCCTGTTGGTAGTCTCTTGGATGCTGTCAATGTGTGTTGATTCCCACAATTTCTTTCTCTTGTCCTTTTTTGTTTAGGACGATTTACAAACATATCACCAAGTTTCTATGTATTTACATGTCTAACACCTAAATTTTAATTTTTATTTACATGTCATCTTACCTATGCTTGAAAAGGTGTATTTCACATTTTAAAATTTAATATGATGATATTTTTTTATGTGATATGAAAATTTTCAGTGATATATATGCAAAAAATAAAATTTGTATGTTAGGTATGTACATACAAAGCAATTGAGTGGTATGCATGTAAATGCCGCTTTTGTTTATTGTTGTGTTGCAAGCCTAATTTTTTATATTGACCACATGAATAGTCACTGAAATTCCTTTTTTCCCCCTTATTTTCCTGCTTAGACTATCAAACCAACAGTTCTAATAGGATCAGCTGGTGTGGGCAAGACATTCACAAAGGAGGTTGTTGAAGCAATGGCTTCCTTTAATGAGGTATTAAGTGCCACCTTTTGTTCCAAGTACACTTTTTTTTAAGTTTATTTCATTAGATTAAATTGCCAAAATGGTCCTCTGACTCTTTGTAGTGGGTCATTTTAGTCCCAGAGTCTATAATGATGTCAATTTAGTCTCCCAGACTCCCCATTAAATGAGTCTACGAACTAAATTGGCACTAGTATCGACTCTAAGACTAAAAATGGTCCCCTGGAAAGAATTGACTGACCATTTAAGCACTTTTCTCTATCTCACTAAGAGAAAAGTGTCAAAATAATCCATTAACGCTTTGCAATGGGCCATTTTAATGCCAGAGCTAAACTGTCAAATTAGTCCCCTGTCTCATTTAATATGGGCTGAAATAATCCTTATAGATTATTACTTCAGCCCCAATTTAAGTGTCTGGGAATTAATTTGATACTTGTATCTAAAATGAGCCCATGTAAGCAGTATGGGACTTTTAGCACTTTTCTGGTTTCATTAATTAGCTTTTCATTTGAGGAAAAATTCTCAAATCAATCTATTGAATAAAAATGCAGAAACCAATCATTCTAGCTCTATCAAATCCGACATCTCAGTCCGAGTGTACTGCCGAGGAAGCTTACACTTGGAGTAAGGTACTGCTCATTGTCAACTATCGGTATTATACCAAAATTGACGTTCTAAGAGAGAACACATTCTAATACTAATTATTGTTCGTAGGGCCGTGCATTGTTTGCGAGTGGTAGTCCTTTTGATCCCTTTGAACTTGATGGCAAGTTATATGTGCCTGGCCAGGTTTTGCACAAATTCTTTCTCCCTTATATTTTAAAGTATTTATGCAATTAAAAAATTCATTGCTTCCTTTCTTTTTTTTTCAGGCAAATAATGCTTATATTTTCCCGGGTTTTGGGCTTGGTTTGGTGATCTCTGGAGCCATTCGTGTCCATGATGAAATGCTTCTTGTTGCTTGTAAGTTCAGCAACCAAATGTGCCAAATTATTAAATGAGTTTGAATGGACTTCCATTTGAATAAATTGCCTCTCTATTTAGAGTTTTAGGTGTGTGACTAAGCCAAGTTTGGGTGAGCTCTAGTGTTGTATGATTTGGCTCGTTAAGTAAATGTGCCAAATTATTTATTCATATTCAGCTCATTAACTAAATGTGCTGCTGGAGTCTATTTGAAAATTGAATAAAAATTATAATATATATATGGAGTAACGTGCCAAAATAGTCTCCTGACTATTTACATGATATTATTTTAGTCCCGGAGTTTATAAAAAAGTTAAGATTAATTTCCGGACTCTTTTATTAGGACTATTGTAAGTCCTCAATGGAGATTATTTCAACTCATATTAAAAGAGCGAGGAATATACTGACATTCTTTTGAACTCTTGGGACTAAAATGACCTCCCATGAAGAATCAGATGATCATTTTGACACTTTCCTCCATATATATGTATAGGGGGGCGCGCGCGCGCATGTGTGTACGCTAATAAAATGTCATCAAGAAAATCACCAACTCCACTAATGCCAGGATCCATATACTATTGATGAACTTACCTAATGGATCTCCTTGATCTAATAATTAAAATGAAATTGACTTCTCTCTTTCTGCTGGAACAGCGGAGGCTTTGGCTCAGCAGGTCACCCAGGAGCATTTGGATAAAGGTTTAATCTATCCTCCCTTCAAAAATATAAGGAAGATATCCGCCCACATTGCTGCTAATGTAGCCGCTAAAGCCTATGAGCTTGGTGAGTCAAATTATGTATTTCTGATCAATCTTTCATCCTTTTCAGTTTTCATTCCAGAAGATTTACATACATACCCACCTAATACCCATCAATCTTCAGTTTTCTACATGTATGCGTCTTTTAACTAAGCATAACAAGGTGTATTTTACCATTTTTTAAGTTACATGAAAGATTTGTTCGGTGTTTATGTAAAAAAGAAAAGTTTAGGTGCTAGATATATAAATACACAAGATATGTGTGGTATTTATGTAAATGCTCTTATTATTTTTACAAATAAAGTCTACTTCGTTTTTCTCAACCTATTTTGTTTTCAGGCTTGGCTACTCATCTCCCACGCCCGGCTGACCTTGTGAAATATGCAGAGAGCTGCATGTACAGTCCAGTGTACCGAAGCTATCGCTGAAGTCACACAAAGCTGGAACTCATCATATGCAGCTCTTTCTGTAAGTGTGATTCCAGCTCTTTCTGTAAGAGCTTTCTTTTGTCTCTAAATTTAAATTGGAATCAATAAAGGAAACTTAGTTATTCATGATGATTGTATATTCAATCAACACAATTCTTATGTATTTCCACATCTAGCATCTAAACATTTAAATTTACATGTATAGCAATCAAATCTTTAACATCATATCAAAAATATTACTATCAGTACATTTTTAAAAATGATATATACATTTTCAAGTAGACGTGATGACGCCGTGGTGTTACAAGTATAAATTTTTGGGTGTTCGCTATGTAGATACATACGAATGGTGTGGTATGTATGCATTTTTTTTAACTGTCACAGGTCAATGCAATAACTCAAGTTTGAGCTATATATATTTATATTGATCCAACTTGTAACATAATGTCACGATCATTCGTGGAGCTTGGAATACTAAAGCGGGAATGGCCAGGTTGAGAAAATTGAAATAATACCTATAAGCACGAGAGAATGGCCAGTCGGGTTGAGAAAATTGAAATAATACCTATAAGCACGAGCTCCTTGGCGTTTATTAATATATTCTCAAAGATTCTTTTATTCCAAAGTGTGTGTGTGTGTGTGTGTGTATTATTTTTTTTTTATTTTTATTTTTTGAATAAAATGGGGCCAACTAATGACACGAGTTAATTAATTTAGTGGATAAAATGTTTTTAAATTATAATAAATATCATTTTTAAAATATTGTGTAAAAATATATTATGCATTAAAGGAAAGTGAGCAAAGAACAGTTTTTTATTTATTTATATTTATTTTCATTATCAGATTTATCAGTGATGGTCATCGTCTATATTTTCAAGAGGCAGCTAATCATTTTTATTTTACGTGCACGAGTGAATTGTATCACCTGTCAGTATCATATGAGAATAACTTTATATATGCATGTTTATTAGAAGTTGGTTAAGTACAAATTGTTGTTGATATAAATTATGTAATTCAATGGGAAAGAGTGTTGATTATGGGACATTGATCTTTGTTTCAGCATTCCAAATTTCTTCTTTTCAGGCATCCAATCCTTAGGATTCAACTCAAGCATAGCTTTACCCTACTGAGGATGTCAAATTATGTTGAAGTTAGCTAAATTATCCACCCAATATTCTCATGAATTGGTTGACACCTTGACACAAAATGGGTGTCGTATTCAAATTTCGTCTTCTTAACACCAAGATTTGTGTTGTAATTTGTTTCTCTTTGATCGTCATATGCTTCTTGGATGCCTCTCAATATCTTATTTTGAGAAACTAGCATCTCTGCCATTTGTCCTGGGTAGTCACCTTACTTGGTTACATAATTTATTTGGCCATTTGTCAACAACTCTTATGAAGCTATCTTGACAACTTCTTTGGAGAGCTACATCCTTCTTGATAATCTCTTAATGACTTGTCATGAGGGATTAGAGCCTTATTAATTCATCTTAGAATGTCCTTTTCTATTCTCGAAAATCTCTCGATGGTTTGACCCAAGAGATAAGTTTTCATATCTTATCTTAAGTGGCCGATACTTCTTGGTGATTTCATCTTGTTGGCTTTAGGACCGACTTCCTTTTATTTTTAATAACGCAGTTTAGCGAGCTCTTTTTGCTAACTTTCCCTTCTATCAAGTTCATAAAGGAGGCCCAAGACTAACTTCCTCTTTTGTCAAGAATTTATCTTAGTTAATTTATTTTTAGAACTTGCTCCTCTAGTTGAGCTTATTTATTCAGTCTTAAGGCTGACATCGTACCTTCTCATGAATTTGTCTCACCAAGTTCATTCGAAGAACTACACGTCTCAACTCTTAATGGATTCCTTATGACGTCCAATTCGAGGACTAATGGACTTGATGAAATTGTCTCGACGATCCATACGTGCCAGTGAGGCTCGTTTCACAAAATGATGCTCTGAATGAATTTTTTACTTGGATTAAGATTTCATGCAAATGAGATTTTACACGTCTGAATCCACATATAAAAAAAATATCAGTGAATCACCATTGCACTCGCCACATCCCAAACACAATGACGAACACGATGCAACTCACAACCGGGTGACGGGCGGGGGTGACAAAAAGAGCCTAGGGTCATGAGTAGTTTGGGACATAACATTGATAAGCTCAATTACATCTAAATGAGCAAAGTACTAGCTTGAGTTCAATTCAAACCATAGAAGATTGGACAAGGAAGATTAGTTGGTTTAGCTATGGTGTATGTAATATATATTTATATTAAATACACCATAGTTATTTGTGCTTCAAAAAATCGAGTTTGAGCTAGCTCTGATTTGATTGTTGTTCTACACGTTCAAAATTAATTATGTTCGAACATGGATTATGCTCCAAATTGCTCGTAAATATTGTGTTCGTGTTCGGCTTAGTATACATGCCCTTGTCCGTGCTCGGCTCAAAAATAGCTAGTTTAAATTAATTAAAGAATAAATATAGGGTGTTGAATTCGAACCTGTATGATTCCAATGCAATAAAAGATAAAGAACCGTATGACCACACACGAGCTATGGTGATCTAAACATAGATATAAATATATATAATATATAAATAATAAATGCAATTTCTTTATCTCGAGCTAAAACGAGTCAAACAAAATCATACAAAGAGCTGACCCAAAAAAAAAAAAAATATTATTATTTTTATTATTAATACAAATAGTAAAATTAAAATAATTTAAAATATTTAAAAAAATTCCTTCAGAAAATATTCCTTACATTTAATTTCATAAATTTTACTTAACCTTTACAAAGCAGCAAATGAATTTCAGAATTTTTAAATGAAATAATTTTTTTTAAAATAGATTTTAAAATTCACAAATTTACTTACTAATTAACTGTATTATTATATAAAAGTGCTAAATCAGATTCTAATGAAAAATTCAATCTATAAAAGTCTCTCATCATGAAAATACGGCCCGGGAGCCGGCAGCGTAGAAAAAATTCTACGTAAAAGGAAATCAATATGTAACAGAGGCCCAAATATCGATTTTTCATGCGCAATCCGACCCCATGACAAGAGCCCGCGCAATTTGCCTATAATTCGACTCCCCAAGCACCACGATAGAGATCGAACCCTTGCCAGAGGGGACTTACATGCGACACATAGAAAAAATTGCATATAAATGACATAATTCTTATAAATTTACATATCACATCATTTTCTTATTTTCTATGCAATGCATCATTTCAGTGACACTAGAGACACCAGAAAGTCATAGTTATTGAAAGTTGAAAAACCACAAAGATTAAATTAGACTATTTTAATAGTATGACAATAAAGTTATGCAATAAAGTCAACTAATAAGATTAAAAAATATATATAGAAAAGATTTATAAATTGACAAACAATTAGTTATTTTAAGAAGAAGTGACTTTCATTTTTGAAAAGTTAATTATAATAATATATTTTTATGTGATGTCAAAAATTTTGAGGGTTATGTATATAAATATGAAAGTTTAGATGTTATATATGTAAACATATGAGAATTGTGTGGCATGTTTGTAGATAAATGACCATGTTTGTTCAAGAAAATAATATAGATTTTAGTGTTTGTTGGTTGATAAGACCCCTGAGGTCGGAGGTTCGAATCCCCTATAGCACAGTTGGTCTTAAAGAGGTGGTACTCGAATTGTTAGACACATTAGGGGTGGCTGGAGACTTGTATAAAAAAAGCACAGTTGGTCTTAAAGAGGTGGTACTCGAATTGTTAGACACATTAGGGGTGGTTGGAGACTCGTATAATAGCATCTAGTCATTTCTTTCATATATATATATATATATATATATATATCTGTGGGCGTGCACACTTGCTTGCTATTGTCTATGACTATCATTTAATTTTTTTTTGAATTGATCTACATATCTCCCCATTTCTATGTATTGACATATCAAAAACTTAAAATTTATTTTATTTATAGTGATATCATCCAATTTTGCATATTACATAAAAAAATATCATTATTTTAACTTTTAGTAATTAAAATAGATCTTTTCATTCATAAGTAACATTATATGTATGCAAAAAAATTTGTTATGTAAAAAATTGAAATTTGAGAGTTAGATATGTAAATGCATTGGAATTGAGTAGTGGGATGTTTACTCATTAAGAGAAGTGGGACTTATTGTACATTTGGGCCAATTGTAATAAAGCATTTAAGGATTCCAAGGGATCCAAGTATAATCATACCCATGTATATTTTTAATAATAATGATGCTCTTATATAAAGGGAAGAGTTATGTAGAAGAGATGATAGACCTTTTATCCATCGAACAAATACATTGATATTTAATACAATGAATTTCTCGCTCCCTTCTCTGTAGATCCCCTTTTCTCGATTGCTAGCTTGATCACTGAGTGTGATTACACGAGCTTAAAGGGATTCAGCAAAATCAAAAGAAGAAAATGGTCAAAGTTCAAACATTCAATAATATTTTTAGTGAAAGATAAGCTGTGATGACATAATAAAAAATAAATTTATTTAATTACTATGTACATGACATAATGATAATGAAAAAAATAGAACAAAAAGAGAACTACAAATGCGAAACATACATATGAAATATCATATATAATTTCAAATCCAAACATCAACTTCCATATGTAAGAAATAAATCATGTTAGTGAAGATTTAAATGTAGTCAATTTATCAAAACTCCAATGTTTACTTTCATAAGAAAATTAATTTTATTCTTTCATAAAAAAAAAATCAATGTTATAAAAATGGAATTGGTCATAGAAATTTTATAGCAAGTAAAAATATATATGTGGATAAATTCTTTTGTAAATTCATAAAAAATTCAAAGTATGCAAAAAAATTTGAAATTTGAGAATTAGATATGTAAATGCATTGGAATTGAGTGGTATGTAAGTAAATCTTCCTAAAATTTATTGGTAGTGGGATGTTAACTCAATTAGAGAAGTGGGACTTATTGTACTTATGAAAATTTATTGGTAGTAGGATAAATTCTTTTGTAAATTCATAAAAAATTCAAACATATGAAAAAAAAATGAAGTAAATGAGAAAAATGGCATACTCGAACATTAAGGAAATGAAGTTACAAATAATGAACAAATTTTTTTGGTGAAACAGCGGGAAATGAACGTCTCCCCAAGTTCTTTCGCCTTTTCGAATCGTAGATTGTCTCCTATGATTTGACAAACACAACTTTTAAAAGAAATTTGGTGAACTTTGTCTTTGTGTCGAATGAATCCTTAGTTTAAAAATTATTTTAGCATAATTGAGGTTCTTGAATAGAGTGTTGTGACACTTTGAAACATTATTCGTACTAGAATATTTTTTACTTGTACGAAAAAAAATAGGAATTTAAGAAGAGGAAAAAGAGACATTAGAGTGAACTAGAGAATGAAGAAAAGCCAACAACAATAACAAACATTTATCCTACTTCGCAGACTAAATGAATGTCATCAATTCTTTAGTTTAAATTGTCGAGCATACTAACAAGTGATATGCTCATCTCTTAGGGTGGTGTATTCCTTGTGGTATTGCGCTCGACCATCTATTAAATATATGAGATTCATCTGTTATTCATGTGTTATTGTATGTTATTCAGGTGTTATTATGTTCTGAGAATATTCCCGGTGTTATAATAATACAATAACACATCAATAATACTTGAATAAAACACAATAACACCTGAATAACACGGAAGGAATATTCTCTCGAGTTACCAGACATAGTTTTTTTTTCCTACGTGGCGTGATTTTATTCGACTTCACACACAACTCTACGTGCAAAGTTCTGATGTAATATTTTTTCCATTGGTAGAGCCATTCTAAAACTTTTTAATAATTATTTAATTAATATTTAAATGTCTCAATTGTATCAAAATATAAAAAATATATACTTCATTTTAAAAAAAATTAAATGTTACATAATTAAGTATTTAAGTTTAGATGTTGAATACACAAATACAATATTATTATTTTATTTTCATATAAATTTACCTTTAAATTTTACTCGTCATATTTACATAATTCAAATTATTATAATAAAATAATAATAATACTTAATTTAAAATGTTCTTTTACAATAAATTTCAACACATATCACACAATTCTTTTGTATTTATATATCTAATTTCTAAAATTTAATATTTATATTTACAATATATTGATATTGAATTTATGCATAAAATAAATTTGAGAGTTATTAATGTAAATGTGAATATTTATGTATTATATATTGAGTAAAGTGTCAAAATGATCTTCACTTATTTACAAAGAGCCCGTTTAGCCCAAGTGTGTAAAATCAGTCCAGGGTTAAAATAATACCCATGAAGTATTATTAAAAATTAATTTTTAAAAATGAGATATTATTATGAAATACTTACAAACTCTGAGACTAATCTTCTGTTTCGGGCGGCGGTGCGATTTACAAACTCTGAGACTAATCTTCTGTTTCGGGCGGCGGTGCGATGATGGTGTGACAACACATCGCAATTTTGTCTGTTTGGATAAGCTACGTTTTCTCTTTTTGAAAAAGTTATTGCCGAATTCTACGTTTTTCCACTGATCATGGCTAGATGCGGCGACAGCTTTCTAACTGTGGTTAAATTTTTTCAACAAAAAATTTATAATTTGCACGATAATTTTTTGAATATCAAATTATTTTTGAGGAGATTTATAGCTGCTTTTTACTTTTTAATAAGCCCAAATTCTAAAATTAAGCACAAATAAAAAATAAGGAACTATATCACTGTACTCATCACATCTATAAATACATAGTGATACGTACCCCGGTAGTGTATCTCTACTGACATGGAGAGTTCGGTTTTCAGCCGGGGCGGCACTAGGAGTGCACGCCACGCGGGTAGTCCATGGACGCGGCTTGGAAAACCATGGGTGAGCTCCGACGACATATTCTCTGTGTCGAGGGAAAGGTCCGCTGTTGCAGATGAGGAGTTGGCTCTCCAGTGGGAGGTGGTCAACAAGCTACCGAGCGCTGCCGGAACCCACGACGGCGGTGCCGGAATCCATCCTCTCAAAAACCTAGATTCCGGCGAGGAAGCCCGGAGGTATTTCGATTCTCGGGAAGTAAATGTAAAGAAAATGGGGATCGCCGATCGTCGGAGATTAATGGATGGTATCTTTAGGAACCCTGATGATGATAACGGTGTCTTCCTCAAGAAGCTTCGAGACAGAATAGATAAGTAAGTTTTTCCTTATTTTTTCATCAGCTTTTTCGTGCTTTATTTAGTAATTTATATATCTTTATGTATAGTGGAATGAGATGTAATTTGTTCATCTGCATTGAAATTCTTGGGAAATTTTTTGATCGGGATGAATTTTATGCTCATTGAATTTTGTATAATATGAATTTATTCAGGTATGATTTCAATTAAGGAACATAACAAAGAATGAGAAACCTATTTTTATTTGTTTTTAGTTTGTGTTAGATTTAATTAAAATAATAATAATAAAAAAATTAAAAAGACCAACTGCTGCTTCTTCCACCTTCTGCTTCATCGCTGCCGAAGGCCATGATTCTGAGCAAAATCGGGATGGAGGGATTGCGATTTTAATTTTGTTAATTTTGTTAAGTTATTAATAAGTAATGATTAAAATTCATATATTTTTAATTTAATTATAATTAGATGGATTTATATATTAATATTTAATGATTAATTAATTTATTTATAAATAATTTTTTTATGTTTTTTAATTATGTGATAAAGATATAAATAATTACTATTTAATTATTAATTAATGTAAATTTATTATTTAAATTTGTTTACTAAAGATATTATTTTATATTATGTTTTACACAGTTTTATTGAATTGGGCAAAATTGTCATTTTTCAGAATGAGATGTAATTTGTTCATCTGCATTGAAATTCTTGGGAAATTTTTTGATCGGGATGAATTTTATGCTCATTGAATTTTGTATAATATGAATTTATTTAGGTATGATTTCAATCAAGGAAAATAACAGAGAATCTGAGAATGAGAAACCTATTTTTATTTGTTTTTTGTTTGTGTTAGATTTAAGTAAAATAATAAATAAAAAATTAAAAGACTTATAAAAGCTAGTTTGTATTTGGGATCAATTTTTAGAGTTTAGAATCAATACTGATTTCTAATAATAAGAATTTAAGGATTTTCTTAGGAGCGATTAATGCAATTGTTCTGAGAACTAGATCACAGTACTGTCTACTTCTCTTACTTAGATTTCTTTTGGACAATTACATACAAACTACCTGAAACATTGATATTTATAAATTAACCACCCGGGTGCTTTTTTTGAACTGCCAAGCCAATGTATCTACACATCAAACTACTGAGAATCTGATAAAAATGAAAAATATGGGTTGGGGTTTTACTTTGAATTTTAATATTTGAGTGAGAATTTGAAAACTGGTTGAAAGATGGTGATTGATTTGTAAATAGCAAGTTTCTCGTGGTGATCTGTATGTAATTGCACCCTTTTTTTTTTGGATAATTACATAGGGACCACCTGAAACATTGATATTTACAAATTAACAACCACCCAGGTGATTTTTTTTTAACAACCAAACTATTGAGAATTTGATAAAAATGAAAAATGCGAAGATACATTGGTTTGAACCCAGGTGATTTTTTTTTACCACGAATTTTAAAATTTTAGTGAGAATTTGAAAATTGGATGAAAGAGGGTGGTTGATTTGTAAATAGCAAGTTTCCTTTTTTTTTATTTTTTGGGATAATTACGTGCAGACCACCTGAAACATTGATATTTACAAATTTACCACCCGGCTGATTTTTTTTAAACTCCCGAACTGATGTATTTAAACTCCCATTGATTTCCCAAGTACTGTGAGATCCTGCACGGATAATATGGTCAACTTCTTAGAGATGCAAAAAAAAAAAAAATTTTTGATGAGTTTATTCAAAGTTAAGTAGCTGTGACTGTATCGGTTCCTATAATGCCAAACGTTGATCAGTAAGAAAGAGTCAACATGATAATTTCGCTCTGTATTAGAAAATTACCTAAGTCGATGGTATAGAAGAATTGAATCGGAATGAATGATGCTTAGCAATATAGCTTCACAATTAAGAACTGATTTTGAGAGAAACAGTGATTTTATTTCAACAAACATAGCACTGTCACTATGTAAATTTAAAGTTACAGTCACAAATTGATAGGAAATCCATGCCATATGTTAGTTATTAAGTGATTAGTTTATAAAAACAACCACTTTTTTTCTTCTTAAGCGATGACTATATATATATATATATATATATATAATGTTTTTGGCAGGGCTGGCATTGTGCTACCAACAGTGGAGGTCAGGTTTGAAAACATAACTGTGGAGGCAAAGTGCTACGTGGGCTCTAGAGCTTTGCCAACTCTTCTTAATGAAATAAAAAATGCTGCCGATTCAATATTGGGTTTGTTTGGTATAAGACTGAGTAAGATGGCAAACATCAGCATTGTTAAAGATGTCTCCGGGATCATAAGGCCCTCAAGGTATTTTTGCAATATTCATTTTAAAATATAAAATATGACAAGGTTGACGTTTGCATATGATACAAATTAGATGCAGACAAAAAGCAAGTTTCAATTTTGTAAATTTTTTTTGTCACAAGTGACAAATAGCCATAACTTGAAATATATAAGAATTGTTGTTAATCAATTTATTATTATTTTTTTATAACACATGTTTGCATATGTGTCGGCCGTTTTTTAAATCTTAAATCTTTAAACTTTATGATTTTTGAAAATAATTTTGATGTAAATATAATTTTTGAAAATAACATTTTAATTTAAAAATAGATGAGACCAAGTGAGTCTCACATTTTTGGATAGTTTGGATGACTGAGCGCGATACAACAAGTAATACACTTATTCCGAAGAATAAACATATCACTTGTAGTAGACTTAATCACCTAAACTAAAAAATTTGTGACATCCGTTTGGCTGCGAAATATTTTTATATGAGGCCAAGAAGTTCTCCTACCTAATATATAAGGATTAGATAGGGTTTATTTTACTTGGGTTCCACGTTCCCTATAGAGGCAAACCCATATTTTTATATGAGGCCAAGAAGTTCTCCTACCTAATATATAAGGATTAGATAGGGTTTATTTTACTTGGGTTCCACGTTCCCTATAGAGGCAAACCCTTATAGTTAATTACATCTTAAATAACTGTGATTACTTTAGAAAACTTTCGATTAAGATCAGCGATTTTGCCTTCAAGATTTCAAAGTTTAGGTTTCCACAATTGGACATGGGAAAATCAAATGAGAGTAGCTCAAAATAGGAACAGTTATTTTAAGGAATCCAAAGGAGCGAATAATAGGTGATATCACAGATCTAGGGGAAACTTCGGTGACTTCCCAACTATCTTTTTGTTTGGCTTTACGTCTTTGAAATGATATTATTTAATGTTTAATCCTGCAATTTATTTAGAATTTAGGACTTATATTCGCACGATATCCGATCGTGCGAATAACCTAAAAAAACAGGAGGATTTACACAGGATTTTTACCGTACCGTACGATAACCTCAGAATCCTAAGACGTTAGGACTTATAATTGCACAACAAGAGTTGTGCAAAAGCCTAAAGGTGATATATGAGTCGCCAGACAAGCCACATCGAAATCCTATGAGCTATTATTTAAACTAAGAAAGTGTTCGGTGATGTGAATGTGTCTTGATGTTGCAAATCCATCTTAAAGTTGTTCCTTGTCGTGCTACCCACGGTGTTCGCTCTAAACTCTTCGTCGTAGCACCCCCGGGTTTAATGTTAATCCTATTTAACCATTAGGTTTTTCTATACTAAGGCCTAGTGTATATTAAAGCAATAAAACATGCGATATAAAAGAGGAAAAACAATATAACATGCCAGGAGAACAATATACATGCTGTGAAATAAAATGTTGTAATGTAAATCAAACCTGTATATTTTTGAGACTTGTTGGTCCTATAAGCTAGTTATTATTCACTGTATAAACAAAAGAAGTATTGGCTGGAAAATTCGAGAAAATCGACAAATAATTCACGACGGGAAACTCGAGAAAATCGACGAATATTCCACGAGGGAAAACTTGAGAAATTGACGAGTAACAATTCAAATAAAACTATCAAAACCTCGGAAAAATTCCATAGAAAAGACCACGAGTGCTTTGTCCAAAAATCTCGATAAAACATACGAAAAATCAGAAAAGAGGGGACCGCAAGCACTCGGGTCGGGGCTAGACTCAAATATATATATTTGTACTCGAGGGACATCGAAGGCTACTCGGTCGCCCGAATGTATAAAACCCACCACTCCACTAGAATGATATTCTACTGAACCTAACTTATGAGGGTATTCCTTAGCCCAGTATCGGTAATCAACAAGTGGACAACCAATTTGTAACACATTTTAGCATGCATATATATTTCAGGCATACAAAAGGAAAGTTGTATTAATTTTGTTATGAAAATATTTTCTTATAAATATTGTATCTCTTCTTATCAATTTGTTTTATCAATTTTTGAAAAAGGAATAGTGGTTCGCAAGAAGGTACGGGTCCCCCTCTAGTATTATGTCGGTGAATGATACTTTTATCCTATAGTTCATCAGACTCCAAAATTGAGTCCAGGTGTTATAGGATGAGATATCATTCTGCTCTACCATCAGCGTGCCTTTGTCATCATCGCCCTACGCCTCAAAACAAAACCGACCTACTTGCGATATTGCTTGATGATTTCATATATAACAAAAGACTATACATGAGCACTTATGTATCAGATATAAGCACTGAAAACCGAACCAAGAAACAAGGAAAAAAAAAGAATGAAAATGGGGATGAGAGAGATGAGGAAGGAATTGATTCACCAAAATATTGAAAGGATAAAGAGTGAAACAACCCTCAAAATCCTGACAAAAAAATCTCAAAAAGAGAGCCCAAGATCCTTGAATCAATCCAGAGGATATCATTTTCTCAACTTTTATAATTGGATCAACCCAAGGAGGATATCATTTCCACATTTTGTTTCAAATAGGTTGAAACGGGCCCAAAGCTAATGTAACACTTATACCCATGGCTCCACCACCTATATGTACTTACACACCTAAGTATGGACCCGAATGTGGTACTTATGTTATCTGAACTTTAATGTCGAACCTCCAAATAACTCTTATAAATAACAATCTTATAAGCTTTCAAAGCCTTTCATGAATCCAACTTATATTAATTTCATGGTTTCCCAAAACAAAGTCATAAAAGCCTTTTCATATTTCACAAGATAAGAGGAATTGACCAGTAGAGGGGCAACCACTAGCTCAACATATTCCATGAAGAGACTACAAGTTAAGGCTCACTGGTAAAGGGGTAGCAAGAAGAAAATCTTCACCTTTTAAGCTTACGGGTAGGGTCAAGAAAAGAGAGAAGCCACCACAGAATAGACCCACAGGTAGGGACAACAAAAGAGAAAAGCCACCCCAGCATAGGCCCGCGGGTAGGGGCAACAAAAGCGAAAAGCCACCACAGCATAGGCCCACGGGAAGGGGAAACAAAAGAGAAAAGTCACCACAGCATAGGCCTACGGGTAAGGACAGCAAGAGGAAGCCAAGCCTGAACCATGTCAAAAAACCAATGAACCACTGCAGCAAGGCCCGTGCGGCAGAAAGGAAACCACCATAGGTATTGTCATTGTATTACCTTTGATATGCATAAGAGAGTGAATGACAAGTTCTTATAGCTCATTAGGACTGAAACCATTTTCATCAAGTAAAACATAGTAATGAATTGATCAGCTTGTATATGTTGAAATCATGAATTTTGGAATGACAAACTTGATTACCTATAAAAAAACTTAGGAAGAAGAGGAGCATTAAAGAGGAGGTCCCCAACCAAACCATGCCCAACAAAGGGGTCAAACCGAGCCCAAGGAATGGACCAAACAGTAAGAAGATTTCAGTCAAAATCTAATACCAAAGTGGGTCAGAAAGCCCAAACCGAGCCCCATACAAGGGACAAACCCAGCTCAACATAGGAGCAAACCAAGCCCAACACAGATGCAACCCGAGCCCAGGAAGAAGAGCAAAACAGAGAACCATGACAAGCATACTCGAGTCCAACAAGAAGGGACAAAAAAAATAAAACACATTTTTAGCTCTTTTAAATCAGTAAAAGGAAACCAACAGATAAACATTTGAGTCAAACCAATTCCTTATTTCAAATTCAATTAAACCCCAACATATAGGCTAGAGAAAAAAACATAGCCTAGGCCAAAACCGAGCCCTCCAAATGGGCCAAGACAGAGAGTATTTCCATCCATGGTTTAATTTCAAAAGAGCTCAAATCAAATCCAACAAGTGGGTCAAAACAAAAAGAATATTTCCATCATAAATTTAATTCCAAAAGAGTCCAAACCGAACCCACGAAATGGGCAAAAAATAATGTTAAAATTTCAGTTAAATACAGCCTAGTAGAAGCTAAAGCCGAGCCCTTCAAATAGGCTAAATGAAAGGCAATTTCCAGCTAATCATAAAGCCAAAACCGAGCCCTCCAAACGGGCCAAAAACAAAGAATATTTCCAGTAAGGATCCAACTCCAAAGGGCCAAAACCGCATCCAAGATATGGGCAAACCGAGCCCTTCAAATGAGCCAAAACAGAGACACCAAGAATCAAATTCCACAAAGCCTTAAATTTCATAAGAAAAGTGTCCTTGAGGATTTCAAAAAATGCAAATCTCAGGAGAATTTTATCGAAACCCATGTGCCAGATATGTAGGTATATAAGAATTGGGTGGCATGTATGTAAATGATTAAAGTTCAAATGAAAGAAGTGTAAAAACACAGGAATTAAGTGATATATATCAAGAGTTTCCCGAAACAAACTAGCAAGACTTCCAAATTCTAAGTAGCAACTTTCAAATCTTCACATAAGAGAAGGTATCGTACTTCTCATATTTTTGCAAGTAAGTATATAGTTATGTAAAGAGTAAGAAGAAGAGTTCTCATGATACGAATCTTGCCATAACCAAATGAAATTCCAGCCCTGAAAGTTCCCCACAGCACTTCCAAAAAGGCCTCAAGCACACAGAAAATGAACAGATCAAAGAAAATCCAACAAGGAGATGAGAGGAAATTTTGGCGGCACCTCCACTCTCTTTTTAATTTTTGGCCAGGCCTAGACCTCCCCAAGGTGGGGTTTTTATAGCAAAGAAAGGAGAGAGGAGCAGCCACCTACCAGCCATAATGGTGGCCAAATCAGGTAAAGGGAGAGGAGAAAATGCATTTAGGGAGGAGGAAATGCAGCCTAGGGCAGAGGAAGAGTCGGCCAGGTGGAGTTTCACCTTTGGAAAGCTGCTCGGTCGAGCGGTGCTCGAGGAGGCGAGCCGCGTGCGCGAATGGCAGCGGAATGCCGCGTGTGAGGAGAAGAAGACGACCATCGGTCTCGGGTGCGGCCGAATGGAGGAGCTAGGGCACGCGGGGAAGAGCAGACGAGCGCCGTGGGATCGAGCCATGGGATGTATCAAATGGGGAATTGAACGTATGAGTAGAGGGTTTAGGGTTTATAATTAGGATTATAAATAATGATATAAGTATATAAAAATCTTTAATATTTCAAAAATAAAATTCGATTTATGCATTTTCATTTGTGCGTCAGATTGTAAAAAATTGAATGTCCTTTTTAGGTAGTTTTGACGTTCCGGATGGGCTGACGCGATCCGTTTCGCCGTCGGAGGTCATTTTGACGAATTCATCGATTTGCGTGCAGATTTGCTTGTGTAAAAAATATGACAATATGAGTGTCTTTTTCTATCAAAATTGCTGTTCCGGACGCATTGACGCAGTCCATTTTGTCGTCGGAGGTCGTCTGGAGAAGTTAGCATTTTCACCCATCTTTAAGCTCAATTTGAGTCCGATTTTGTGCAACTTAGTGAATTTTTTGCATTTGGTGTGCGTGTAATGATAAAGTCTTGAAGTGGTTTTACTAGGGCTTGAAATCCTATTGAGAACTTCTCCCAGAGTTTTCACACAATAACACTTAACGGCTCGTCCATAAGACGATGGTTTTGAGACCATAAATGCTAGACATCACATGAAAATAGGAAGTGACTGAAATTTTTAAAGAGTGGGTTCCAATTCTAATTTTCTAAGATGATCAATAGAATTCCTAGGGCTAGATCCTAGGATCCTAAGGAAAATAGTAATGACCTAAAAAATGAGGTCAATAATATGCTAGGCCTTGAGCTAAGGTTTTTGTAGTTGGAGAAAATGCACTCAGCCCCCATGCCAAGTGGGCTACACTATTATTGTTAATAAATTTAATAGTTCAAATAAGTTCTAGGTTAAATGCTTTCCACCAACTCATATGTTTTATTTTTACTTTATTTCGGTGGAAGTTTAAATTAATTTCAAGCTTACCTTTGGATTGAGTGATTTTAGATAAAGTTGAGTTGGGTTGATATTGAGAAGTTTAAGTCTAATAAAGTTCACTAGTTATTGCTAATTGCTGCTTAAGCTTTGCTCTCTGACAAACAAAAAATATAACTATCTTGATGTAAGACTGCTCGTCTTTGAAAAGATATAATGTTAAAATATATAAGGATGAGTGCATTTTATTGTTGTCTTTGCGTATGAGAATATAAAATGTGTTATGTAGGGGTCATTTGGTCGGCTACAAAATCAGGGTATTGCATTTGAAATGCAGGTATTTTGAAAAGTTGAGTGTTTGGTTTAAGGAATATGAAATGTAGAGCAAGGTTTAAAGGAACTCTGAACGTAGCCTCTAGTTCACTTCTAGCATATTCAAAACTTATTAGATTTGTCCAATTTCCTAATACACTACAAATTGTAATTGTTGCTCCACCCCTTGATGGCTACCACTGATTGTTGCATACTGACAGTCGCTCGTGTTGCGAATATAGAAACCGGTCCACTGTTCAAATTAACATTTTCTCATGTCTGACAGTAAATTGGATTTGATACTCGAAATTAATTGCTCTTAATTCTTTCTATGATTTGCTGCAGATGAGAAAATGAAATAATTAATGGATTTCATTAATTATTTGATTAATTCCTTAATGGGCCTAATGACATGATGGAATTAATAAATATGCATGCTAGCTCCCCTTGTAATCTCCATTGGGATTTGGTTTCCCTGACTCTCTCTTCCGCATTGTTAGTTTTCCAGGTTCTTCTTCTGGTGTGCTTCGGTTTGAAGCTCTCGGGTTGAGAGAGAGAATGAAAGGAGGAGAGGAGAGAGAAAGAGGTAGAGAGAAATAGTGCTTTCTTGAAATCGTCGAGGTGATCGACGGGTGTAATTCCTCAAGCTAATAAAATCCCCTGCTGCTCCGTGGACGTAGGCAAATTGTCGAACCACGTAAATTCGTGTGTTTCACTGTTTTCTGTTTTGCGATTTTTGTTAATCCAAATTTTGGCTTTATTGCCGTCATTTTTCACAACAATTGGTATCAGAGCCGTAGTTTTGGATTTAAAGAAGAATGATGGGCGGAGACGAAGTGATCGCATATGGGATCGAGAAGTTTAATGACATATATTTTGGTTACTAGAGAATGCAGATACATGTCTACCTCTGTAGGAAGAAACTTCATCTTTCGTTACTGAGAAAGCGACCGAAAAGTATGAATTCCCTGCCAACAGGAAATCAGACTTGGGAGCTGACAGAATTTCCACTGGGGAAGAAGACATTGCACAACAAGTTGTATACCTGGTGAAGACTGCGCTTGATGACAATAAGAGGCATAAGACTGAACTTGTTGAAAAGGCCTTCAGCTGAGAAAGAATATTGCCCATGCAGTGGGAGTTATAAACAGATTCATGAGTAACCCAGGAAAGAGTTTGGAAGTACAAGACTACATTGACGCTGATATGTCAACTAAGGGTGTTACTCTTGAGAAACTGAAGTTATGTGCAGCTTCAGTTGGTCTTAGAAACAGTGTATGAGGCTGATATATGGTGTAGAAAAAAAAATAGGGTTGATGATTCTGAAACTTAGCAAGGAGGAAAGTTTTTGGATTTGTTTGGATTAGGTATTGTTAGATTTTGGTAACCCTAGAATCGAACTAGGGTTAAATTAACGGTAATGCCAAATGATGCTTGAATTTAATGAACACCCAATGTAAAGAAACATTATTACTGAGTTCATAGTCTGAAATTGCAACTAAACAACAACACAACAATGGAACTACGATTCGATCTAAGGTTTAAGTGGCGTTGGTTAGGGTTTGGATTTCCGAGGTGATGGCAAGGAGGCGAATAGCAAGCTGTAAACAACATGACAACAGTTTCTAGGAGTCCAAACAACAAGCAAGCAGTAGGAACAACTGCGAGAGGGCAGTTTTTGGTGGTAGCGCCAAGGACGAAGGGGAGGGAATTTGGTAGATGTGGGAAAGGATGGGGGAAAGATATAGGTTGGAGAAACACCACCTACAAACCAAGATATAAGCAGAGCTGCACTTGGAACCCCTATGGTACAACCCGTAGAGTGAAAAGGAGATACAGATGACAGTCCCAAATCAATTCACAGCAAAAACTGAACCATAAACACCAACAAAAACAAATAAATATCCCTATATAACTAGTAGTGGGCCCTTCTTAAAAAGAGGTGGCACTCCCTTGCATAGAGGGTCGGCCGGCTCGCAAGACCCCTGGACCAAACTGGTCCAGTTAGTAGGGCGAGCAGACACCCCACATCACTTTTTACACTACTTTCTTTTTTCAACAAACCAAACAATCCCCTAATAAATTTAGTATTTAAAGCTGGGATGTATTGCCATGTCTAATTACTTAAGCGGCCTTTTTTTGGTGATGCGAATGCGTTTGATTGAACTGTTGAAGTACGCTACACTATTCAAACACAACCATCTATTAAGCACCTGAATAAAAGAAGAAAAAGACACTTTTTCCTTTTAAATTCAAAATTATAGAATATTTTCAATGAGCAAAATTTATGTTAGTATAATGACTGATGATGATAATAAATATTTCAAGCTTTTAACTAAAATTAAGTCTCTTAAGTAGGCAATTAAATGCTTTTTTTTTTCTTTTCTTTTGTCTTGTAGGATGACATTGCTTTTAGGGCCTCCATCTTCTGGAAAGACTACACTCTTACTCACTCTAGCCGGAAAGCTTAACCCATCATTGAAGGTTATTATCTTGGCTATTTATTTTGTATTTACATTATTGTTTGTTCTTTTTTTAATATAAGTGTCGTTATTTTCTCAAACTCAGATGAGCAATGTTGGAGGTTGATATTAATTAGGTATCAATCATATAACTTTTTTTAATATCTAAGGGGCCATTTGGGATCACTTTTGATTTTTGATTTTTATTTTTTAATTTTTATTTTCTTTTATTTATGTTTTGATTTAAAACAAAGCATGTTTGGTATTATATAACATGTTTAGTTAATTTTAAGAATACTCGAAATAATATTTAGATGTTTGAAGTATTTTTAAAAATAAAATAATTTATTTTTAAAATAAAAATATAAAAAACATGCAAAAATTCATTAAACAAATATGCTTTTTAAATAAAAGCAAAAAACAAAAAAAATAATAACAATAAATAAAAGTGATGCCAAGCAATCTCCAAGGAATTCGTTTTGACATAAGCTTATGAAATATACTTAATTGTGCGCCTTTCAAACTGGAGATTTTTCTATTTTTTTTTAAATTATATGAATTCTTTAGTAGTTGATTCACTTCAATACAGAACCTCTTGAGCTAAAAGAAAACAAAATATTTGTTTTTATTTTGTTAAAAAAGAATATTGCTGATTGACAACCTATTTTCAGAAGCAAAGAAATCACAGACACATGTTCTTCAAGTGCCTCACAATCGTCCGACCAGAAATGCAGTGACAGTGGGAACTCAAAAGCTAGAAAAAGGAAAATTAAATTTTGTTAGAACCTTATGAAATATGTAATACTGCCAAAAAGAATGAACAAAAGGATATTTTATGCATGTGCTCTGAGAAAGCCATTAGCTAAAGTTAAATAATTTCTGTGAATTTTAGCATAAGTTTTTTCTAAATTTCATAATCGAACTTAGTGTTGGAGATAATAATTTTAGGCAATTTGTTTATGTATAATAAAAAATAAAAGTTGCAACAATATGATGGTTAAATAGAGTTTTTGTTGAAAGATTGGAATGAAGAGACTGGACGAAATATACTATTGATAAGAGTTTTGCCAAAAAAATCGAGAAAATCAGTATAACTCCTCATGCAGAATTGAAAAGGAATGAATGAAGAATTTTAATATTCACAAAGCCGATCCAAATAGTTGAAATATGTATAATAATGGTGTCGGTAACAATGAGGCTACAATCTAAATATGCATGTATAAAGAAAACTTTTAGGGAAATTTACATACATACCACTGTTGACCTCATTTTTGAGGTCATTACTCTTTTCCTTAGGATCTTAAGATCTATCTCTAGGAGTTCCTGTTGACCATCTTAGAAAACTAGGACTGAAACCCACCCTTTAGAAATTCCAGCCACTTCCTATTTTCCTGTGATGTCCAGCATTTATGGTCTCAAAACCATCGTCTTGTGGACGAGCGATTAAGGGCTATTGTGTGGAGACTCAGGGAGAAGTTCCCAATAGGATTTCAAGCCTTAAAAAAATCATTTCATGACTTTATCATCACACACACTTACCAAATGCACAAGATTCACTAAGTTGCACAAGATCAGATCTAAATTGAGCTTAAATGATGGGTGAAAATGCTAACTTCTCCGGACGACCCCCGACGACAAAATAGACCGCACCAACGCGTTCGAGACACCAATTTTAGTAGGAAAAGACACCCATATTGTCATAATTCCGCACACGAGAAATTTGCAATCAAATCAATGGATTTGTTAAAATGACATTCGACAGTGAAATGGACCGTGCGAACGCGTCTAGAACATCAAAATTACTAAAAAGGACATCCATTTTTGTTATGTTGCGACGCACGAATAAAAAATGTACAAATCAATTTTTATTTTTGAAATATTAAATATTTTTATATAGTTATATTATTATTTATAATAAAATTTATAACCCTAAATCCTATTTACCCCCTTCCCGCACACTTAACTCTCCATTTGGCCTCACAAGCGGCATTCCGCAGCCATTCTCGCACGTGGCTTGCCTCCTTGATCTCTGCTCGACCGAGCAGCTCTCCAACGGTGAAACTCCACCTGGCCAACTCTTCCTCTGCCCTAGGCTGCATTTCCTCCTCCCTAAATGCATTTTTCTCTGCTCCCTTTACCTGATTCGGCCACCATTAGGGCTGGTAGGTGGCTGCTTCTCTCTACTTTCTCTGCTATAAAAACCCCACTTTGGGGAGGTCTAGGGTTGGGGCCGAAAATTAAAAAGAGGGTCGAGGTGCTGCCAAAATTTTGTCTTGCGTGAATTTCCTGTTGCTCGGTAGTTGGATCAATATTCTTGCTTGTTTCTGTGCTACCAAGGTTGGCCGAAAATTCTGAGAAGGGAAGGTGCTGCCATTTTTTGGTTGATTGATCCTATGTGTGCTTGAAATATTTCTGGAATTTTGTTTTCTCTTCGGTAAAGTCTGAAAGAGAGGAAAAAAAAGTTGTGGCATCTTTGGGCTGGTGATTCATTGATATGATTTGGAAATTTTGCTATTGCTTCTGGGGGTTTCTTTACATTTTATGAAAGCATTTGGAGGTAAAGACTTCTTTCCTTCACTTTCAATAGATTGAAAATAAGGATTCTTTCTTCTTCTTCTTTCTTTATTTGATTTATGGATTAGTTCTTTCAACAAGTTTTCTTCATTTTGATTTAATCATGAGGAACTTCTTTTCTCTAATACTTGCTTAATACTTCCTTTAGCCATTGTGAATTACGAATGGATTTTAAGCTTTATTTTAGCCGGTGGATTCATCATTTTCTACTACAGTTTTACATCTGACTTATTCTTCAAATGGGTAGAATGAAATCAATTCTTTATGGATTAGTTTGATGTGGCTTCGATTTTATGGGGTTGGTTTGGCATCGTTCTGAAATCAGTTTGGGGCTTATGGACTGGGGCTTTGGGTTCTCCTTGCTCGTTTGAAATTGATGACTTCATGCTTTTTTTTAAGGGAAGGATATCTGCTTATTTGAAGCCCTATTATACCTATTATGGAATCATGGCATGCTATCCTATAAGTGTTATTTCAGAATCTGATCTTACGGACCAAACTGATTGTCTCATTCTGTGTATCTTAAAGCTTTAAGCAATGGAAACTTTGCATTTTTAACACACAATTCTTGTGTATTTACATATTTAACACCCAAACTTTGACGTTTACATATATGCCACCCAAATTTCGAAGAGTTTTTTTTTTGCTTTTCATTCTTGCCGATCTGGAGAACGTTTGAGAGCTTATATATAAATTTTGTTTCACATTCTTATCATTAAAGATACATTTGATTGTCTTGCTTAATTAGCTATGGAATTTTGACTGGTGCTTTGCAAAGAAATAATCAGGAAGGAAAGTTATTAAGAAATGAAACTTCAACCATGCTTGGATTCAAAACAGTTTATACTTCATGACTGAATTTGTCGTGACCTTCAGAGCTTGACCTGGGGGAGAAACCGAGTGCAGATTCACGAAATTTCGAATTTCTTGTGATTCTGTTAAACAATGATTGGATTTATTTGTGACTGAATTTTCTGGAATAGTTGTTTTAGGAAGATTTACATGCATGCCACCTAAATCTTTTGTATTACATTAAATCTATTAAGCCCCATGGGCGTAACCACATAAGAATTATGTGGTAGGTGTGTAAATTTTTCCAATTTATTTCCATACTGTCACCATATATTTTGACTGGAATTGATGTTTTTGGTATTATATTTTGATGTCACGATTAGTCCCTTTGATATTGCTTTAATTGGAGATGCACATGGTGTTGCCCACTTTGAGAATTACTATGCGGCAATCTATGAGAATTGGGATGCTAGAAATGTTTACATGTGATGCTTGTGTGAGAATTCTGAAACTTCGAGGAGTTTACTGTTTGGAAATCTGAATTTGAGCATTTTATTCGCAAGCGTTCTGAAGTTTTGATGAGGTCGACTCTATGCAAAATTTGAAGTTGTGTGGGTTGCACTTGTGTTGGGCTTGGTTTGCTCCTAAGTTGAGCTGGGTTTGTCCCCTGTATGGGGCTCGGTTTGGGCTCCTTTTGGTGTTGTACGTTGGCTGAAACCTCTTATTGTTTGGACCATTCATTGGGCTTGGTTTGCCCCCTGTGTTGGGCTTGGTTTGCCCCTAGATCGGGACTGGGTTTGGCCCTTTGATGGGCTCGGTTTAGTTCCTTTTGACATCATGGCTTGGCTGAAATCCTTGCTGTTTTTGGCCCCTTTAGTGAGTTCGGTTTTGGCTTCTTCTAGGCTGAATTTAGCTGAAAGTTTTACATTAGTTTTGGCCCATTTGAAGGGATGGGTTTGGGCTTCTTTTGGAGTTATATGTTGGCTGAAATTTCTTATTGTTTGGTCTATTCTTTGGGCTCGGTTCTGGCTCTGTTTTGTCTTTATTGTGGGCTCGGTTTGCCCATATGTCGGGTTCAGTTTAACTCTTTGAAAGTGGATTCTTGCTGGAAATATTTTCATTTGTTTTGCCCGTATGCTAGGCTCGGTTTGCCCATGTGTTATGATTCGGTTTTGGCTCTGTTAAATGGAAATTATTGATAAAATGTTAAATGGGAATTATTGATAAAATGTTCTTTGTTTTGCCTTTATGATGGGCTCGCTTCGCATATGTGATGATTCAGTTTGAGCTTCTTTTGAATCAAATTGTAAATGAGATTTTTGTTCTCTGTTTTCCCATATGGTAGGGCTCAGTTTTGGCCCTTTGAAGTTGGATCCTTATTGGAAAATTTTATCTGTTTTGGCCCATTTAGTGGGGCTTGGTTTTGCTTCTTCTTGGTGGTTCGGCTTAGCCCTTATGTTGAGTTTAATTTTGCCTTTCAATAGTCCAGTCTGGTCCCTTATACTGGGCTCGGTTTTACTTCCTGCTGCTCCCTTTATCGAACTTAAATATTGGAAATGTTTAATAATTTGGAGTAGTCGTTTGATGGCATCGTTTTGGATAGTTTATGGTAGCTTGTCCATTCACTATCTTATGTATATCAAATACAATGCAATGACATTACTTATGGTGGTTTCCTTTTCTGCTGCCTTTGTGGCCATTCCTCCTTATTGCTGTCCCTGGTTATGACCCAATTTTTCTATGCGGACTCCTGACGTAGCTCTACGTGTCGCGAAGGCTATTCCTAAGTTATTTTCAGGTTATTTCTGGGTTATTTTCAATAATCCTGAAATAACCAGAAATAACCCAAAAATAAAGACCGCGGGTTATTTCTGGGTTATTTTGGGATTATTGAAAATAACCCAGAAATAGCGAGAAAAAAAATCAAAAATAACTCAGGAATACTTTCCGCCGCACCTAGAGCTACGTCAGGAGTCCGGACAGAAAATGCACTCCTGGTTATGAATATTTATTTGATCTTATAGCTCCATGATTAGATGAAATGAAAAATGATTATATGAAATGAAAATCTTTTAATGAAAGGAGGAAATCAAAAGGATTTGGGAAGAGTATGAAATTGCTATTTGGAAATGATTCTCTGGAGGTTTAACATTAAAGCTTAGGTTCAGTGCATATAAGTGATGAAGCCATGTGTACAGTGTTATATTAGTCTTGAGCCCGTTTCAACCTATTTGAAACAAAATGTGGAAATGATATCCTCTTTATGTTGATCCAACTATAAAAGTTGAGGAAATGATATCCTCTGGATTAATTTAAGGATCTTGAGCTCTCTTTTTAAGATCTTTTTGTCATGGTTTTGAGGGTTGTTTCACCCTTTATCCTTTCGGTCTTTTGGTGAATCAATTCCTCCTCTCTCTCAGCCCCATTTTTATTTTTTTTTTCTTGCTTCTTTGTATGATTTTTTGTGTTTATGTCCGATACATAAGTGCTAATGTATAGCATTTTGCTATATGTGAAACCATCAAGCAAGGTCGCAAGTAGGTCGGTTTTGTTTTGGGGCGTAGGGCGATGATGACAAAAACACACTGGTGGTAGAGTAGAATGATATCTCGTTCTACAACATCAGGACTCAATTATGGGACCTGATGAACTGTAGGATGAAAGTATCATTCACCGACATAAGACTAGAGGGGGACCCGTACCTTCTTAGGATGTTTGGTCCCCTACGTCCGATGATGTAATCGACTTGTGGACAATTTTTTTTTTTTGAAAATTGATAAAACAAATTGATAAGAATAAATACAATATTTATAAAAATATTTTCACTATAAAATTAATACGACTTTTCTTTTGTATGCCTGAAATATATATGCATGCTAAAATATAAATTTTAAAAAACGTGTTACAAATTGGTTGTCCACTTGTTGATTACCGATACTGGATTAAGGAGTACCCTCCTAAGTTAAGTTTAGTAGTATATTCTTCAAGTAGAGTGACGGGCTTTATACATCCGGGTGATCGAGTAGCCTTCGATGTCCCTCAAGTATAAATATATTATATTTGAGCCTAGCCCCAACCCGAGTGCTTGCAGTCCCCTCTTTTCGGATTTTTTGTATATTTTATCAAAATTTTTGGACAAAGCACTCGTGATCTTTTTTCCTGGATTTTCCTGAGATTTTGATAATTTTATTTGAATTGTCACTCGTCAATTTTCTTAAGTTTTCCATTGTGGATTATTCGTCGACTTTCTCGAGTTTTCCGTCGTGAATTATTTGTCGATTTTCTCGAATTTTTCAGGCAATGCTTCTTTTGCTTATACAGTGAATGATAACTAGATTAAAGAAGCAGCAGGTCTCCAAAATATACAGGTTTGATTTACATTACAACATTTTTCTTTCATAGCATATTATACTGTTCTCCTGGTATGTTATACTGTTCTCCCTTTTTATACCGCATGTTGTATTGCTTTGATATACACTATGCCTTAGTATATAAAAAATTAGTAGTTATATAAGATTAACATTAAACCCGGAGGGGCTACGACAAAGAGTTTGGAGCGAGCACTGTAAGCAGCACGACGAGGAACAACTTCAAGATGAATCTACAACATTAAAACACATTCACATCACCGATCACTTTCCTTAGTTTAAATAACAACCCATAGGTTTGAGCGGGTTTGCCTAGTGCAACGTAAACCCTCACATATCACTTTTAGGCATTTACACAATCCTGTTGTGCAATTATAAGTCCTAACACTTTAGGATTCTGAGGTTACCGTACAGTATGGTGTAAATCCTCCTGTCTTTTTAGACTATTTGCATGATTAGATATCGTGCGAATATAAATCCTAAATTCTAAATAAATTGCAGGATTAAACATTAAATAATACCATTCCAAAGACATAAAGCCAAATAATAGAATAGTTGGGAAGTCACCGGGGTTTCCGCTGGATCTGTGATATCCCCTATTCTTCGCTTCTTTGAATTCCTTAAAATAATTGTTCCTATTTTGAGTCACTCCCGTTTGATTTTCCCATGTCCAATCTTGGAAACCTAAACTTTGAAATCTGGAAGGTAAAACCATTGATCTTAATCGAGAGTTTTTTTAAGTGACCCCGGTCATTTAAGATGTAATTAACTATAGGGGCTTGCCTCTATAGAGAATTTGAAACTCAGATAAAATAAACTCTATCTAATCCTTATATTAGGTAGGAGAACTTGTTGGCCTCATATAAAAATATTTTGCAGACCAAACAAATGTTACAAATCCTTTAGTTTAGGTGATTGAGCCTACTACAAGTGATATGTTTATTCTTCGGAATAAGTGTATTATTTGTGGTATCATGCTTAGTCATCCAAACTATCCAAAATGTGAGACTCGTTTGGTCTCACCTATTTTAAAAATTAAAATGTTACTTTCAAGAATCAAAATTATATTTACCTCAAAATTATTTTCAAAAATCATAAAGTTTAAAGTTTTAATATAATAAAAAATAAAACAGCCGACAACCACACATTTCTTTTGTATTTACATATCTAACACCCAAAGTGGTATTTAAGCTTATAACGCCTTCATGTTATAAACCTATGCATGAAAAAGTATATTTCATTTTTAAAAAAATAATGATGGTGATATTTTTGATATGATGTTAAATATTTGAGTGGTAGGTATGTAAATATTAAAGTTTTCGAGTGAGATATGTAAATACATAAGAATTTTATGGTATGTTTTTAAATGCCCCAAATTTTTAAATGTATAGAATTTGATATTGGATGTTAATATAAGTTTTATTTGAAGCTTCATAAGATGGATTTCCTAAATAAATTTAAAATACAATTATTTACAGATGCAAGGTGAAGTGACATACAATGGATATAGGATGAGTGAATTTGTACCACAGAAGACTGCAACATACATCAGCCAAAATGATATACATACCGCTGAGATGACTGTGAAGGAAACGCTAGATTTTTCTGCTAAATGTCAAGGCGTGGGAGATAGATGTGGTAAACTTTTTGCGGCATTTACATACTTGTGTATTTACACATCCCACACTTAAATTTTCATATTTACACACATAACACTCAAAGCTTTAATATCACATCAAAATAGCACTAATATCACTTTTTAAAAGTGAAATCTAGAGCACCAAAGAGGAATTTCCCAAACTTGTATTACCTGTGTTACGAATGCTCCTTGAATTTAGAAATTAGTTGTTGTTCAAATTACAGCTCGTTTTTTGTTTCCCAAATATTTATTTGATGGAGGTAATATTTCAGAACTTTTAAGCGAGCTTACTAGAAGGGAAAAGGTTAAAGGCATCGTACCAGAACCTGAGGTGGATCTCTTCATGAAGGTATGCAAATTCCTTGAAAAGTATAATTTTTGATGTGTTTAAAATGAAAACAAATTGAAGTCCTCTTTTGTTGAATTCTTTTTATTTTTATTTATTTATTTATTTATTTTTATTGAAAAACAGTGAATGCAAGGAAATAAAAACAATACATAATCTTCTTTAATATTTGTTAAATTTCTTAGGCTACCTCTATGAATGGCGTTCAAAGCGGCCTCCAAACAGACTATACCATGAAGGTTAGTTCCATGTTGTACAGACATGCTAATTGATAGCTATGTTAATCACAATTTTTTTTAATAAAATTTTTTCGTACTTCAAAATTTCATTTTTAGTTCATGTTATTGTTATTTCAAAGTGCCATGTGCTTATATGAATTTTCTCTTTGAATATGATTTTAGTTTAACATTGGCTGGGTAGGCTGTAATAAGGTCCAAATTTGACGCCTTTATGACTACTGGTTTATTTAATATCCATGAAAGCAATTTATTAATCTATGCATGCATCAAATGGATTTGCAGATTCTAGGATTGGATTTATGTGGTGACACAATTGTGGGCGATGAGATGAGAAAAGGAATATCAGGAGGTCAGAAGAAGCGTGTTACCACAGGTCCTCATTTCTATAATTAACTTGATATGTATTCATCCCATTTTTGCCCTGAAACATAAATTCTAACTCTGTAAAAGATTCTTATTAAGCTTTTTTGGTACGGTTGTTATGATCATATGCTTGTGATCGATCTCAGAAACGCTCTCACATAAAATCACATGTTGCTCCACAAGTAAAGCTCATATTCTCTTGAAGCTGTATAGACGTGCAGTACAAAATTAGATTTCCACATATATTACCGAATAAATTAAATTACTTTTCAACACTGGAGATAAGCTTTATATATTAGTGTGTGTAGGATAATAGAAGTCTGATGCAAGGCGTATCCCGCACAGGTGAGATTTCCCACAACAGGAAAGCAGAAACGCGCTTATGCCTGGACTGAACCAGTGTATTCACATTTCTGTGGAGTTGGCCACTCCTAGTTATCCTATTACTATATATATGTTTTTTTAATGTTTTAGTATTAGTTTTTGTGTTTTTTGTGTCGGGACAGCCACCAATATCTCTTCTTCCCTTCGAGGGTTGTCTCGTAGGATTCCATATAGTGTTTCAACTATATTTTGGTCTTCAGGTAGTGCATATCTTCCCTATCCTTTTCCACATTCTCTCCATGTTGCTTCTGGCTGCCCTTTGGTGCTTTAGCTGCCCAAGAAAGCATTTGCAATTTCAGCCGTCACCATAGTCTTCCCCTGCCTCTATATCATTACCCCAACAATTTCAGCCCAATAAAATCGCTGCCATCATTGTCCAACCCTCCTGTACGGTTGTTGCCCCTCACACAAGAATATAATTAATTTGTGTTTTATTAGATCCATTTTTATAAGTGATAATATGTTTATCTTTTTTTCCAAAAAAAAATATTAGCAATAACAAAATCATTAGTTAAAAAATAAATTTCAATCTTTTTCATTTGTCACTTACTTTTTTCATTTGTCACTCCAAAATTATAGCCGCCATGAATATTTATAAAATCTTCTATCACTCCACCAATATGTCCATTTAAATCTCTTCCAATAAAATTTCTTTTTTCAAAAGGTATAATTTGTGTTAATTATTTTATGTTATTTCAAAATTTTTCTTTTGAAATTTTATTAGTTTCTATAACATTATCTTCAAACTCTTATATATAATTACACATATAATATTTCAAGTTAAGACTCCTACCTGAATACCAAAATTTAAATTCTAAAGTTATTAATCTCAGCTTTTTATTCTAACTATTTATTTTTTGAATGAATGAGCTATTTATTTTTCTATGAACCATAATATATATCAATTCTATTAATTTACCTGTGAGAGTGTCTATAATCCTAGTTTCTATTCTAATATTAGTTTCATTGACTAATTTCTTTGTCACATCTGTTTATAATATGAGAACTCTCATTTATTTAACACTATACTAAAAAATCGGTGCAACAACCCTTACATACTTTTAATTATATTCAATTTATATAGTGTGTCGCTTGTGGGGGACGCCCTAGCATTACACAATGATTTGAATGAGTTATGTCATGATTTTTTGACAAAATATTATGCTAGTTGTCGACTACCTAACACAACCCTCCTTTTTTGGCATTTGTGACTTGAGACCGTACAATGACAGTGTTAAAAAAATGGGCATATCATTATATAGAAAAATGTATAGAGTTGTCAGTAATGATCAACGACTAGTAAACTCTTAAAACAATGTTATTAAAAATTAGCGGCATTTACATACATGGCGCACAACTCTTATGTATTTACATATATCACACCTAAATTTTCGTATTTGTACACATATCACTCAAATCTTTAATAGCACATAAAGAATAACACTATTACCATTTTTTAAAGTTATACACTCCTTTTCATGCATAGGTTTAAAGCGCCAAATATGTAAATAGATGAGAATTGTGTTCTGCGTATGTAAATTTCCCTAAAGGTTAATAGAAAATCATAAACTTTGAACAGGCTTTACAAATTAAACTATAAAATAAATTTGGCAACATAATTTCCTAGTCATTAGTTTCAACAAAAATGCCAAGCTCATGGTGATTTACTTCATAATGTTTTGATATAGACAATGTTCGTGGGATTTGAAGCTTTTCATTGTAAGGAGAGCTTAATTTAGTTGCAATATATATAGAAGGGGCATTTACATACAAACCACACAATTCTTATGTATTTACATATGTAACACCGAAACATTTATGTTTACAGCATGCCGCTCAAATCTTTAAACTCACATAAAAAATCTCACCATCACTACCCTTTTAAAAGTGAAATACACATTTTCATGTATAGGTTTTTTATGACACCAAAGTGTTATAAGTATAAATATCAAACTTTGTGTGTTAGATATGTAAATGCATAAGAATTGTATGGTATGTGTGTAACTTTCTCAAAATAGAAATAAAATATACTTTAAAGTGAGATGCATGAAATTTTTCCAGGTGAGATGATTGTTGGGCCAACAAAGACACTTTTCATGGATGAGATATCAACAGGGTTGGATAGCTCTACAACACATCAGGTTGTAAAGTGCCTTCAACAGATTGTGCACCTAGGCGAGGCAACTATTGTTATGTCCCTCCTCCAGCCTGCACCTGAGACCTTCGATCTTTTCGATGACATTATCCTTTTAACTGAGGGTCATATTGTCTACCAAGGCCCTCGCGAGCTTGCCCTTCATTTTTTCGAGAGTTGTGGCTTTCAATGCCCAGAGAGGAAGAGTGTTTCTGATTTTTTGCAAGAGGTGAGTTATACATGTCAATTCATGTTTATTCTGATATTTGGGATCTGTATTTTAAAAAAAAGGAAGATTTACATATATACCACCTAATTCCTATTTATTTACATATCCAACACTTAGACTTTAACCTTTTACATGTATTTCACCTTACCAATGCATAAAAATGTGTATTTCACTTTTTAGTAGTTAAAATGGTGGTGTTTTTAATGTAATATAAATGATTTGGGTGGTATAAATGTAAAAAGTAAAATTTACTTGTTAGTAAAATTTACTTGTTAGATTTGCAATTAGATGGTATGTATGTAAATGCCCCCAAAAAAATATTGCAATAAAAAGGAAAATACAATTCATATGTAATTTTTTAATTTCCACAAATGTGACCTCAAGTTTAGAGTTTAAGTCATGGTAATAGCTTTCTTAACCAAGTTACATATACTAAACCTTTCTCACTTCCCACTTCCGACTTCCCACTTCCGACTTCCGACTTACTTCCTCCCCTACAAGAAAATCTTATGGAATGCTTGGATATTTGGAATAGCGAAGCATAGCCTTAGTGATTGAATTTTCCAAAGTTTAAACCACTAAAAAGAATTCTTTAACATTACTTTGTTTCAGTGTATTTAATGAGAAACTTACAACAATTTTGATGCCCAACCAAAAAAATCAGGTTACCTCGAGAAAGGACCAGGAACAATATTGGGCAGAGAAGAGCAAACCATATCACTTCATATCGGCAGCTGAGTTTGTTAAACACTTCGAGAAATTCTACGTCGGCAGAGATCTGCAAAGGCAGCTTGCAGTCCCTTTCGACAAGCAAAAGAGCCATCGAGCAGCATTGTTGTTAACCAAGCACTCCGTTTCATTGAAGGATCTATTCATAGCGTCCTTTGCGAAGGAGTGGCTTCTCATCAAAAGGAATTCCTTTTTTTATGTCTTCAAATCAATGCAGGTGTTCAGAAATTACGCAGATTTTATTTTCTGATTGTAATAGCATTTTCACTTAAAACCTTAACCTTTTACAAATTTTCTGCAGCTTCTCATACTTTCATTATTGTACTCAACTGTCTTTCTGAGGACACGAATGGATACAGCAACTGAAGCTGATGGAGCTGTATATATTGGAGCAATAATTTATGGTTTGATTGTCAACTTGTTCAATGGTTTTGCAGAGCAAGCGCTAGCTATCATGAGGCTACCTGTGTTCTACAAGCAAAGGGATCTCCTCTTCTATCCAACCTGGGTCTTTACAGTTCCAAATTGCATTATAAGAATTCCCATCTCTATGATAGAGGCTTCTGTTTGGGTCCTTCTGACATACTACGTTGTGGGATTTGCCCCAGAATTTAGTTGGTAAAGCATTCTCCTTATTCAGTAAATTATGTTTCTAAATTTCATGCATGACTAAGTACTAATTGGTATTGTTGTGTAAAACTGTGCTGTTTTTGTGTGCACCATTTAGGCTTAGTTTGGTATTATTGTCTAACTGTGGTAGTGCTCCATAAAAAAGAATAGTCATTAGTACCTTAATAAAAATGGACAAATTGTTCTGCAAGTACCTTTTGGATGATCATCGAGTTACGGTGAAGGTGTTGCATGCAGCATATCACTTTCCGTTTCATATTCATTTTTGATGTAATCGAAATTCACCCAAATTAGATTAATTCAAGATATAATGCACCATGCGTCTAGAATTTGCTGCAGCCATGTGATTTCACAGCCTCTATGTAATACTCCGACTCTCACCTATCAAAATATTTTGTTTTGGCCTAATAGCCATATGATTTTGTCCTATTAGTGTAACTTTCCAGAGGTCACCCATCCTGAGAGTGTTCTTGTACGAGCATGCTTAACATTGAATTTTTTTATGAAATCATAACCGTTACACGGAAGACACCTCAAGGTTTAAGAATTCAACTTCATTTTACTTCAGTGATTTCATAATCTCCCCCAATAAAATAACTGATTTCGTTGTCAGTGTTTTAAATTCATGATCATCCACTAGGCATATATGATTTTAAAGATGACCCTTATAGATTAAAGTGGGGGCACCCACCATGTAGCACATTGTCTCATCAAGAGTTCAAGATGTGACTCTCATAGCGTAGAACTCTGTTCCATATGACACTTAGTTTTCATCTTCTAGCTAGCGCTATGGTTCGATACCATTTATAATGACTTGAATTCTCATCCATGAAATATTATTCACTTTTGGCCTAATGGCCTCATAGTTTTTTTTTATATTGATGTAACTTCTCAAGAGGTCACCCAGCTCAGGAGTGCTCCCCCACAAGTACACTTAACTTTGACGTTTTTAATGAAATATCAACCGTTACAACAAAAGACACCTCTATGTTTAGAGTTGAGTTTCATTCTATTTAAGGATTTCACAATCTCTCCCATTTAAGTAATTGTTGTCTTTATTAGTGTTATTTACCCAAAATCATCCACCAGGTAGATATGATTCTAGATGTGGCTCCCACCATGTAGCACTTTCCTATTTAGGGTTCAAGAGGTGGCTCTCATAGTTTAGCACTTCGTTCTATATGATACTTAGGGTTTGTTTGAAGCAGCTGCAGTTTATCCAGCTTATGCTGATAAGAAACTTATCCTGATAATCTGTTGATGATCAGTTGATCCGGATAAGCTAACTGGCTGTTCGGTTTGTGCGTTTGGAAAACAGTTAATTCTGGATAAATGACCAATCTGCCCCTGTTCCTGGATAAGTTGTTTAGTTGTTTTCTGGATAAGTTGTTTAGTTGTTTGGTTTGTGTGTTTTGTAAACGGCTGAATTGCAGATTTTTTTAGTTAAATGAAAAAGCTGGCACGTAAAAGTTGTAATGTCTACCTCTCAGCTATTTTAGAACCAATTAATCCACTTCAGATTCATTCGACATTTACAGACCACCTAAAAAATTGCTATTTACAAATTTACCAACCTTCTTAATGTAACCCAATAGGGGAGATAAAAGTAAAGAATGATGAATTCAAAGAAGAAAATTTTTCTCATTTCCCAATCAATATAGAGGGGAGTTGGACACTCACACGCACATAGCGATGGAGAAGGGATTCATGGAAATCATATAAGTAAAATTTGAGATTTTCATTACTATTCTTGGAGATGCAATGTAACATTAATTCATATGGAATGTGACAAGTTTTTAAAATTAATGTTCAAATGTTAGGACATGATAATACAAAAGCGTTGAGTTGTGTGTGTAGAACTTCGAAAAAAATTTTAGACACAAAAAACATAATATCATGTAGGAAAATGTTCAAGCTGCTACAAAATATCAATAATAAAACAACCCATTCTACAACATTTACAAAATGTTCAAAGTGTTCAAGCTGCTGCATATTACTCAAATAATTTCTGTGACACACTAATATGTAGTATTGTGAAACTCCAAAAAAAAGAAAAAATAACGAGTTAAAATTACAAGGAAAAAATTACAATATTGACTTTAAAATGTAGAAGCATATCATGACAAATGTTGTCCGGTTCTGACACCCCAGATCCCCGAGCAAACCTGTTCGACTGGGATATCATAGAAATGGAAGCACTCGAACCACATGTGGTGTTCTCAAGTTGTGATACCGTCAAACTACGAGCAACGGTGTGCAATTGAGATATTGTAGATACGAACTTTCTGTCGGCTCACCTGAATAAATTGTAGTCCTTCGGTCCTTGTGCCCACTGCGGACACCTGTAGAATTTCCGCCTGTAGCTATGTGGCTGGCGTGACGTGAGCGGCAAGGACGGTGGCCCACAACGGCATATCATTTGCCCAGATTTCCTTGAATATTTGAAACTCATCGTCTTGAAATTTTTAAAAAGAGAATAGATAAGTCAAAAAAATAAAGGAAATAAAGAAAATGTACTTACCGATATATAGATGCAGCAGTTCCCGACAAGAAAGATCTGTGGTCATCCAAGCGGCTCCACAGTTATCTCAATAATATCAGTCCAGTCAAAAAGTAAAAAAAAGAGTTTAGAAAAAAAAAAGTTAAATGTTGTAGTGTCCAACCAACGGTAATCTCATTCCTGCCAATAAACAACATTGACAATAACCATTTTAAGCTTCATTTAACATAGAAAACATTGGTCGTCCAATCCCATTCCAGGCAACAATACAGATTGGCCATAACCAGTGTTGCCCATATTTTTACTGTTCTGCCCATATTTTTTAAAATCTGTTCATATAAAAGGTATCAAAGTATGCTACTCTGCTCAAGACATGTCCCTACGAAAGAGGATCTTCTATTACTTTTGCACAAAAAAAAACTTCTACTTTCAGATAACAGCAGCCATGTACTGCATAGCTCCTTCACACCACTTGCTGAAAACCAACACTAGAGTCCAATTTCTCCAATTAGAACAGGGGCTGGGCCAATGTTTCTAATTAGAACAGGGACAGGAACAGGAAAAGGGGCTGGCCAAGTTCATATAAATGGTATCAAAGCAGTCTATATGCATGAACAGGAACAGGGATTGACCAGTTACATGGAAAGCTGAAATCCAACCTGCAACATAGGACAATGTAAAAAACCAAAAAATCTCCAGGGTAAAGGTTCTGTTTAGGTGACAGAAACTAGATGCTGGCAAACAGCTTGCCCAACAAAAAAAAATTCATGATTATCCATGGCCCAAACTCCCTTTTGTATTTCAAAGAAGAAAGCAACAAAAAAAATTTATGATTATCTATGCAAAAAAAAATATGTATGCATGCAGTAAATATGTACAGAATCTTCCCTTAAATGTAAAAAGCCCTACCATCTTATTTTCAAATTATCCTTATCCACTTAACTGCAAGAGAAATACTGTAACCAAACAGTGAACTTCAAGAGAGATGCTACATAAACAATTAGCTTCCCTATCTGAATTGCTTGCCTATCTCACTGTTTACATAAATAACCATTTGCTAACAGAATAAAAAATTGCTTCAGAAAAGCATAGAAGATATCTAAAGGTATATACACCAGTAAAATGTTTTCATCTCAAATGCTTGCCTATCTAAAATGTTGGCCCATTTCAAATGCATGCCTATCTAACCTTCCCTACCAGTAATATCTAACATGCTTCATCTCAAATTTGAACCCACTTGTTTTTGAATTTCATCCGATCGCAATCCCTTCTGGTCAGTTCCTTGTATTCAGGAATAAGATTCTGCCAACCTTCTTTATTAAAATAGGTGGTCGGCCTATTACCCAACTCGAGTTCCCTCAGACAGAAATCACAAAATGTAATGGTGGTCTCTTTATCCCACATGGCCGATAATCCAGACTCTTTAAGTTTACTCATTTTGACTGAAATAAACGAGGTAGCATGAAATTAATACTATGCAAGAGAAAAAACGTCAAAATAGATAAAAATAACTAATATTGTATGACTAATATATAGAGATTGTTATCATGCCATAAAACATTGCAATCTTTTTATTGTGACATTTGGTAATTATTGGAGGACATGCCATAGAACATTTGGTTGCCATTGGAGGAGATGCAATCTTCTTATTTCGACATTTGAATGCGTACCAACCAATTTTTATCTATTACCATACCTAACACCAAAATTTAACTTGAGCGCATATGTAAAGCGGTATGCATGTAAAAAATGAAGCATGCCTGTTACATACAAAAATATATAAGAATTGACTGATATTTATGTAAAACTTCCTTTTTTTTTCATAAAGAGTCTATTTGTTCTTCCCTTCAAACGCATAGGAGTAATGATTTAAGAACTACTCGAACTAAATTTTTTCAAGAATGGATTTGTTCTTCCCTTCAAAAGCATAAGCATCGATTTCTTCTTCCTTTTTTTCATGAAAAAGCTGTACAGATTCCTTCATCATGAAAACAAAAAATAAAAATCAAGATCATGCATTACTTTACAAGAAAAAATTTCATTCCAAAGCTACCATCAGAAACTTCCAGTCATAATATTAGGTTAGCAAAAACCTCAGCTCAATCAAGGCTAGAGATGCACACCCTTGAAGCATAATAAAAAACCTTGTTTTTTCTCACTTCGACAATAGACCACTTCATTGAATGCGGAGGAAACATGTCAGAAATGTTTCACGATTCAAACACATTCCCACTCTAACATGAAGTAAACAACTCAGTAATAGAGCAGAAGAGAAAATTACAGAGAGAGAAAGAGAGAGAAAACCATAGCATCAAATTCGCAGAACGCCAAATATCAAAGGAATCATTCTCGATGTTTAAAAAATTTCAGTAAAAAAAGTGGATCTAGATTTTCACCAGCAATACTCAATTCCCAACAACTGGATCTAGGTTTTTAGCAATTTCTTCTCAGCATTTTCAGATTCACCGCAAAATTTAACAAATAGATCGTCCAAAATCAAGAAGGCTTTCGACCAAATGGGGGAGCGGAGGGAGGAGAAGAGATTCCTTACCTGCGGAGCGAATTCGGGTATCGACGGAGGCAGGATTGACGCCTTCTAAAGAGGAAAGGTAGGGCTGCGTGACTGTTTTGCGAGGGCAATGGAGTAAAAATTTGAAGGCCGAATGCGGATTGTGGGGATATACCCGTGGTCCGCATGTAGTACAAAATAAGAAACACTGTTTGTAGAAACTGGCCTCAAACGTGAGAAACAAACAGTGAGGCGGCATTTTCTAAACGCCACCGCACTTATAAGCTGCCCCAAATGGGCCCTTAGTTTTCATCTTCAAGTTGGTGTAATGTTCTGATACAATCTGTGAGAACTTGAACTCTCATCTATTGAGATACTATCCACTTTGACCTGATTGTCTTTTCTCCCATTGATGTAACTTCCTAGCAAACGCTCTTAACTTTGGAGTTTCTAATGAAATTTCAATTGTTACTCCAAAAGGAGCTTCTATATATAATAGTTCAGCTCATTCGACTAAAGCAGTTTCACAAAACAGTAGACTTGAACTTTGGAAACTACTGGGTGACATGCTAATAGGTTTTAATTTTCCCTTATTCAGCCATCTTTGGCATAACTACCACAAGCCTTTTTGTGGCTAGCAAAAGTTTCTTAATGTCACAATAGTGCCAAATAGAGGGGCAAATCATAACATCTAAGTTGTGCTCATGACACCTAAACAACATGTTGAAAAAGTTATTCAGAATAATCAAATGTCTGATAAATCACTCTTTATCATCATCCAACATGCTTAAAATTGTCAAATCATTCAAGAAGCTCAAACCATACATAATAAATCTAAAATTATTTTATCAAAATATGGAGTTATAAACAATAATAAAGATGTTTCTTGTTATAGCTTTTCTATTTCACAAGTGAGAATTTTTGGTTTAATTATTGCAAACCTTTTTATTTTGCACACGTCATTCAAAATTTCTTTCTTTACAACAGCTCTTTCATTTTCTAACTTATAGGTAAATTTATTCCTCAATTAATGTTCTTGATTTAAGAACCAATAAGCTATTTATGTTGAGATGCTATTTATTCCTAAATTATTGGTTGAATTATTGCAATCCAATAAGCTAACTTGCAGGATAATCAATCATTTAGTATTTCTATTCCAACATAATTTTCAATTATCTGATGTGAGATTAAATCCAAAACTTCATTTGTCGTAACACTTTTTAGAAGCAAATACTATGCAAACTTAATTATTATGTAAACCACATAATTTTTTAAGCAGTTTGCCATAGGGATGCAGTTAGTTTTTTATCGTGAGTTTTTTTAATAATTCATTCCGAACTATTTGAAATTAGGATGGCATGCAACTGAAGTACAATTATACCCTTTTATTGCAAAAAACATATAGTAATTCGATCAAAATCAAGCCTTCTTAACTTGTCTTCAATTTGTATAGAGATAAAATTTTTATTGTTATTGGGTGCTTCCCATATGTTCACTAATGAAACCATCTTAAATTTTCCTTACAGTTTTCTTAAGCAGCTCCTCATCTACATCATAATTCAGCAGATGGCAGCAGGCCTATTAAGAATGGTAGCAGGCATTACAAGACATCCGACTGCTGCAAATACATATGGATCCATCTTTTCACTCTTTTTGATCGGTATTGGAGGCATTGTTATACCTAAAGGTTCCCATTCTTGCCTCTCTCAACCCAAACCTGGTAGAAGTTTATACATAAGGACCCATTTAAGATTGCTTTTCATTTTTTATTTTGGTTTTAAATTTTTTTTTTTTTTTAGTTTCTTCATCTTTTTACTTGAAATAAAATATGTTTGGAATGTTATGACAAGCTTAGTTATTTTTAAACACAAAAAATAATTTTTTAGATATTTTATTTGTTTTTAATAACAGGTTTTTTTTAGAATTAAAAATAAAATGAAGATTTACGTGCATACCACTCAATTCTTATGTATCTACATATCTAAACTTAAATTTTAATTTTTACATATAAGCCACTTTTTCTATTCATAAAAAAGTAAATTTCACTTTTTTGAGGTTAAAATAGTGGTGGTTTTGATGTGATATGAAATATTTGAGTGATATAACGTAAAAAGTAAATTTTAGGTGTTAGATATGAGAAACAACAGAATTTGGTGGTGTAAACGCCCCAAAATAAAAACTTGTAAAATATACACTAAACAAATATATTTTTAAAATAAAAATAAAAGTGATCCCAAACAAGCTCTAAAATTTTAAAATGGGAAACATGAAGCTCTTCAGTTGTTTCTAGTCATTTCACCTTCACATTAAACTGAAGATATGATCGCATGGTTTACTAATATTTCGGGACGTGGCTTTGGTTTGATGCCAAGAAATAGCAACATTTCACCTTCTTTAAGGTCTAGTTTGTTTTGGTAAAGTGTATGAAAGGGTTTAGAGTTCTGGTTTTGAAAATGAGTTTATTGGACTTCAGTCCATCTGTTTAGCATGATAAGACTTAGGCTCATTTGGCATCAATTTTATTTTTATATATCTTTTTTTCTTTTGTTTAAAAAAGCATACTTGTTTAGTGTATTTTTTACATAATTTTATTTAAAAAAAAAAAAGTCAACACTTTTAAAAACACTAGCAATAGTTTTTTTGCTTTTTGAGTTTTTTAAGTGCAGTCATTGCAATCAAATATATTCTTTTTCAAATTAAGTCATAAATAAAACAAAATAAAAAAGCAAATTAAAATTTAAAAACAAAATTGATCCCAAATAGCCTCATGGTAGTTCTTGTATTTGTTTTGGTGGTAATATCTTTGTCTATCCGCCACTTGAATAATTTGTTTGATTTTACTATTAATGTCGATATAAGTAATAAAGTCATCAATGACAGCAACTTCATATTATTTATTACAAGAGTATATAAAAATTAAAATTGAATGACTTACATCCCTCATAATTTGAACTACCTCTTCTCTAGTTATTTTTATGAAGTTGATTTTTAAAAATAGCAACTCACTATCGTATATTTTTTATCAAACATCAAGAAATTCATCCATAATAGTTCTACCCCCTAAATACTTATTTTAAAACAAGCTAATCCTCAAATATAACATGTTTTTACCCAAACATTGGAAGTAGGGCACATACCAATTATGAAAAAAAATGATATTTTTAAAATAAGAAGCTTAAAAAATAAAATGATTGTAGTGAAACAATTAGTCAACTCATCATTCTCTATGTTTGTTATATTCATTTGTTTTTCTATCATAATTATCTTGTTTTCTATATATGAATATTTTTGAGATGTACATGGCAGCTTTGATGCCCAAATGGTGTCGCATTGGTTATTGGATTTCGCCGCTAACCTATTCATTTAATGCTATTGCAATCAATGAGATGCTTTCTCCAAGATGGATGGACAAATTTGTAAGTATTAATCTATATTTACATTCTTCACTTTTATTAAAACTGTTGGCTATGCTAAGTTACAATGAGAACGTTCTCATCATTTATGACTTCTTATGTACATTTTGTGCTGAGAGGTTAACAATAATTATAAAAATTCATTAAAAACAGTTTAGTGTTTTGGGATGTTCGCATGTATGGTATATGAATTTTTGATATAGTACTCTAATCTATATGATGTACTCCAATACATAGCAGATTGGTTGGAAATAAAGTGAAGAATTTTAAGAGGCCAAAGTTGGCAATTCAAGGCAGGCATTGAGGCCTCTACCAAATGTCCATCTTTTAGGAAAAAAAAAAACTCATCAAACAATAAAAAAGAATTTTTTCATAATCAAGGTGAACTTATTCTTATTTTTAAAGACATTTAACATTTTTTAAGGTTAATGTCGACTAAACAGACTGGATGTTTTAGCAAGAGCTAAAGAATAATCTACTATTAAAATTAAAGAATGATATATTTCTAAAATTCATATATTTGATGCTGTGTACCAATTAAGATCTTTAGTATTTCATGAAATCAGCTCTATTATAAAATCAACCTGATCTTGCAGGCACCAGATGGCAGGAGATTAGGATTGGCAGTTCTAGAGAATATCAATGCCCTCACAGATAAGAGCTGGTATTGGAGATCAGTTGTTATCCTTTTAGGTTATTCCGTCCTCTTCAATGTCCTCTTCACACTCTCCCTCCAGTATCTAAATCGTAAGTCATCGTTAATATAGGATTTACATGTACACCACTTAATTCTTTTGTATTTACATATCTAACACTTAAAACTTTAATTTTTGTCAATATACCACCTTACCTATGCATGAAAAGGTGCATCTCACTTTAAAAGTTAAAATAATGATATTTTTTTATGTGGTTTGAAATATTTGGATGGTATGAAAAGAAAAAGTAAAACACACATGTTAGATATGTAAATATATAAGAATTGGATGCTATGTATGTAAATGCCCCTAAAGAATATCAACAAGGCTTACGTGAGAATGACCATCATTACTTAATTTCATTGTGACAGCTCTGAGCAAGCAAAATCCTGTAGTTTCGGAAGAACCAGAAGTAGAGGTGAAAGATGAAAGATTTCCTAAGAATAACAATGAAAATATGTGTAAACATTAACTCTCACTTTCTGCTAATTTTTTTGCAAAGTTTGCTCAGAAGATATGAGATACTCATGACATCATATCATTTACAGTGGAGATAAAAGAACGAAGTTGGTGTGAGTACAAAAGCCCTTCCTCCCAAGATTGGCGTAGTTATGAAACATATCAGAACAAAGCAAAGAAAACTGGAACTAATGGAGGAATGAATTTTCCTTTTACGCCCCTTTCAATGTCTTTTAAAGAAGTAAATTACTATGTCAACGTACTTCCCGTGAGCCCCTCTTCTTTCCTTGCTTCCGAAAAAACAGAGCAAACTGTCAAAATAGTCTCTTGACCCTTTGTAGGGAGTCATTTAAGTTCCATAGTCTATAAAAGTGTCAATTTATTCCCCAGATGCTTTTAATATTGGCTAAAATTAGCCCGAATTTAAAAAGTCTAAGAACTACTGGCACTTTTATAGACTCAGGGATTAAACCAGCCTCATGTAAATAGTCAAGGGCTATTTTGCCACATACTATTTCAGGAAAAAAAAGAAATGAGATTAATGAAATGTTTTGCTTTAATAGGAAATTAAAAAGCAAGGGGTAACTGAAGATAGGCTACAGTTGTTGAGGGGGGTTACAGGGGTTTTCCGACCTGGAATCCTCACAGCTCTAATGGGTGAGAGTGGGGCAGGAAAGACAACACTTATGGATGTACTGGCTGGTAGAAAGACTGGAGGCCACATTGAAGGCGATATTAGGATTGCCGGCTATCCGAAGAAGCAATCGACATTTGCACGAATTTCGGGTTACTGCGAGCAGTTTGATGTCCACTCTCCTCAACTCACCGTCAAGGAGTCGTTAATCTTCTCTGCGTTACTTCGCCTTCCCAAGGAAGTCCATAAAGAAGATAAATTTGTAAGTTGAAATTCTTTTGGGGCATTTTCATACATACCATCCAATTCCTTTGTATTTACATATCTGACTTCTAAACTTTACTTTTTTACATTTATAACACTCAAATCTTTGCATCACATCAAAAACATCACATCAAAAATATCACCATTTTTTTTTAAATGTGAAATACACCTTTCCATGTATAGGCAAGGTGGTATTTATGTAACAATTGAAGTTTAGGTGTTAGACATGTAAATACATAAACTATTGACTGCTATGTATGTAAATCATCCGATTCTTTTAAAACATAAAATTTCTTTCACTACTACTGGTGTGTGGTTGGTTTTCATTTAAAAGATAATAAGACTATAGAATCTTTGTTTTAAATTAGTTTCAATTCCTTGAGTGCGTGAAAAAAACACCTGGGTTTTAACTATAACTAAAAATGGACACAAAAACAACTTCTAGGCTATTTTTGGCATCATTTTGTTTTGTTTCTACGGTGATTTTGCGTTGTTCGTTTTTGTTTGTTTTCATTTTCAAAGAAAACAAAAAATGTGTTTGAATGGTATGTAGAGATATGCATATTATTTAATTTTACTTACTGATAACCATTAAATTTTATTTCGATGACAATCTATTCAGTTAACTCCCACAATCTAATCAACAGTACTTGTCATCATCTTGTTAATTTCAAATAATTCAAAACTCATAAGATCAAACAATGTAAATAAAAATATCAGACAATCGTAACCATATCCTAGAACTTGAAAATACTACCAAAAAATTTCTTCAACTCATTCAACTATTACTGTCTCATCAACATAAAATTCAGCTCACATAAACTTTAATCTTTTTATCTTGCAAAGAAGGATTGACCAGCTTGAGATTCATCTATTTTTAGAGATTTGTGGATGTGGTGATGGACCTAGTCGAGCTCAAAATCCTTAAGGATGCATTGGTAGGTGTTCCAGGAGTTTCTGGTTTATCCACAGAGCAAAGGAAAAGGTTAACCATAGCCGTCGAGCTCGTTGCAAATCCATCAATCATCTTCATGGACGAACCAACAACCGGCCTTGATGCAAGGGCTGCGGCTATTGTGATGAGAACTGTGAGAAATACTGTCAACACAGGAAGAACTGTTGTTTGCACCATCCATCAACCGAGCATCGACATATTTGAACATTTTGACGAGGTAATTAAGGGATGGTTGGGATCACTTTTGATTTTTCATATTTTATTTTTTAGTTTTATTTTATTTTGTTTATGTTATTTACATGCAAACTAGCCAATTCCTAGGTATTTACATATCTAACACTTAAACTTTACTTTTTACATATATACCACCCAAATCTTTCATATCACACAAAAAAAATATTACTAATTGAAATGCACCTTTTCATGCATGGAAAAGATGGCATATATGTAAAAATTGAAGTTTAGATGTTAGATATGTAAATACATAGGAATTGCATGGTATGCATGTAAATCTTCTATGTTTTTAACAATACTAAAAAAAAAAATTTAAATACTCAACACATTTTTAAAAATGCTCAAAACAATTTTTAAATGTTTCGAATATTTTAAAAAATGGTTTAATTTATTTTTGAAAAAAAATGTACAAATTTACTAAACAAACATATTTTTAAAATAAAAGTAAAAATAAAAACAAAATAAAAAATAAAAATAAAAAACTTACCTCAAACAATCCCTAGGGGAACATGAAATGACCATTCTGTGTTATTTCAAGTTTACTCATTGTATGCACTCATGAAGCTTTGATTTGCAGCTGCTTCTGCTAAAGAGAGGGGGTCAGATAATATATTCTGGACCTTTGGGCACAAATTCTCAGAAGCTTATTGACTATTTTGAGGTTGGTATCTTAAATTATTTCTACCCTTATTTGCAACTGACAGCTTGATCTTTTTTTTTTTTTGCATATTAAAACTATTATTGCAATATATTTGATACCTCGATGCCTTTTCAAAACCATACAAAGTAGCATAGCACACATTTTTGTTGTCACTGGAATAATTCATTTGATCATTAATATTCGAAGTAGATTCATTTTTCAACTTTAATTGGAATTGATTCACAATAACTGTTTAACTATTCATCTATTTTCTTATCTCTATCATTGTAAATAATATAGAATAGAAAGGGAGGGTTTATATAGATTCTTATGTCATACTATTACTCATATTTAATAGTAATATAAAGAAGAAATAAAAAACATCTAAAATAATAGAATATGATTGTGAAGTATAGATTTGTTTTTTGTTTGAATCCGTTTCGGAGGATGTATGGCTGATAAGGGAGACCGACGGAGAAGTCAGAATTATCGGAGAATCTAAGCTCCTGATTTCCCTTTGTCGAAAGGGATCATCATATGGGTGAAGTGCTCGCCTAGGAGCAGAACTGATGGTAACTAAACCTCAAGCGGCAATACCGCTTCAGCTCCGAACAACAAAACATATGTGGTAATTTTAGTCGACATTTTATAAGTGGTTTGGTAAGCCCACAACACTTCTGTCTTTTTTGTATGTCATTCATGCTTGTTTTTGGTTAGTATCTTCTTCAGTAGCTTGACTAGTGTCTTGTTGAAAGCTTCCATCAAACCATTAGCTCTTGAATTATAGATTGATGAATACCATCAATTGATCTTGTGTTGATCAACGAACTTCTAAATTTTTGCACTTTTGAAGGTTGGACCATTGTCTGAAATAACAGGGTGTGGCACACTGAATTTATAAATAATATTTATGTGAATAAATTGATAACATGCTCGGTAGTAACTTCCTTGTACGGAGCAACCTCGGCCCATTTGGAGAAAGAATCCATCACTGCTAAAATGAAGCGGTGCCCCTTGGATAACGACAGATCGATAGGTTCAATTATATTCATACCCCAACATTCAAAAGATCAAAAAGCTAAAATTGAATGTAATGGATTTGGAGGTTGGTGTATCGTATCCCCATGGACTTGACTCTCGGGGCATTTCTTAGCATGATTAATACAATCTTTCACCTCTTGAGGTCCTCTTTCTTGATAAGAGGAATGAATATGATTCACTAGCCATGCTAATTGTCCATAAGGCCTAGCCTAGTTGGATGCTCGTTGGCCCCCTTTCTTAGGAATATTGGAGCTTTTATGCTTCCTAAGCCTAGACCAACCTTAGATACAGGTTCAATATGATTTTGAAATTCCATCTCAAATGAACTTTTCAATCTTCTCTTTTATACATACACACAAGCTTCTTTCCCAAAAACTGATTTATCATTCTTCAACAGAAGATTGTTACTATTGTGTAATCTAAATTTGTAAAATCTCTCTTTTCAAAAATTGAATCAACATTATTAAATGATGCATGTTCTTTAGCGAGCTATTATATTTATATAGAGCACAGTCAGGTAGTATATCTCACCTTGGCCGGTCCGATCATTCTCTTTATAAAGATTGGAGTTAATAAGATTGAACTTTATATAGCTAATCCAATCCTACTCTTAATAAATATGGAGTTGATAAGACTAAATCTCCATTAAGTCTGATCCTCCTCACTAGGACACGAGTCGATAGTACTAATATTTTTAATAATATTTTATGTAAATTGCTAAGATAAGTCCTTAAAATATTTTTCAATCAATTCATTGATGATAATCATGTTGATTTTAAATCTCAACCAGAGTGATTAATTTTAAAATTAAGCTAAAAAAATATGTGAATAAACTTAGTGGATTTATGTTAATAATATGATTCTCTGTAAGTGGGACAAACTTGATTAGGTTTAAAGTTACCTAAACCTCAACAAGAGAAATTTATTTATAAAATAAACAGTTTAAGCTACAAATCTCAGAATATTCACACAAAACTTTACCTCTTGAAGCTAAAAGCATGTCTCATCTACTCTTCACAACTGCTTGTTAAGTTTGACAAATTTAAGATCAATTCGAGCTCACAAAGAGTCAATATTATATTAGTATACTATTACATTCACACTCAAAATGTTCTACACTAATAAAGATGTGGATTGAATTCTCTGTTTGTGTAATTTGGCTAGTAAGTTCTGCAAATAAAGTGATTATGACCAGAGATTTCTAATAATTTGGTCAGCAAGCTCCACTATATTAAGATTAGGGTTGTCGCTCGTATGCTCCTCAATGACTTTCTTTTCTTTAAGTTGTGAATCATAGGGCATACCAACCATATATAAACTTAAATATAAAATATTTGAATGAAAAATCTCCCATCAGTGCCTATAATCTAATTTAGCAAGGCATCTTCAAGTGTATTACTGCATTGAAAATATATAATAACTGCATCATACCAACATTCATGTCACGAGGTCTCTTGTCTATATTTCTTGAAAAAGTGTGATGTTAACTCTGTAATTTTAAACACCAATTTTTTTAATATATACCATGTTACATTAGAAAATATGTTGCATTTGTAAATATGTTGGCTTTATGGCTATCAAAATCATCCCCAATCTTATAAGATAAAATATTATTACATTGCCCAACAGTCTGTTCCTGGAGTTCACAAAATACAGAATGGACGCAACCCAGCTGCATGGATGCTGGAAGAAAGCTCTATGGCCTCTGAAGCAAAACTAGGGATTGATTTTGCAGAGATATACAAATCCTCAGCTTTACAAAAGTAAGTTAAAGATTCAATTAAATTATTTTTAAGTAAAATCACAACTACTCATTAATTTAAACTCTGTATGTGTGTGTGTGTGTGTGTGTGTGACTGTGACATTTTTTTATTTGCATTTCCTTCAATAGGCGCAACATGGCTTTGGTTGAAGAGCAGAGCAAACCATTTCCTGGTACTTCTGATCTGCACTTCTCAACACAGCACCCTCAATCCAGGTTTGATCAATTCAGAATCTGCCTATGGAAGCATTGGTCAATATACTGGAGGAACCCAGAGTACAATCTCTCAAGACTTGGCTATGCTCTTGTGCTTTCTATACTGCTTGGAACCATTTTTTGGAAGATTGGACATCGCAGGTTTTTACGTGCATAAATAAAGGGGTTAAAATTAGGTTCTTGAATCGGGTTAACGTCTGACATGAAATTGAAGCGACCCAAAACTGCTTGACCTGAATCCAACCAGATATGATATGGGTCAGCAAGTCTAATCTGAACCCGACCTGCCTTCAACCCACTGACTCAACCCCGACTTGTATAGCTCCTATAGCATGAGGCATTATAGTTATTTGGATTAAAATGATCAAATTTAGGTCAACAGTGAGTAAGTCTTGGGTCATATTCGGGTTAGCACATCGATTTCAAATCAATTTTGAATTAGACGGTCAATTTCAAGTTGGCGGGTCAACTCAAACTTGACCTGAAATATTAAACGGGTTATGATTCTGAATCCGAATCTAACCCAAAAAATTTTCGGGTCAACCCAAACTTGGATTTTCCAAGTTGAGTTAGTGCCCGGTCAATTTTTGACAACCTCAACAGAATGTTCTTACTGAATTTTATGAATTGAATCATTCCTGAAGCGTTTTCTTCTTTTTTTTTTTCTTTTTTTCAGGGATAGTTCAGCTGAGCTTCAGTCTGTGGTTGGAGCAATGTACCTTGCGGTTATTTTTCTTGGGTTTGGCAATTGCGCCACTGTGCAAACCCATGTTGCAAATGAGAGAATTGTGTATTACCGTGAAAAGGCTGCTGGGTTGTACTCAGCTCTGCCTTATGCTCTTTCCCAGGTACTTGTAGTTACTAACCAGTACTAAATCATCCAGCAGCAATGTGTAAAACATTCTTTTATTTTTAATAGAGGCATTTACATACATACCACAAAATTCTTATGTATTTACGTATCTAACAAGTAAACATTCATATTTACATACATACCACTCAAATCTTTAACATCAAATCAAAAATATCACCAACAATACCTTTTTAAAGTAAAATACGGCTTTTCATGCACAAGCTTATGATAAAAAGGTGTTATAAGTGTAAATATTAAACTTTGGGTTGTAAATATACGAAATGTGTGGTATGTTTGTAAATTTTCCTTTTAAACTAATGTTTGCGTGTGTGTGTGTGTGCGGGTGTGTGTGTGTAATTTAGCATATTTTTAACTAATGGTATCTCATTTATGCGGCTCAGTTAAGGGGGAACATATTATATTTTAACAAAATTAAAAAGGGAAATTTGCATACGTAGCACACAATTCTTATGAATTTATATATATAACATCTAAAGTTTGATATTTACAATTATAACACCCTGGTGCTATAAACCTATGCATAAAAAGTTTCATTTGATTTTTAAAAATCAGTAAACTGGCATTTTTGAATTAATGTTAAGGATTTGAGTGTTCTGAATGTTATTATTAAAGTTTTGGTCTTAAATATGTAAATACATAAGAACTGTGTGATATGTATGTGAATGCCCCAATAAAAAAACATCAAAAAATAAAACAAAGCATGCGGCAAACAAATTGTTTCAGTACAATTTATTTTGGTTTTAAGTAGTTCAGTTTAAAATATTGCATTGCTCGATATTTTTGGTTTTGTTCTAGGTTAAGGTTTGAGAAAACCAAATAAATTCAAATTTCTTTAGAATATTACATGTATTTTAAAATATGAAATCAAAATTTAAAGTTTTTTTTTTTTTTATAAGTATACGACACAAGCACCTTAAGTATACGACACAAGCACCTTTTTTACTTTTGGTTTATATTAAGTGAAATTGAGTCAAGCTAACTAAAAATGATGCAAGAAAAATTAAACCAGTCAACTCAAAACTCAACTTATAGGGTCTGTTGATGTAGATTTAACTTTTCTAATCTAGCAATCCCTTGAATTTCTTTATTGTGTGCACATTTTATTATGTTATCTTTGATTTTTTTTTTCATACCTTAAAATTCTAAATTCTTGTGATTGCTGCATGTATATTTATAGGATACACAAGAATTTTAAATTATAAACCCTAACTTATGAGGTTCATTTGTGATACCGTAATAACACAAAATTGAAATCTGGAGTTTCAATAATTTCAAGAAAACCAATGAAAGCTTAACCGAAAATCTCAAGGAAGAGAATGAATACATTAATTGAAAAGAAAATTTATTGATCACCACCCGGATGTCACTTCAAGATACTGAACACACTTCTTAACTCGGAAGGATATGGGAAAAATTATTACAATGTATTGAAATTTGTATCTAATATAGGTTTCTATTTGTAAATAGAAGAAGTATGGTGATTTTTTTGTAATTGTTGTAAGGCTTTATATAAGCCCAGGTGTTAATGAAATGAGTTATTTTTCAAGGGCAGTCAATTATTTATGGTATTAGAACCTAAACCTAACAACCCATGTTGGGGTTGATTGGCGTGCGCTCTCGACCTCGTGATCAGTGTCTCCATCGCGAAAGGGGATAGCAGTGTGGCGCTTCACGCGACTTCAACGAAACAATCATGATTAGAGCTAGCAGGAACGGATGGCTTATTCATCACAAACTATCGCGGTTCGAGCTAAATGGGATGATAACTAAGGGATTAGAGCAGTCAAGATTAAATTTGACTGGAAAAGAGAGATCGCTAGTTGCGATTAGAGCTAACTAGGAAGGAGGACATCGTGGCGGGAAATAAAAGAAGCATTGGTGTGCCCTATAACCGAACTGACGGTGCCTTCAGCTGTTGGACCGCAACAGATGTTTCAAGCGGTTCGGTGCAGGGCAGGGTAAAACGCTTGTGAAACCATACTAGTGGAGCAGAGAACTTTGGCTCTATGTGCGTGAGAGGACGGCGGTGATCGAAGAATAATTAAATTTTGGATGTCAGGAGACAGATATTGTGGGGGGGTAAAGAATTATAGCATCTGGGTAAGATAGATCATGAGATTTTGAAGCTCTTGATGGCCCAACGTCTCGACGAGAGCCACTACCTCAACACGTGCTCTGATACAGGTGAACCTAGATCTCCCTCATGTGAATCTGAAGCTTGATGGACCGGCCACATAACTGAGTTAGTCTTGTCAGATCGAGACTGATTTAATAGAGAAGAGACTATAAGGATATCTGATGGGAGTCGAGCCAAAGAGTGACAATGTCGAGGGGGCGAGTGGAGGATCACACATGCATTGATTTACACTTGGCTACTAAATTTGATGGTTCCATCGATTGCAACATCAGTGGATGGCATTCGGAAGGTGAATGACATATAGACAAAGCTGAAGAGAACTTATGCTGAGAGTTTCGGATTCAACATGACATAGAGGCAGTGGTACAAGGTGATACAGCGATTCAGAATACTCCACAGAGTTGGAGCATCTGTGGCAAGATCTTGATCATTTCTTACCAATGTCAAGATGTGGTGATCCGCGTGCAAGAAGGGGGAGATATTTGCACAGATTAGGACTATGCAGTTTATGGCTTATCTATACCTGATTTTTTTATCAGAGGAGATCGGTCCTCCTAGCCTAGGCAATGATTCCTTCACTGGACGAGGCCATTGTCGTGATGTTGCAAGAGGAGTCACATGAGGCTATACTTTGAGCTGGGTGAACTTCCAGGTACACGATCTGCTTTGGCTACCTAGAGCTCATGTTCGACGAGTGCCTAGAGGGAGACATGCAGGCTCTACAACTATGAAGAAGTGAGACACCTGAGCTTGACTTGTACAAAGCCACATAAGAAAAGAGAGACGGGTGGGCGTGGATAGTCTAGAGGTTGTGATCATAATTGTGGGGGCTAAAGGGGTGAAAAAGTGGGCCACCTGGGCAAATCAGAGGTAGCAGACAACAAGGGAGAGATAGGGGTGGTCTTTATCAATGAAGATCACAAGCTCTTAGAGAACTAGAAGAAGAAGAAAGCAGCAGGGGGTGTGACCTAGGATGCATCCAGCTTATCATCATCCAAGGGAAATACTGCTACTTACGCCCAGCCAGCCAAAGGTACTTGTGATACACATGCTCTGGCCTCTATATCCACCACAAAATCACCATAATGGATAATAGATTATGGTGCGTCTAGACTTGTGGCAGGTGCTGCTAGTGAGTTCTCTTCATATACTCATATAGCAGTTCCAGAGAGCATTCAAACCCGTTGATGGTACAACACAGCTTGTAGGTTGTATTGATACAGTGAGACGTACCAATTTTATGGTTGTACCCAATATTTTGCATGATATTTTATTTCCAGCGAACCTTTCAACCATTAGTGTCATTATATTTCAACTAAAATTTATTGTTTTATTTGATATTCCTAAGGTGATCTTTCAGGGAAGGGGCCTGTTCGAAAACTTGGGACTAGCACATAGCATAGTAGACTCTAGAACTTGGATAGAGAGGGGATGGACTCAGCCTTGACAGTCATGGTAGAGAGTGTTCGAGTAGAAGGATCTGGGAGGAGCGTGGAGGATGTGTTGCTACTACATCAAAAGCGTACGAGACACTCTTCATTTAGCGTGTCGAGTCGTTTGTGTCCGTCTTTGTATGAAAAGGCAAATAAACAGAAATTTGTGTGTGAAGCGAGTTTGGTAAGCACATTAGGAGCTTTAATGTTAATTCTGGTAACAGGATCTCTTCTGTTTTTGATTTGTTACTCAAATGTATGGGGATCTGGTTCAACAACTTCGATTAATAGCTACATATATTTTGTGACTTTCATTCATTCCTTTTTTCGTGTTATTTGGTTATATTTGATGAGAAATAAAAATGTGTTTGCCTATTTTAAAAGCTTTCACAAAGCAATTCAGACTCAATGTAGTGCAATAGTGAAGATATTGAGGTCTGAAAACGATACAGAGTATGCCAACAAGACATTTGGGAGTATCTGTCAGCCCACGAGATATAATATCAAACCATTTGTCCATTCAAACCGGTACAAAGCAGAGTAGCAGAGAGGAAGAATAGACACATTCTAGAGGTAGTTAGAAGCATGATGATCTCGATAACTGTGCCAAAGCATTCTTGAGGGCAAACTGTTTTGACGACAGGTTAATTGATCAACAAAATGCCCTCAAGAGTGTTGGAGTGATGACTACCTTGTGAATTGTTGAAAGACGATAATGGTAGGATCCTCTCACCGAAGATATTCGGTTTTGTATGTTTTGTGAAGAATAATAAACCATAAATAGGGAAGTAGAATCCCAGAACTTTGAAGTGTATTTTTGTGTGTTATTTTGCTACTCATAAGGGGTATATTTGTTAGAGCCCAATAGAGAAGAAAATGTTTGTGAGTATGGATGTGATTTTTAGAGAGTTCGAACTATACTAAACCTTAAAGTTGACCTCACCCTTGGGTGACTCATCAGATATTGGAGATATGAAGCGAGAGGGGTAGAGTAGTGATGGTGAGAGATTGGTACAGGTGGGAACTAAGCCTTGTCTCATTGTGTGGGAATAATGACTAAGAAAGAGCTAGAAAAATAGAAAAATGAGCCCGAAGGTGGTGGGACTCGAGCTCAATGGGAGCTAATGGTGTATACAAGGAGAAAAAGGTAGAGTGAAGCAACAGTGTCTATCGTGTCACTTATATCAACAAGTCCCTTGTCTCGGTCTACCCCAACTCCTAAGACACCTACACCATCCATCGCAAAATCCAACTACACTGACGATATGATCCCTCTCTCTTCTCCTCCCACTCCCATAACTTTAAAGAAAACCTCTCACAACATTGTGGGTCTTTCTCATGATCATTATTCTCCTGATTGTTTTGGTTTCTCACGTGAAATTACTTAGTTTGTCTCATACTCTAACATATCACCTTTATATGGAGCATTCATTGTATCTTTGAACATTGTCTATATACCCAAGTGTTAGCGGGTAGCTAAGGAGGATCCAAAGTGGAAGGCTACAATGCTGGAGGAACTTGGTGCTCTTGATAAGAACAAGACATGGGAGCTCGTGTTATTGCAAGCAAAGAAAAAAGCAATCGAGTGCAAATGGGTCTTCATAGTGAAGTGGTGGTGAAAGGGTATAGTCAGACATATGGCATTGTCTCTCTAGCTGTGAATGGTGGATGAAGTTTACATTAAATGGATGTGAAGAATGTGTTTCTTCATGGGGATCTGCTAAAGGAGGTGTACATCGAGATACCCCTAAACTTCGATACAAACCAAACAATGGGCAAGGTATGTAGATTGAGAAAGTCACTGTATTGTTTGAAACAATCTCCTCGAGTTTGGTTTGACATATTCAGGAAAACAATGATAAACATGGGTTATCAACAAATCAATGATGACGACATGATGGTCACAAGACTATTCTTGTTGTGTATGTGGATGATATGATTCACTGTGGATGGTGAGGGAGAGCATGCTCAGCTGAATGTAAGTTTGGGCAAAGAGTTTGAGGTGAAGGACCTTGGACAGCTCAGATACTTCCTCATAGTTGAGGTGGCTCGTGGAGCATAAATGATTGTTTTATTCCAGAGGAAGTATGTGTTAGACTTGCTTAAAGATACATGCATGTTGGGATGCAAGTCAGCAGTTTCACCAATTTATCGAAAGGGAAAATTGAGCACAGAGGCAAGAGAGCTAGTTGATCGTGAGAGGTACTAGAGGTTGGTAGGTTGTCTCATCTATCTGACTCACACTCGTCCTGACATATCATTTTCAATAAGTGCGGTGAGTCGCTACATGCATGATCCGAGGAAGGGCCACATGGATGTAGTATATCCGATTCTTAGGTACCTGAAGAATGCAACAGGGCGAAAGTTGATTTTCAGGAAAAATTGAAATGTAAGCATTAAGGGCTATTGTAACTCTGACTAGGCGAGTTGTATGTATGACAAAAATTCTACATCTGGATACTGCATGTTTGTAGGGAGAAACTTGATCTCTTTGAAGAGCAAGAAACAGTCAGCAGTAATAAGGTCAACAACAAAGGCAGAGTATAAGGCCAAGGCCGTAGGAGTTACTGAGATGATGCGGCTGACAATCTTGTTGGTAGAGATCAAGGTGGACCAAGGAGCTAAAATGAATTGTGGTGTGACAACAAGTCAGCAACAACATTGCCAACAACCCGGTGCAGCATGATAGAACCAAACATGTGGAGATTGATAAATTCTTCATCAAGGAAAGAACTGAATAACGGTCTACTGGAGCTAAGTCATGTAGCCACTAGAGAGCAAGTGGCTGACTGCCTCATCAAAGGACTTAGCTCATTAGATTTGTCTTGGTTGTGTGACAATGGGTTTAGTGGATATCTTTTGCCCATCTTGAGAGGGAGTGTTGAGATTTGTGTCTAATGTAGTGTTCTATTTGTAAATAGAAGAAGTGTATGGATTTATTTGTAAATTTTTTAAGGCTCTATATAAGCCCAAGTATTAATGAGATGGGTAAGTTTTTCGAGAGCAATTAATCTTTACAACCAATCAAAACTCATCCCCTTTTAACATACAATGTAATGTTATATAAGCAAGCCCTCAACAAAAATAAAAAAACTAAGAAAAAAAGACTTGACTACAAGTATGACACCCTACTAAAAACATAACAATTTAAGTTCTTCTGTCATTCTTCTGGAGTTGACGGGGATTCTTCATGAGAAGCAGTTTCAGAATCAATTTCGTAATGTGGAGTTAAGTCGTCAAGGTTGAATGTAGTATAAATATTGTAGTCTCCCGGGAGATCAGTTTAAAAAGTGTTTTCATTAATGCGCTACATAATACGGAAAGGCCCATCGGCTTTGGCCTTGAGCTTCTCATATCTTCCCAGAGGAAAACGCTCTTTCCTTATTTGAATCCTTACTTTGTCTTCTTGTTTGAAAGTGACCAGAAGGATACAGGAAAGATTATTACAACCAATCAAAGCACTCCTCTCCTTCTAACATACAAGGCAGCCTTATGTAGGAAAGCCCTCAACAAAAATAGAAAATTAAGAAAAAAAAGATTTAATTACAAGCATGGAACCCCACTAAAAACATAACAATTTCACTGCTTGAATTTGGTTTAGATTTTACTCTTGTAATCCAACAATGCCATCCAATTGCTTCATATGTACTCATTTCATCATGTCATCTTTAATTGCGTTTTGTTTCTTACATTTTAATATGACAATTTCTTTTCTTTGTTTCATCCATACTTATTTTATCATGTTATAAACTTATGGGAAATTTATATAGATACGGCAAAATTCTTATGTATTTACATTTCTAACACCAAAATTTTGATATTTATATTTATAATGCTTTGATTTTATAAACCTATGCATGAAAAGGTGTATTTTATTTTTATGAAGTTTGTAAGAGTGGTAGTTTTGATGTGTTGTTAAATACTTAGAGTTTCATGCATGTAAATAGGAAAAGTCTAGGTGCTGAATATGTAAAAATTCAAGAATTGTATGGTATGTAAACAAACGCCCCTAAAATTATATGCTTAAAGAAAAGATTTAATTGTGGCTGATTCGATTTCAATTTCCAATAGTAAAGTTGATTTCATCTGATTCCAAACAATTGTTGGTTTGCAACCAAATTGAATCATGACAAGCTTCAAAACTAATATTATAAATACGCAATTATTGACAATAATTATTAATGTTTTTTAGTTGAATTTTCTGCCTAAGCATTGTACATGAAGCCTGTTTATAACTTTTCACAATGCCTAAACAAACTTTTGAGAAGAAGCTAATTGTATGAATCACATTGTTATACATTACTGAATGACCTTATGGTAAAAAAAAGAAAATTTACATACATACAACACAATATATTTACATATCTAACACCTAAAGTTTAATATTACACTTATAACACCTTGGATTCATAAACCTATGCATGAAAAGGTGCATTTCACTTTTTAAAAGTTAAAATAGCATTGTTTTTAATGTGATATAAAAGATTTGGGTGATATAAATGCCAAGCAAAATTTAGGCATTAGATATGTAAATACATAAGAATTGAGTGGAATGCATTTAAATGCCAAAAAAAAAATGATTTAAATGCCAAAAAAAAAAATGAATGTGTTCATACCGTTGGTGCAGGTGATCATAGAAATACCATACTTGCTCTTCCAGACAGCATACTTTGCGGTTATCATTTATTCCATGATGAGCTTCCTGTGGATTCCTTCGAAGTTTTTTTGGTTCGTTGTTATCTCCTTTCTAACCTTCAGTTACTTCACATACTTTGGGATGTTCTCAGTGGCGGTGTCTCCCAATTTGCAAGTCGCCGGAATCTTGTCCATATTCGTCTTTTTCACTTTCAATCTTTTTTCCAGTTTCTTCGTCCCAGGGCCAGTAAGTACTAAACTGCATAATCCTAAAAACTTTTACATGATTTTCTGAACAAAAAACAAGTATTTCTCATTGACATAATCACTTTCAGTGGCAAATTAGTGACAAAATAGTGTCCTTCTTCACTGCATGTATAAAGTGAGGAAATATAGTTCTCCCTCGAAGTAAAGATTGCAAAATCTACATCTTTACAGCTTAATTCCTATGTTTTTACATATCTAACACCTAAACTTCAACTTTTACATATCTGCTTTTACCTAAACTTCAACTTTTACATATCTGCCACCTTACCTATGCATGAAAAGGTGTATTTCACTATTTAAAGTTAAAATAATGCTATTTTTAATATGATATGAAAGATTTTGGTGTTAGATATGTAAATGCATAGAAAATGGGTGGTATGTAAGTAAACGCCCCATAAAAATTTTGCTTGGCATGCCTTTTCCTTTTTGCTAGATATCTGTCATAATTATCAGCCTTAATTAAGGCTATAGAATACATGTAATTAAGCAGTATTAGCTATAAAGGTCTGTATTTTAGGAATAGAACTATAGATTTCTTGTTAGCATTGATCTAATTGCTAGAATCCATGAAATATTGCTTGGTATTGACAAGAATTGGAGAGAATTGAATGAATATATTTTACTTTTCTAGTGAAATATCATATTTGTATTTTATAGTAAATACCCTAAATCTCATTATTTAAAGCCTTAGAGATTATTTTGAAGTTAGAAATAATATATGAGATAGTAGGCAATAGTTGGTGATTATAAAAAAAACTTGAGTATAATAAAAACAAGTAAAGGAGCGTTATTTACGTACGTCATACGCACACAGTTCTGCGTGCTTACTCCCTCGAATAACCTTCCAATAACTTAGTTATTGGGGGCTATTGAAAGTTTATTGGGGGTATTAAACTCAATAACATCTCAATAACCTTTCAATAACCTACCAATATCTTCCGCGGTTCGCGCTCATATTTTTTGTTATCATTCGGGGTTTTGTGAGGTTATTGGGGGTATTAACCTCAATAACACTGACATAACCCTCTAATACCTCTCGAATAACCAAAGCACACACGCAGAACTGCGTGCGTGTGATGTACGTAAATATTTTTCCAAGTGAAGGGGATGTTTAGGAAAAGTTATTGCATCTTTATTGGTAAGGTTGATGATTAAATATTTTTCCAAGTAAAGGGGATGTTTAGTAAAAGTTATTGCATCTTTATTGGTAAGGTTGATGATAACCACAAGTACTGAATTTTGAACTGCAGAAACTTCCACCATGGTGGGCTTGGTACTACAGACTCTGCCCCGTTTCATGGTCCTTTTACGGCCTTATCGTCACACAATACGGCGACGTTTATGACCTAATAAAGGTCCCAGGTGAGGCCGACCAGCAGATCAGAGACTACGTTTTGCACCATTATGGTTACAGTGATGATCACATGAACCTCACGCTTGCTGTGCTCCTGGGCTTCACGGTCCTCTTCGCCGCCGCATATACTTGCTGCATTCGCTCTCTGAACTTCCAGCGAAGATAGATTATTTGTGAAGGTAATTTTCTTCCCCACCGCCTTTTTTTTTATAAAGATTTCTGTTCTTTGATTATGATTTGTCGATTCTATGTGCTTTTTGTAATATAGAGCAGAGAAAATAGGTTGGGGTTTTATACATAACAATTAACAATCACATAAAATATATTATATTTAATGATTGGGATGGTTGGTTTGTAAGGACACCAGAATAAGTAATGTTAATAAAGAAATGATTGGAAGTTAAGAGATGATGAAATAATTTACACTGAAATGTTTAGGTGTGTGCACTATATGTAATTATAAGAGAAGTTATGGGAGTGTTATTTGTGATTTGTATTGCCATTGATTATATATATAATATTTTTGGCATTTACACCCAATTCCTACTTATTTATATATTTAATGCTTGTGTGCAACAGGTGGTCTGCTGGTTGGCAGCCTCGGCGCAAGTCCCTTCTGTCCGGGGTTCAAATCTATTTTGGTTGAATTAGCAAATATGGGGTGGACAGACACATGCTGTCATCTATCTTTTATTATTATTATTATTATTATTATTATTATTATTATTATTATATATCTATATATGTGTGTGTGTGTGTGTGGTATAATGACTAATGTATAATTTTGTATTTATACCACTCAAAATTTTCATACAATATGCGCAAGCTTTCTCTGTCTACCTCTGCCTTTCTTAACATAAGTAGAATCTGAAACATCTACTCTTCTAACCGGATTATTGATCAAACCATCTAAGACGACTCTCTTATTTTGTTCACCATTAGAGCTACACCAACCCTATCACAGATATATTTATTTCGCATTTTGCCTCTATAAAGCCACTCATCCACCTAAGCATTCTCATCCCAGCAACACTCAACTTAGTTGTGCTTTTCTTTTAACGTCCAACATTCTACGCCATAGAGCATTGACAACACAACTATACTAATAGTAGAATAAAAAAGGAGGCATTCACATACACACAAAATTCTAATGTATTTACACTTCTCACACCTAAACCTTCATATTTATACACATAGCTAGGGGTGTAAACGAACCGAACACGAACGAACAAAGCTTGTGTTCGTGTTTGGTTCGTTTAAAATTTACTCGTGTTCGTTTCTTAACGAACGAGCCGAACACGAACCGAACACGAACCAAACACGTGCTGTTCGCGAACGACGAGCCAGTTTGACATCCCTAATATTAATATATAAAAATAATATTATATATTAATTATATAACTTATATTATATAAATATACAATATCTATATTAGTATATTACTACTATAGTATATTAATATATTATTATTCTTATTTTATTATATATTATTATTTATAAAGTTTAATGTTTTAAAATATAATATTTTTTTTATATATAGTTATTTTATATTATTTTATATTTCAAACAATAACGGTTCGAACACAAACGAACGCATTACTGTTCGTGTTTGGTTCGTTTAACTTACAAAACGAAAAAAATTTGTTCGCGTTTGTCTCGTTTACTTATCGAACGAATCAAACACGAACTCATTGACGAACCGAACACGAACTATTCGCGAACAACGAGCTACAAACAACGAGCTTTTTTGACAGCCCTACACATAGCACTCTTTAACACTTTAATATCACATCAAAAACAGCATTATTATCACTCTTTAAAGCTTAAATGCAGATTTAAAACACAAAGTGCTATAATGTAAATATGAACGTTTAGGTGTGTGACATGTAAATACATCAGACTTTTGAGCTAGGTATGTAAATTTTCCAACCATAAAAGTACAAGAAGCAATAGAATGAAATCCACAAGAAAAGCTCAAAATTAACACATAAAATGCATTATTTTTAAGTGAAGATTGAGCTCTTAAATGCTCGTAGTCTACAAAAGTACTTTTTCATGCATAGGTTAATGCTTGTGTTATAAATGTAAATATGAAATTTTAGTTAGATATGTAAATAGATAAGAACTGTTTGTTTTGTACATAAAATTCCCAAAACAAAAATAAAAAATGAAAAGAGAGACCTTGATGATTGCAAATTTACCGGTGCGGCTCCACCTGGGTTGTATCGGCTCCTGCTCATAAGAAAAATAATTAAAATATAATGTCCCAAAATTTTGATTTAAAATTTTATTCAAAATATTCAGAGATGAAGGGCCCATTTGGGGCAGCTTATTGGGAGCGGTGGTGTTTTGAAAACGCCGTCTCCCTGTTTGATAAATACGTTCGGATGGCTTATTCCTACCACACTGCGTCCGCGTACGATAAATCCTTTATGTTGTTCGACGTAGTGCGAGCCCCGCGTCCGGCGTTAGTGATCCGCGAACATTCTTGCCCTAGGAATTCCGGAGGTACCCCTGATCTCCCTCGCCTTCTCCCTCGTTGGATTTGGGATTCCTTTCTAATCCGTCGCCCTAGCGGAGATCGAACATTCTTCCTTTCCAATTTTTTTTCCTGATCATCAAGTATCCTTTCGATTTCCCTAGCTACGATCCTTGGAAAGCTTCCTTTTCTCTAATCTTTTTTCTGGGAAGTGTAGATGCAAGAAATGATTTTTTTTTTCGTATGAAATATGAGCACATTACGGGTTTTAGCAATAGCTCAGTTGAGACCTGTTGCATGAGTTGTTTTCGACATCCTCTAGTTTTTGGCATTTTCTCTGGTTTTTGAGTTTAGGCTAGTTGAGATATGTTTCATTTTCTCTGGCCCGATATGTTGGCTTCCTTTTCTCTGATCTTTTTTTTGGGAAGTGTAGATGCAAGAAATGAATTTTTTTTTCGTATGAAATATGAGTACATTACGGGTTTTCAGCTATAGCCCAGTTGAGATCTGTTGTATGAGTTGTTTTCGGCATCATCTGGTTTTTGGTATTTTCTCTGGTTTTTTTGGTTTAGGCCAATTGAGATATGTTTCATTTTCTCTGGCCCGATATGTTGACATTTTCTCTGGTTTTTGGGTTCCCTAGCTGCGATCCTTGGAAAGCTTACTTTTTTCTGATCTTTTTTTTCTGGGAAGTGTAGATGCAAGAAATGAAAAAAAAAATTCGTATGAAATATGAGTACATTACGGGTTTTTAGTTATAGCCCAGTTGACATCTGTGGCATGAGTTGTTTTCGACATCCTCTGATTTTTGGGTTTAGGCGAGTTAAGATACTAGTTGGAATGTCATTTGGGTTTTCACCACTGATATGGATGAGGCTCTGTTTGTGTGATGGGAGGTATTGGCTCCAGTTTTAAACAAATTGGTCGAGATATTATTGTTTACCTGCAGTTTCTGTGATGGACAATTTGCAGGAATTTCTGTTATGCATGATTTACCACCAATAAGTTATTCAGTTTTACCATATAGGGGCAGGAATGTCATTTATACAACAATAACTATCAATAAACTATTCTGAATAAGCTACCCCAAGCAGTAAACCAGAGTATTCTGATAATCTGCAGATTATCATATTATCAGAAAGAGTATTCTGATAATCTGCAGATTATCAGATTATCAAAATAATTTATTTATCAGCTGATTATAAATTAGAATATTATAAATTAAACTAGTGAAAATATCATTCTTGCATCGTTATTAAATCATTTAAATTATATTAAAATAATTTTAATATTTATTACATATTTTGATTCAGATCCTGATTTAAGATCTATTTGAGGCAGCTGTTGATTATTTATAATCAGATTATCAGAATAAACAGGCTTGTTGTTTGAGACAGTTTATTTAGAACAGCTTACTGGGAATTGTTGTTGGATAAATAACAATTCTGTCCTTGTTTGGTTGAGATGTTTGCAACATAACTGTATATGAAAAATAATATGATTTATTCAAAATCCTATAAGATTTACATACAAAACAACCTTAAAATCTAACATCCAAGCTTTCTGCACAAACATCATAGGGATTTGTAGTATGTGCAAGTGCAACATTTATGCAAGTTTATAATCTTGCTCATACATTTCCAAGAAAACTCATAAATTTCTGCAAGAAAACTCATAAAAAAGCTTAAAAAAATAGTCTAGACAATTTTTGCAAGTTTAGAAAAAATAGTCTAGATTAAAAAAAAACAGTAAAAAAATAGTCCAAGAAAACAAATAAATTTCTGCAAGTTTATAATCTTGTTGATACAACATTCTACAGCAAATATGTATAAATTAACTTCATAAATGAAGAAGAAATGATACATTTAAACAAAGAAACGATTTTTAACTCCATAAAAAATGCTTACAATGGACGGGTAGGGTGTTGAGAAGAGAAGGGCAAGGTATCGGAGAGGAGAAGCGACCGGGACGGCTTGAGAGAGATCGGAGAGGAGAAGGCTTCGATCTCCGCCTGGAGCCAGCTTCAATCTTCGCCATGGACCACGACCGGAGAGGAGAAGGGCACGGTATCATCACCTGGAGCTGGCTTCAATCTCCGCCATGGACCGCAACCGGGACGGCTTGGGAGAAATCGCGAGAGAAGGAGAGATCAGAGAGGAGAAGCGAAGGGCACGGTATCGGAGAGGAGGATGATCGAGGCTGGAGGGTAATATGCTCGAACGTAACGCGGAAAGTAGGGTTCGAAGGCCATTCGCGAATAATGAAGGAATGGAGTGGAATGGCGTTCAACAAATTTGTATCGCGAGAGATACTTGCGAAACAAATGCGAAGGAGGCATTTTTAAAACTCCCATAGCCCAAATAAGCTGCCCCAAACAGGGCCTTAACCCCAATTGAACCACTGAACTTCGAACTTCTTCTCCTACCGGTTTAATGTCTGATCCAATTTTTACACTCTTTGTCTCATACACCTCCCACATCACCAAACATCAATTTGCCATAACAAAATGACTCATTGCAATGTTTCACAAATTAAAAGCCATCACTCCAATTAATGCAAAGATGTTTGGTTGTTTACTTATAAAATCTTGAGTAATGACACTTGCTAATAAGGAGCAACGATGGTTGCCTTGGCCTGTTCTCACCTAAGCATCTAGAAAAGCACCCAACCTGCCTTCCCCACACTAATATTCTACACTCAACTAAGAAACAGAGCCCCTATCTCTGCCAAAACTAAAAATATCAGTCATTAAAAAAAAAGGGTAAGATTTATATACATAGCACTCAATTCCTATGTATTCACACCTAAAGTTTGATTTTTTACATACATTGCACCTTACTAAGCATGAAAAATCTTTCACATTTAAAAAGTTAAAATGGCGGTATTTTTTTTATGCGATATAAAAGATTTGGGTTGTACAAATGTAAAAATCAAAATGTAAGTGTTAGATATGTCAATACATAAGAATTAGATGGCATGCACAAAAAATACATTTCCCAAATGAAATGTTGTTTTCAAGATCCACATGCCACTCTCAAAATGTGTAAATACATATCAAAACACCATATAACTATGCAAAAGACAGTAATTAATTAAAGTATCATGAGCACAACCCTAACCTCTGCCAATCCCACCTAACTGAGAAGCCCAAGATTGATCTTTTACATCATAATTCATGCACGAATGGCATAAAAATTACAAATTTGGCATTCATAGCCATTGTAAATAGCGAAAAATGTAATTATGTAATGGAAAATAAAAACAAAAAAAGGTAAATACCATCATGTGAAAGTGAAAGTGAAACAGATTTTAGGCTGTAAGCATTGATATAAACCTAACTGAAGAGACACTTAAATACAGAATGAGCATAAAGGCGACATAATAAATTTGGGACATTTACATGCATCCACCCAATTCCTCTGTATTTACATGTTAGCGCCTAAGCTTATATTTTTTATATTTATACCTCCCAAATCTTTCATATAGATAAAAAATAAAAATACACATTTTCATGCATGGGTAAGGTGGCATGTAGGTAAAAAAATGAACTTTAGGTGTTAGATATGTAAATACATAGGAATTGAGTAGTATGTATGTAAATTTCCCTAAATTTTATTTAGATAAACCAATGACGATTGTATCTGATGAGTCAAAATTTTCTTCTACAGGACTTACAACAGACCTACAATTGACCACCAAATAAATCCTATTGATCCATAACTAATTGAGGTCCCATTGAAAAACACTCAATTTTGGAACTTAGTAATTAGATATAAAGACATTACAATAAGTCCACCCAAATTGAGCTATTTACGAGAAGATACTAAAATTTGATTATGTAAAAAAAGATCATGCAGTAGAACATAGAACTCTTATGTGTGCAATGTAAAAATGTTCTCTTTCGTGCATTTTTAAAATTAAAAGAAACTTAGAGGGAAAAAATGAACTATTTACTATCCCATTCTTTCAACTTTCGGCTCCCTTTGGGTTTTTCTATTGGCGCATTCATGCCTGCCATTTTTGCATTGTATTTTGCTCGAAGAGGGCCATTAGCAGTCCACCTATACAGCATTAAGAAAAAATATCATAAGTCTAAAAACTCCTTTAATTATGCTTGCAAATAAGATATAAAAAAAGACTATTTTAACATAATTGAATATGAAAAGGACTAAAGTTCAATAATAGAGATAAATCAGACAATTGCATACATAGCACTAGAAACTTACGTATTTATCAAATTAGCACTCATGCCGTTTTTATTAACCATCAAACTCGTGCATTTTTGCATGCCGCGATCAAACTATTGTGAAATTGATAAAACCAACCAAAAAACAAAAAACAAGTTGGAATTTATTGTGGAATTTGGTATTTGAGTGAAAATTTGAAAAACAGATGAAAAAAGATTGTATTTTTATATTTGGCAATGTTTCAAGTGCCATGTATGATACTTACATACATTCCTTTAAATGGGCATTTACCCACATACCATTTAATTCCTATGCATTTACATATCCATGACAACACAATGATTTAAAGAATTCATATCATGATTTTTCGACAAATGCATTTACATATCTAACGCCTAAATTTTTCTTCTTGCATTATTGCACACAAATCTATATATCACATCAAAAACACCGTCATTTTAAACTTTAGAAAGTGAAAAACACATTTTCATGCATGAGAAAGTTGACATTATGTAAAAAATTAAAGTCTAAGAATAAATCTTCCTTAATAAAATTAGCACTCATGTCAATTTTTTATCCATCTATCACATTTATTTACAATTATCACAATCTGACCATTCAAAAGATAATAAAAGCGAAAAATAAGGTCAGGGTTTCATTGTGACTTTCAAAATTTAGTAGAGAATTTGAAGAAGGGATGACAAAGGTGGTAATTTTATAGATAGCAATGATTTGAGTGCTATATTAAATCACCAAAATACAAAAAATAACAATGATATATTTTACATACGGGGTGTTCCAATCAGTTGTATCCTCCTGAACAAGATGAGTCCACTTGGTCCTTCCGCTGCGACCGAAGTGCTTGACTTGCATGACCTTCGGCAAAATCGTCTTGTCCATCTTATCTTCCCCTGTAGGAGATGAAAAGTCACGTCTGTAGATGGCATCTGTGCCAGCAGTAGTTGCGTGATCATCAGCATTGGACTGAAAGAAAGCGCCTTTGTGGTAGTACTTCTGCATGAACTTCCACTTCTGCTTCGTTTGAGGAAGAGGCTTAGTGTTCTTCCTCTCCAACTCCCTGCGCTCCTCTTCCGTCATATTCCTCAACCTCTCAATCTCCTCCTTCTCCTTCAACCTCGCCTCTCTATCATCCCTCTCCCTCTTAATTCTCGCGATTTCCCTAACCTTCCAAGCTTCGTACTCCTCAGCCTCATTCAATTCATCATCCGTGTCAACATCTGCAATATCTGCATCAGCTTCCAAATTTTTCTGAATCTGTTCATCCTTCCGTATCTCCTCCACAACAATTTGCTTTGTCTCAACCTTTCTCTCCTCGAGTCTTCTCTTTGCAAGCTCCTCAAGACGCCTCTCCTCCTCTTCAAGCCTCTCACGCTCGGCAATAGTGTCCCTCTGAGATTTAGGGATGAAGACAGGTTTCACCAAGGCAATACCCATCTGCTCTTCTTCAGAGTCAGTCTCGTACTCAGATTCCTCTTCTTCCTCCTCCTCTATCTCCTCTTCTTCCTCTACAGGAGGAAGTGTTGTAGCAGCTTCTTCCTGCTCCCTCTGCAGCAGCTTCTCACGTATCCTCCTCCTCCTCTCCTCCACAGCATCCTCATCCTCCTCTTCCAAATCCAACCCCTCCTGTCTGCTGCTCTCCTCTTCAATAGTTGAAATGATCTCAGCTTGCCGGATCCGGCGATGATCGGCTCTCACCTCTTCCTTATTCTCAGCCTTTAGCTCGGCGAGTCGTCGCAACCTGCGATCGTCCTTGCGCGATAGATTGGAGGAAGAATCTTCATGTATGGGGAAAGCTTTCTCGAGGGCTGCCGCTCTTGCTGTTCTCAATTCCGCATCCTCCTCAACCTCATCGGCCCATTCGGGAGCTTTGCCAGGCCAGTATCTCTTCACCTTCGTCTGTCCGATCTTCCCACGGAGCTTGTCACGGATCGCGATCACCGCATCGCTGACACCCGCCGTCACCGACATGATCGCCGGCCGACGATGACGCCCTAGCCCTAGATTCGGTGATTATATGCTGGAACCCTAACTGCGAACTGGAAGTAGAAGGATGTTTTCAAGCAGAGGCTATATATTTCGTTGTGATATAAAGGAATGCGTGAAAAACATATATACTTCACACATCCAATCTCTCTCTCTATCAATCTATCTTTCTTTCTTTTCATTTTTTTTATTTTTTATTTTTTTTATTTTTTTTTCAAAATGGCGGGAGGCTATTATACTAACCTCAGCTATCCTCATATGTCTAACTAATTGAGTACCGCCCTCACTATCATCAAACGAGCTAGAGGGAGATTTTAATCCATGACTTGAGGGAACTTACGATCTTCAGAGAGACTCCGCCAACAGGTCATGGTTGGTGGCACTATCTATCTATCTAGCTAATAAGATTTGAAAGTAATAATATTATTTAATGTGTACTTATTCGTATTATAGTGGTTGAAGGTGTAGTTTATCAACATGAGGTGGAGGGTTTGAATCCCATATGATATGAAGGCTCATCTTCTTTTTCATATGTTTTCTTTACCTTTCATTTAACATATAGCCTACCCCTGTCTCCTTAAAAGCCATTGGCTTAAAAATATTTATAATTCATTACGAACATTAATTTGAATGACGCTATGATGCAACACAAATCATTATTTTTAGAATATGTTTAAGATACTTTTTCATAATTTTTGTTTGCATACTTATGATTTTCTTATTAGATGTACCTATGGTTATATAGTGAATAAAGTGATGTAATTGTTATATTAGAAAAATAATGTTAACATGTAAAGGTTTCAAGCATACAAGTTTATTATAATTCACCCATGGGAGCTACTCTAGAGCCAACTCAAGCATCCACATGAAAAGATTGAGTGTGGAAGCTCAAGGGATTTATTTTTTCATGTTAAAAAATTTATCCCAAGTCTGATGAAACAACCTTTCATTTTTGAAGTGATTTATACATTTGGCATGATTCGAGCCCTCTCATCTTTAATCTTAAAGCCGTCGACCAATAATTAGTCTTCCTAATAATTTTTGTTTTGATTTAATGTGATGATGATGTAAATTACTAAAACACATTGGAATGGATGTTTTGATGATGGAATGAAATTGAAAAGGATTTTCCATCTCTTTGGTCTTGGCTTGGAGGCTAATTCTATAAATTTAGCTTGATGGCATTTCTTTATCAAGTTATTTGATGAGAATATGTCTATATTTATTTTATATTTTTGTCCTACCATAATACCATCATCATAGTCTTGAGAGTTGAGGATCATTGTTAACTCTAATTGACTACCATTGTTTTTAGTAAAGGGAAATTTCTTTTGATTTTGAGTTTTCTTTTCTTTTTATTAATATATTAAAGAGGGCATATTCACACTCAAACAACCTCCATCACCAATTATTTTCAGTTTATTTTTAGCTTTAGTGGAATCAAATTTTAATTTTATTTCTTAGATAATTTTTTTTAGAAGATTTACATAAATATCATTCAATTCATATGTATTTATTTATCAAACACAAAGTTTATTTTTTATATTCATGCCATTTTATTTATATATGAAAATTCATATTTCTATTTTTTTTAATTAAAATAATGATAATTTTTATGTGAAAGGATATGTTTGAACGATATATGTTACGGGACGGGATTTTCTCCAATAGTCTCATGCCAAGCCCACACTGGTTCGCTTGTCAAGGTTAGGGCACTAACGACTCAACTGAACTCACTCCTGCAATTCCACTAGATCTTGCAGTAACTGTCGAGTCATTGCCCTCGCCTCCTTCTCTTATTGTTATTTATTCGAGGATAAATATACGCTTCATTATTATGGGCATTTATTCTTGCTACTTGTATTAATTTTCTATTTAATTATAGATTTGTCGGCCGCACCTTTTGAATTGTATTTATATAATTGTAGTAAATTTATATTTATTCTTCATAATGCATTGCATAAATAATTAGTCTTGTTTTATTTGATGCATTGACTCCTGCTTAATTACTTATGTTTCTAACATTCATTTTTTTTTATATAGTTTTGATGTGTTAAATGGCATTGCTGCAAATTGGAAATTGTGTGTAATTATTAGTGGGTATATTGTAGTTATACCCATGTGCTATGACTATGATGCATTAAAACTATATGATATTATAATATTATTATGTGGGCATTAAACTTTTTTTTTTATGGCTAGTCAGATCATCAGAAAAATCATTGAATTTTCATGAAATTGGTGCACACATTTCCTTGTATCAGGGTGTCAAAGGAAAGTGGCTATATGTAATTATAAATTGAATTGAAACTACCTAATGAATAACTACCAAGTTATAAATTGATAAGCATGATACAATTTGAAATAATTTCATGTTTCTTTATGATAATCGATCATATTTATTTTTAGAATGTTATTATTGTCTTATGATGTTGTACAAACACAGACAGTAATTATTCATTTTTATTGTTAATAGTGCATGTTCAGTTTCTTGTTGTTTATATTTTAATAAACAACAATTCTGCAATTGTGTAGGTAGATGGAGTTGCGCAAAATCCTCCAAGAGCTTATTTCAGATAGGGCTGTTAAAATGACTCGTTGTTCGTGAACAGCTCATGTTCGACTCGTTCCCTAAGTTAACGAGCCGAACACGAACAACACAAACAAATATTTGTTCGCTCGTGTTCGGCTTGTTTTAGCTCGAAATAGTACTAATCGATTATATTTATATCATTGATGAGTAGTATTTTTAAATAATTTATTTGACTACAAGGCTACAAAGATTTATAATCACTCAAAAGTATTAATGAAGAAAATAGAATAAAAATTATTAAATTAGATTCAAATGATGTTTTAAATGTTGTCCCAATTCTTAACATCTTATGACTACATGATTAGGGTTGTCAAAATGTTTCTTTATTCTTGAACGACTCGTGTTCGGCTCGTTAAAGCAAACGAAACAAACTTTTTTAACTAGCCTTACACCCTTGTTTCAACGTAAATCCTCCCCATCCGCTCAGATCCAAATGAGGGATGAGGGAATACATTGCTTTTTAGTCTTTGATGTGTGATGATTTTGATTACTCTGATCGGATCAGGGACGAGGACCAGAAATTCCACCCTTCCCGTTCATACGGTGCGTTCAATATGCCTCTTCCTCTCAAAATTTCAAGGCTAAAAGAGAATCCTCCACTTGTGGTTCTTCAGACCGCTAGGGTTCCGGCTAGAAGGAATGTTCTGCGCTATAGATTTAGAGTTAACGTTCAGATCCAGCCAAATCCACCATGTTCAGAGCAGAAACACGCACAGCATCATAAAAATTAGCCGAATCACCATCTTTGCTTCTCTCCCCGCTTTCAACAATCATGCGAAAATTTGTATGAGACCTGCTTGTCACCTCCCAAAAGAGCCTTTGTGGGTGGTGGGCAGCCCAGGACTTAAATACTGCTCCGTTTATCCGGTGCGTTCTATATGCCTCTTGCTCTCAAATTTTCAGGGCTAAAAGAGAATCCTCCACTTGGGTTCTTCAGACCGCTAGGGTTCCGGCTAGAAGGAATGTTCTGCGCTATAGATTTAGAGTTAACGTTCAGATCCAGCCAAATCCACCATGTTCAGAGCAGAAACACGCACAGCATCATAAAAATTAGCCGAATCACCATCTTTGCTTCTCTCCCCGCTTTCAACAATCATGCGAAAGCTGTAACTGTTCATATTTGTCTTCCCAATGTGGCGATGAGATTCACCAAATTCCACCAATTCGAGGACTTGTTCAGGTGAGGTAACGATCTCCTCTTTCAAACCAGCAACATATATGCCTCTCTCAAGCGATTCATAAATTTGCAGCTTCCGATGTTCAGCGGCCACTAAATCATTCATTTCCTCATTATAAATGTCCATGTAAGACATTCTAACAAGAAATTCTCTATCCATTTCCTCTTGAATACCGCAAAATTACTCGTGCACAGAAAGCGGGATGATCCCTGGTTCTTTCTCAGATCCTATCAGTGTAAAAGTTTTTCCGCTGCCTGTTTGCCCGCAAGCAAAAACTGTACCATTAAACCCACGAACGACGCAAGCAACAATCTCCTTCGCTCTGCCCTCAAAAATGTCCACCGTCGTGCAATCCTCCCCCAAAACCCTGTCAAATTCGAATTTGGTCGACTGGTTGTGTAGGTAGATGGAGTTGCGCGAAATCCTTCAAGGGATTGTTTTAAGCTCTTCCTTTAAAGATTCCAATTCAAAAACTGCAGTCCTCATTTTTGTTAGCCATAGCTTCTAACTCATAGTTCAAAATGTCATTGTTAGCATATGCATCTTCTTTTTCATCAGTTATGATTTCTAGAGCCTCCTCCAAAGAAGAAATCTCAGCCTCCATCTGAAATAGGGTATTCCGTAGATTAAGAATTTCCTCCTCCAAAAGTTCAGATTGAGAACTAAGAAACTTTGCACGAAGCTCTTCAATTATTATTTTTTTTTTATGCTTCAATGGTGCAACATCTATAAAAATCTGTCACTATTGAAGCATAAAAAAAAAAAAAAATTGAAAAGCTTTGTGCCTAGTTCTCAATCTGAACTTTTGGAGGAGGAAATTTTTAATCTACGAAACACCCCATTACAGATGGAGGCTGAGATTTCTTCTTTGAACTATAAAAATTGTAACTTAAGAAAAAGAAGATGAATATGCTAACAATGAAATTCTGAACTCTGAGTTAGAAGCTATGGCTAACAAAATGAGCACCGCAGATTTCGAATTGGAATTGCTAAAGGAAGAGCTTAAAACAATGGAAAAAAGGTTGGCTGATTCTGAATCTTCCTGTATGGGGTTTCAAGATTCTTTAAATTTGGTCTCAAGGGAGAAAGAGGAGTTGATCTAGCAACTTACTGAAGCCCTTATAGAGGTTGAGATAGAAAAATCAGCTCTGGTCTTAGAAGAGAAACATCTCAGTGAAATACTCAATATATCAAATAATGAAATTGTCAGACTACAAGATATTCTGTCAAAGGTATCTTCATACATTATCTCAAATTCTTAAATTTTTTTTTTTTCAAGTATTTCCCATTGGACCGAGTCACCGCAAGCCTCTTGCTTCTCGTAGGATGCTAAAATATCATGAAGTAGTCCACTTTATTTCGCATTATTAAATTTCAACCATTATTATATTGTATTTTTTTTTTTTTTGTGTATGAAATACAATCCATTTTTTCATTGTTTTTATGTTATTATATATATATATATATAACTTTTTTTTCTTTTGAAAATATAAAGTATGTTCACTACATTTCATCATATCATGTGTTAGCAGGGTGTATCGTCTTTAGGACCTAGTTCTAACAATAAAAAAAAATAGATGTTAGACATGTAAATACATATGAATTAGGTGGGACTTATATAAATATCTTTTATTTTTTTTTTTTTTTTTGTGGGGATATTTGAAAAGTTGAAGTCAAAGAATAATATTCACGATTTGAATTCTTAACCTCACGATGGAAAACTAACATTCAATCACTAATTGCGTGGGCATTTAACAAAATTCCTATATCTATTCAAATTAACGGAAAAAAACTTGCGTACGATAGACGTACGCAACGCTGTGTACGATTTCGAGGTTATATCGAGGGTATAAGGGGGTTATATCTGCGGTATAACCCCTTGTAACTTTCATATAACCTTCTGTAACTTACATGTAACCTACTAATAAATTATTAATATATGATAACAGAAGCGCGGAACTTATTTGTATGTTACAAGTAGGTTACACAAGGTTATATGGAGGTTACAAGGAATTATAACACGGGTATATAACCCCCTTATACCCTCCATATAACCTCGAAATCGTACGCAGCACTGCGTACGTCTATCGTACGCAATTTTTTTCCCATATTAACACCTTTTTTTCTTACATTAATACCACCCAAATAATTTCCATGCATTTATATATCAAACATCAAAATTTTACTTTTTTACATTTATGTCACACAAATCATTCATATCAAAAAATATCACTATTTAAACTTATAAAAAATGAAATAAAACTTTCCATGTACAAATAAGGATGCATATTCGTAAAAATTGAAGTTTTAAGTGTTGATTATGAACATAAATAGGAATTAAGTGGTATGTATGTAAAACTTCAATAAACTCTACAAAACAGACAAGCTCTCTAAATTACATGTCATCATCCATTGAAGACAGGAAAAAAATTTGCATACGTAAGACATACGCAGCGCTGCGTACATAATGGAGGTTATATTCGTGTTATAGGTCTTGTAATCTCTATGTAACTTCCATGTAACTTACAGATATGTGAAAACAGAAGCGCAGAACTTATTAGTAAGTTCATGTAGGTTATATGAAAGTTAGATCGAGATTATAGACGATATAATGTGGATATAATGCAGATATAACATGAATATAACCTCCACTATGTACGCATCGTTGGGTACTTCTTACGTACGCAAATTTTTCTCTGAAGACAGCGCATCTTGATTCTTATAAGCAAATAATATAACAATGTCCGCCATTAAGAAGAAAGCTTCGGTACCAAAAAAGGGGGGCATTTACATACATGCCACCCAAGTCTAATGTATTTACATATCTAACTAAACTTGTTTTTACATTTATACCGCCCAAATCTATCATATCACATAAAAAACACCACCATTTTAACTTTTAAAAGTGAAATACATATTTTCATACATAGGCAACTTGGCATGTAAAAATTGAAGTTTAGGGGCTAGATATGTAAATACATAGGAATTGAGTGGACATAGGAATTGAGTGGTATTGGTATGCATGTAAATCTTCCAAAAAAAAATTACAAACCATGATTACTGACATCAAGGTCTACGGCATAATTGGCAAGCATACTGATATCATGGTCTACGGCATAATTGGCTGAGTTGAACAATCTCCTGAAATTAGGCAGTAGAGAGAGTGGGGGAAGTCATGAATGCTTCAATTCTTAATGCTAGAAGTAACAGAAGCAGATAAAATCAACCCCAATTAGAGATATTTTTCTGGGACATTTACAAGCATACCATGTGATTTTTATGTATTTATATATCTAACAGTAAAGCTTTAAATTTATCTTCATACCACTCAGATCTTTAACACATCACATCAAAAATATCACAATCACTTGTTTGTTGAAATGAAATGCAAATTTTCACTCATAGGTTTGTAAATATAAAAATTTGGAAGATTAACATTTATACCATTTAAATCCTATGCATTTACATATCTGCAACTAAAACTTCAATTTTTACGCATATGCCGTCCTACTTATGCATGAAAAGATGTATTTCACCTCTTTAAGTTAAAACACTGGTATTTTTGATATAATATGAAAATTTTTGTGGTGTAAATGTAGAAAGTAAAATTTAGGTGTAAGATATGTAAATGCATAGGAATTAGGCGGTATGTATGTACATGCCCCGAAAAATTTTAGTGTTAGATCTGTAAATACATAAGTTTATTTTTTATTTTTTATTTTTTATTTTGTATTTATGGTCGGAGATACCACCAGGCCATCATCTCATCCACATACTACTTTCTTGTTTCTTTCAAAATTTTTAGAGGTGTAGAAGAGATTACATTGAGTGTGAGATTCACTTTAAGAAACTAATTTTCTTAAAACAATTCCTTGATAGAATTTTATAAAGTGTAAAAATAATCCCTTGGTTATTTACATGTGATCATTTTAGTCTCAGAGTTCATAAAAATAATCAAATAGTCCTCAGATTATTTTGATGGGGGCTAAAGTAGTCCTCACAGGGCCTATTTCAACCCATAACAAAAATGTATGGGAACTAAATTGGTAATCTTGTAAATTTTAGGGCTTAAATGGCCCCTTGCAAAGAGTCACCGGATCATTTTGACAATTATATCAATTTTTATAAAAAGAAAAGTGCAATAAAACAAAGCCTTAGAAACAGATCTTAAAAGCCACATACCTCAGCCTGATCATGAACATATCGTACCAAGAAGGCGCAGCTACAAACCCTATTATCATGAATTCTTCGCTCAATCGAAACAACGTGCGCATCAAAGTGGTAAGCAGTTTCATCTTTCTCCTACAAGAAAGATTGAGAAATTTAAGAGAAGGGGCATGTACATACATGCCACCCAATTCCCTATGTTTTTACATATCTAACTACTAAAAGGTTATTTTTTACATTTATCACTCAAATCTTTCATATCACATCAAAAATACCATCAGCTTAACTTTAAAAAAAAAAATGAAATGCAACATTTCATGCATAAACAAGGTGGTTAACACGTAAAAAATTGATGTTTAGGTGTTAAATATTTTAATACAAAGGAAAATAGTGGTATATATGTAAATCTTCCTTCGGAGAAATGGTTTAATAAATTACTCGAAAACAGAGAAGAATGTCTCCTTCATTAACCCTCCAGCATTCAGAAGCCTCCATAGGTATGGATCGATCTCTAACAGCCTTGGTGGCGTTGACCCACTCGTCTTCCTCAGGGCCAAAGCCAAGGAAACTCACACGAACTTCCTAGAATGGAGAAATTCTCAGAAAGTAGAAACATATTGCTGCGTTGAAGAAGAATATGGTGAGAATAATGAAACGGTGCTCTGGTTTTGCTTCATTGATGTTTTACAAGGTATGGTATTTGAAAATTTTTTCATGAATTTGAACAATTAAGCATTTGTTCGAGCGTGCAATCATGCATCTGGAGCATAAAGATTACTAAAAAAAAGTGCTCGGCGATTAATTGGATTGATCGTGACAAAAATGATGGCCAATGATTGAGACATCATGTCAATTTGGTTCGAAAAGCACCGCTTGCATGAAAAAGACTCGAACGTTGGTTATACATAAAAAGAAACAATGTTGATGCATCCGAAATGTAGAAAGTTCTAGAACCCACTAATTATTAAAATCGACACACAAGAAAAGTAAAAAAAAAAAATTACTCATGCAAGAGGCCACAAAACAAATTCAATGCAATTGAACAACGAACATGCACGAAAAAAGGAGTTAATATGCATATTCTAAAAAAAAAAGGTTATATTCAGTAATGTTGGGCATCTCGATTTCTCCCTTCTAAGGTTATATCCAAAGGCAAGTGGCGCTACGTCTGTAGCTCATTCCCGAGAAAATACTTATGCTCAACTTCCCATACTCTACAACCATCCCCTCACTGTCGGAACCACCGGACAGCACTCCTGCAATCTTCCTGGTCTTTTTGCAACACCAGCCACCAACCACCACTTTCTCCACCTGTTGTCATCCTTTCCAGCCACCTCCCACCTTGTTTCCACTCATCCTAGCCGCCCATCTTCGCATGTTGCCACATATTCCTCTAAGTGTCGCTTGTGCAGAATCGAAGTCAAACCAAGGCATTAAGGTGATTGCACGCATAGTCTACTTGAAGTTGAGGCCTACCAACATAAGATATTGGCCAGGAGGAGGGAGAAACTTTCACCGTGATAATTTTGACCTTATGAGGTGATTGCACCCATCGGGGCAGTGTTCTACCGTTTGAAGTTACCACCATCTTCCGCACTACACCCGGTTTTTCATGTATCACAGTTGAGACATGCCATTGGAGATCATACACCCTCATTTACACTACTGCCAATGTTGATGGAGGACGGGAGTGATTCTGAAGTTGCTAGAAATCGAAGAAGTGTGTCGGGGAGTAGGGGAAAAAGGAGATATTGGTTAAGTGAAAATGATTATTCAACTATGAAGTTACACGGGAGCTTGACGAGGTGAACCACAAGCAGTTTCTATCCTTTCACGTTGAGGACAAGATATTTCTTTGAGAGGGGAGTACTGTTACGCCTATTAGGAGATCATTCCCTCCTGGACCGGTCGAGATCCCCTCAACCTGCCCGCCACAACAACAGGAGGGCAGGTCTGTTGCGCTTGAAGGAAAGAAGTGGCATTTTGTCGAGGCCGAAGAAGGTATGGAGATGTTGGGGTCCACAATGGCCTTAATTACATACTCAAGGAGAAGAAACTAAAAAAGTTAGAAGGGAAAGTTGGAAATATTGTGGGAGGATTCTATTAAGGGGGGACTTAGGGTTTATTCTTTTTGGGGGATGCATGTTTTTGGGCTGTTGTGTCTTTTCTTTTTCATGTGGTGTTTCTAGTGACGTCCAGGGTTGTGGGAGAGCCGATATATCTCTAGAATAGTAGATCATTCTCGTATCTCGCTTGTTTTCCTTTATTTTTAGTAAGAGCAGCCCTCGTTCGATTTTTCCACCTATCTATTCATGTTTCGCTGTCATTTGCTCGCTGATTTTGGGTCTTGAGGAGTATCAAAAACATGCAACTTTGTACATGAAGTTTTAAAACTTTAGATATGGACAAGTTGCAAGAAAGAAAAGTGAAGGCTAATCTCGATGGGTTCCCAAACAGAAAGAATCAGAAGGCACATCTGTTTAATAGCGACTCAATGAGCCCAAAAAATTAAATATATTGCACACATTTAGCGCCAAATGCCTTATTGAAGATATTGCACACATTTAGGGCCAAATGCAAGGCATTAAATTTTTTTTTTTGCAGCATAATCTTGAAACTTAATTTAAACTTTAATGGAAGTGTTTTAAATACATACTTTTTTGCATTAGGAAAACGATAGAAGCAAGGTAGATCAAATCAAATTACCAAAAAAGCGTCTAACAAAATGTAAATAGTATATCTAAACGGATTCACTAAAAACAATCGACGTAATTGAAGAAATTGGAAAAAAGTTAGGGAAATTTACATACATAGCACACAGTTCTTATGTATTTACATATCTCACACCTAAACTTTCATTTATATACACAGCACTTTGGTGTTTTAAACCTATGCATGAAAAGTTGTATTTTACTTTTAAAAGTGGTAATAGTAATATTTTTTATTTGATATTAAAGAATTGAGAACTATGCGTGTAAATATCGAAGTTTAGGTGTGAGATATGTAAAAAGAATTGTGTGCTGCGTATGTAAATGCCCCAAAAAGCTAACATAAAATTGAACCAGGTGGGGGATTGCATGAAAATGACAGAAAAGATGGAAAATTTACAAAGGAAGAGCTCAGATGTCAGGGATATTTCTTACAACTTCTCCAGAAGTGAGAACTCTATGCGCAAGAAATGTAGAGACGTCATACCTACAGGGGCAAAAACTGAATCATTGCTATGGTAAAAAATAACACTAGTTTAAGGATATTCAAATCATTATTTTCCATAAGCATGCTTTCTTATAAGAATAGCTGGTAATTATTTGCCTTGAAACACTAAGGGGTAGTTTGGAATCACTTCTGTTTTTATTTTCTATTTTTTTGTTTTTATTTTGATTTGAAAAACAATATGTTTGGCTATTTTGCTATGCAGTGATAGTAGTAAAATATAAATATGCTTTCTAATAAATACTAGTGAATATTTAACTAATATATAGAAGTGCATATGTTGAAGAAAACATAAAATTGATGTTTATTATGTTCCATAGAGTCGTCTTCTAATGTAGGCAACCCGCACAAATATGATATGCATTTCAAACAAAATTAACGGGAATAACTTAAATATTAGGTCTTGATGACTTACATGCCTTCACACTTGAACAGTTAGATGGAGTTCAAAATTTTGAGTTTCCTTTAGGGCAAGCATCATTAGTAAATCATTTTAAATATTGACAAACATTAAATTTTCCATAAAGTTATTTATGAATTTGTAGATTTAAAAACAATGTACCAAAACAATTTTAATCTTAGGTTGATTCATTGGGACAATTTTATTTGATATTTCCTCAATGGTTAAATTATTAAATTCTTCAAATAAGTTGTCAACATCAATAAACATGATCTATTCAGTTACATTAAGGAATATAAAAGTTCATGTTCAGATATAATCACATGTTTAATTTTAATTTAAAACTTAAATTCTAACTCATTTAATTATAGGTTTAGGTCCATACTAATATAAGCAAATGCATATTCAATAAAAGTAGCTTTAAAAAATAATTCAACTATTAATATTTTTAACATTTAATACATCATTAAAAAATATTCATGAAATAAATCAAATTTAACCATGTCTCATGCTGGTATGAATTGAAAACACTAAAAAAATGCAATATTCCTTACAAAAAAGTAGTTCTAATAATTATTAATATAAATAACTTTGTGTAAAGCCTTAAATAGTCTTTTTTTATTAAGTGTAGTTTGATTCATCATTAATTTCTTGTCTAATACCTTTAATGAAACAGATAACAGTAACATAATAATAATAAATCGTATAATATGCTTGGCTAAAGTACATTTAAACCTTACATAATATTCATGCACTCCATAGTCATTCAATTTAAGGTTCTTAAATTGATCATACAGTTAATCCATATATTCAATGAATGGTTTATATTGTTCTAAGTTGAAATTTCATAATAGTACAGATAAACACTGTTGTCCAGCCTCTCCACCCATTCCAACCACCTCGTTGCCGCTCCTATCTACATTAACAATGTTGTCCGGCCTTCCCACATCCCCAGCCACCTTGCCGCCCTTCTACTGCAGTTGTCTGTGCTGTTTTGGTCTCTTCCCAGCCTGTTGAATCCCTTTCCGAGCATTTGTACCTATTGTCCACTACAACAGCCCATTCCTCCACATCAGGCAGCCCCATTACAGCCCTTAGGAGGGAGGTCCCAGCCCTTGACAACCTTTTTCCTACAGCCACCCTCGCTGTCCTGCCCACCTACCAACCACCAAACCTCTTCCAAACTGACCTCGCAGCCAACAACCCTTCTACCCACACCATGTTACCGACGCCACTCCACCCTCGGATCTTCCCTTCTGACCCTAGTCAGATCTTGGTTAATTATTGAGTTTTTAATTTCTGTTTCTGTCATTTTGTAACTCTAACTCAGTATCAATAAGAGTTTGTTTTATGTTTTCTGTTGAATTTCCTACTAGTTTAGATAATATTTGGTATCAGAGCTAGCCTAACCCTAGTCTTATCCTAGGGTTTTCTAGCATCTGCTCCTACCCAAACCACCCCTGCCAAAATTTTCCTTTCAAATTCCCTAACCTCCACCAAGAATTTGACCTAACCCTAATTAACCCTTGCTGATTTTCAAAATCAACAACAACAAACTAAATTTTCTACACCATTAATAAGTCTCCTACACCCTCTTTCACCTCCCAACCCTAAACCCTAGCCATGCCACCAACAAGAAATATGCCCGAGCATTCCCGGGAGGAGATACGGAGATAGATCTACTAACTTCAGCGGCGGCTATCGGACAAGATGAAATCTAACGGAAGATTACCCTCAATCATGATCTAGAGAGTCGAATAGGAGAATAAGAGAATGTGAAAATAAATTGGAAGACGCAACGACAGTTCATGTCAGCTTACTATAAACAAAATCAGACTTTAGCTTCAAAAGTGGAGAGACCACCTCACCAAGCGACCCCCTTGTCTCACTGGCAGAGTTCGACCTCAGAATTTATAGCCAAAATACCCCAAGAGAGCATTCAAGATGACCCTGTCAGCGAAAAAACAAATTCAAAATGAAGAACAGGTGAAACCAATTCACATCTCTAGATCAGTCACGACCAGAAAGTGTAGCAAGTGTCACGAATTTGAGCATGTTGAATCAGAATGCACAACCAAGGAATATATTTGTTTCACTGAGCAGGGCAATTTTGAAAAATTGGGTAATGACATAATATCCCCTGAGGACAAGGAGGACCAGCTTCCAGTTAAAGAAATAAACGGTGATCCGAAAAAAGATGCAGACTTCAGAGAGGATCCTCAATTGTCAGTCAACCAGGAAGAGACAACCAATTACAGTTGGCCCCAAGATAGAGATTTCAACTGAGGAAACAGTGGTCGTTCTGGAAGGTAGTGACATTAATGTAACGGGCATTCAAGCAAAGTATGAAACTGTCCTACCTCAAGCTAACGTTTCGAAAGCGTTGAGAGTAACATCAGTAGGACTGCATGGGAGATCCAAAAAGGGCATGAGTTTGAGGATTCGATCACAGATACAGGACCACCACAGACAAGAGAATTACAGATTTTTTAGATGTATAAATCCCTTCCTAAGTTACCTCTATGGAAGGAGGTCCAACATGCAAGAAATGGGGCCATTTTGTGTCATGTTGGGAATATTACGTGGGGTTATTCCAATTTTATATTCAATCTAGCATGATACCCATCGTCTAATGTCCAGTGGAGAGGTGAATACTAGCTTTGTAATATGCCCAAGGAACTTAATGAAGACGAAAACTCGTCAATGGAATCCAGGTCCTATCAATGAAGAAGTCTCTTGAGGGGGTGTTAATGAGAGGGTGGTGCAGTTTGGTACAAATTTCACTAATAATTCATTTCTCCTCTCATAGCAGTTCCTCGGCTGCACTCCGCCAATTACCAGGAGAAGAAAAAGTAGGTTACCCCCGAATAGCTTGATACCTGAGCCGTGAGAATACTCGTCAACCTACAATTCCAGCTCAAGTCGTACCAAATGTGGGCGGATACCTATTCTACCAAAATGTGTTTTAGAACAACAACGCATATAAGATCGATCTCTTGTAAAAAACGACGGCAATAAAGCGAAAAAACTGAATCGAGAAAAATGCAAAACATAAAAGCACAGTGGAAACACACAGATTTACATGGTTCGTTGCCTACGTCCACGGAGCTACAGAGGATTTTATTAACTTGAGAAATACACTCGTCGATCACCTCGACGATTACAAGAAAACACCCTTTTTCTCTCCCTCTCTCTCCTCCCCTTCTCTCTCTCTCTCTCTAAACCGAGAGTCACACCAAGAACAAAGAAGAATCCAAAGGGAAAAACAAAGAGCAATCCAATTTCTTTTATTCCCGTAAGCAAGCCATAGAAGCTTCTTACTTTATCTTTCCTTCTCTCTCCTACCTGAAAGCTACAGAAGAAAGGAAGAATAAAGGGGGAAAAAAAGCCAAGCCTCTTTTTCTCTGTTGCCTGCCCGTAAGCCCACATGCATACAGCAAAACCGTGAAAGGGAGAAGATCTCAGCTGAGCTTATAAAGCCATCCAAATTTTGGCCAAGAAAGGTAAGCCATATCTTGCGAATCCAGGTATTGGCGGGAGATTAAAGGCAGCAAGCGGGATCTAGTTGGGCGGGCAACAAAAGGAGAAAGGTGTGAATACTAGGAAGGTTTTCATTAGGAAGCAAATACATGATTTCCATAAATGCAAACCACCAGAGCAGGAGGTTGGACCGAGCTCCACCTACCCAACACGATCTGTTGGGGGACTACAATATCTCAATCATGCTCAACATCATCGACCTGACAAAGTACTACGAGAACCCTAAAGCTTCAACAAATGAAATCGAAATTCCCCCAGCCCAAGGAGACTGGCGCGGGGCATCACACACTAATGCAGTACGCAAGACTTCCTGCACTGACGCAGCTTCCCAGTGCGGGAATTCTCACTGCTTCCAGAGTGAACCCAGACCGAGTGGACTGGGGTGGGAATTTGACAGGGCGGGACTGCCGCCCACCACCCTCCTCCTTCCTTTTCTGCTTTTCTTTCATGCAGGAGCTATTTTTTGTGGTGTTTAGAGTTTAGGGTTAGAATTTGATATATTTTACTTTCAGGTTTTTGGTGTGGCGAGTTTTCCTTATTCTAGAGTTGTATTCGAAGAGGCGGTGGTGCTCCGGTTGTATCATATTCTAAGGTGGTGTTGCATTTTACTCAATCTTCTTCCCGAAATCTTCTTCTCCCTTTCCCTCAGCCGCCGACCACCCTAGACCCTTGCTCCCCGTTCGGTCGCCCCTGCAACTATCTTTCCACTTTTCGTTCAGCTTCCCCACCCGTTTTAACGACCTTGCCGCTGCTCCTATCTACATTAACATTGTTGTCCAGCCTTCCCACCATCCCACCATCCCCAGCCACCTTGCCCGCCCTTCTATTGCAGTTGTCTCTGCAATCCCGGTCACTTCCCAGCCTGTCAAACCCCTTTCCCAACATTCCTACCTGTTGTCCACTACTCCAGCCCCTTCCTCCACATATGGCAGCCCCATTACAGCCCTTAGAAGGGTGGTCCCATCCCTTCGGATTACTTAACAGCCTCTGACAAACCTTTCCCTAAAACCAACATTGTTGTAAGCCCACCTATCGGCCACCAAACCTCTTCCTAACCGACCTCGCAGCCACCAACCCTCACCACATTATCAACGCCACTCCGCTGTCAGATCTTCTCTTCCGTCCCTAGTCGAATCTTGGTTTGTTATTGTTTTTCACTTTATATTTGTGTCGTGTTGTAACCCTAACTCATTATCAATAAAAGTTTGCTTTGCGTTTTCCGTTGAATTTCCTACTAGTTTTGGTATCACCATTTAAAAGATTTTAACATAGATATGCACTTTTTATCACATCAAAATGTATAAAATGGTATATAACAGCAACATATATACTTGATTATGCATCATACTTTAGTAAAAAAATCTTAACACAAGAATTCTATAGAAATACTATACGTTTATTTTGAACAAATGATCACATAAAAATTCAATAGACTTACTAATATGATGCTCAATATGAAGAATCATCTACTCAAATACATATAACAGGTCAGTAAAGCTATGGGGATTGACAAACATTAGGCCTAAAGATAATTTGCACCCTAAAGTAAAAATCGAGTATCTCACAGCAATTATAGGATTGTTCTCCTGATAAATTTTCTTATTTGTCTCTCCGAAGTCTTGTTCTTTTGTAAACAACCTAATAATGACAATTTTTTCATTTTATAATAATTCTTTAATTAGCAATACTGTTATAACTATTTTTTCAATTTATAATAATTCTCAAATTAGCAACACTATTATAACTCAAATAACTTTAAAATGATATTTTTACCTAAAAAAACTCGCCTCGATAAGCCTTTCAACCTACAACAAAAAAACCAAACTTATTTTTTTGTGGAAAATGCAAAAAAAACTGGATTTTGATTTTTAGCAGCGAATCCTTGTTTCATGTTTCAATTTTTTCCCTATTCTTTCTTGTCCCTTTTCTGTTTCTCAGTTTTGACCACTGGTATATGGGAAAAACAAGGCAAATAGAATGGCTTAAATATAATGCTTAGATTTTAAGGTTAATATTTTTATGTTAATGTATCAATATATTAGTGATTAATTATATCTGTTAACCTTGTCCAAATTTATCACAGCCACATGTTTCTGTCGGCGTTTAAAAAGGGGGGAGTTACGTGAGGAAGTCAAACTAATTCTAGAGGACATTAATTCTCGTTGCAGTGAATTTATTTAAAACCTTAGGACAAATACTTTAATTAATAGATTAATTATAAATACTTATATACTCATTTATACATATATATTTTTAAATATGTTAAAATGATCGTAATAAATTATATAATTTTATTAAAACACAGCTGATCATTTTCGAGAAATGTAAAAATGGGTATAAATTTTAAGAGAAATTTTAATCTAATCTTTGTAAAATTTTTGGATTTTACAATTCTCCTCCGCTTATAAGAATTTCTTCCTGGAAATTCATTTCCTGGACGATCATTCCAACAGCTATGAGAACCTTCATTTCAAATAATGCTCTCTAAATTGCTCCTTTTTCTGATCAAATCCTCGGGTTCACCTTCACATAAACAATCTATTAATTTCACAATTTTTTATCATCAAATTTCAATATGTTTTCAGGTTCTTCAATATAAGTCAAATCTTTCTTCGCCTCAATTTCATAGTGTGATATTTTGTGATTCATATTTGTTACAAATTTTCTCAGCATTGACTCATGAAAAATCATTCTTTCAATCTACTTATTTAGTGATAAATGCATAAGCATGTTTAAAAAATTACGGAGTATGCATCCGATTCCTTTTTGTGATGTGAACCTTGGTCTTTTCAAAAATTTTAAATTTATTCTCAATTACCATGTGAGAAATTAGATTTTGATAGTGCTCATATTACTATTTGAACGAAAGAAGTATATTTGATGCTTTTGCCTTCAAGATGACAAGTTTTTGTTAAATTTAGAATTGATGATCTATGACTTGTGACTTTTTCGTTTTCATTATACATCTCATACTAAATTTGCATTAGTGAATCCTAAACCCTTCGACATTCTACATCACAGTCACCTGCTGCAAGACCCAACTGGCAACAAAATGCTGGAAAAGATTCATTCAAAGGAGCAAGTCATATTTCTCTCTTTTGTCGATTTATTATTGTCTATTAAAATGGTTATGTTAGACGAAAGAAATGGTAATGAAATTAGAGAAATGTTGAGGGACGGAACAGTGAAACTTGAAAAGGATAAAGATATCATAACTGCTAGTCCCAAACCTAATAAATCACCAATTAACAAATCCAAAAAAAAAAGGGATGGTGCTTATATAGTTTCTCAAATCAGTAAGGTTGAAAAGTTATATAACTGCATTTAATAGCCCATACATTTTAAACCAAACAAACAAATTCACAAAATGAACAAGAAACTACACGGAGAGAGGAAAAAATAAATCGGCAAAATTAAGTCTAAATAAAATCTTAAAATCCAAGTTTAGAAGACTAACCATGCTTGATCTCTGTAGGACTTTGCCTCAAATTCCATTACAAATCCTTCAGAAATCTCATCGCAATCATCTAGCAAAATGTTAATGAAAATGAACTTTATACGTGGCAAAATGACATAAAAGGATAAATTAAGAACACAACTAAGCACGAACAATATGGCCAATATTCCTTAGTGAATAGCATACATCAATGATAATTGTATATGGTCATCACCATCACCATTATCCTAATCAATTAGTAAAGTATTATGGTAAATGGTAATTATGGTAATTAATCAAGCTTAAGATAATGCTCGATTTTAGAATTTGACGTATGAAAGACAAAAGTAGCACAGATATTTTCAAGGCACGCAAAATCATTAATCTGCATAATAGTTTCAAGCAAATACAAAGTGGGATCATTTACATACATACCACCCAATTCTTATGTATTTAAAATTCAATACCTGTGACGCAGGGCTTTGGGGAGGACCGGCTTAGGGTTAGGTCCAGCTTGGCTGGACCGGCCGGTCCTCAAGGGCTGCCGACCCCCTTTTTTTGTCATTTCCTTTCCTTCCTTTCCTTTTCTTTCTAGTACCTTCTATAATAAATCCCTTCCAAATTTGAAATCTGATTATCTTTATTGAAATCAGAAGTCTTTCCTTTCCAAATTTGAATTTCCCTCACTTATTTAATCTTTGCCTATTTTGAATTCTTCCTATTATAAACATTACCTAAATTATAAATTCTTATTATTTTCATTTTCTTCCTTGTTTTAAAACATTGCATAAAATAAATTATAAACCTTATTACAAATAAGAGGTGGTATGCTTGAAGTTTTTCAGTTTTGAGTTATGAGATTTTTGAATTCAGATTGTCGTCGTCGGCATTGTTCCCTTCAAGGGTTGTAACTGAAGATAAGAAAGTGCTTCGATTGTCCCTCGTCCTAGGTGGTGACCGTTTCCAAGAGTCTGAGTGGTGCTCCGACGACGAGTCATTTATCTTACCATGCTTTCGTTTCCCTGTTGCCATTTCAAAAACTAGCCACCGCAACCCCCTCTTCCACTGTTGTCAGCCACCTTCCTGCTCCCGTCCAGCCACCACAGCCCCTCTTCCACTGTTGTCAGCTTTACTTCTTCCCTCAGGACTACTTCCAATTGTTTTCTACCTCGTCGATCACCTACCAACAGCCCTTCCAGCTTTTCCCTGCCCCTGGTCGTCCCTCCTAGTAGCCCGCCAGCCTTGCTACCCCCTCCGGTCCCCTTCCAACAGACCACCGGTAGGGCTGTCAAAGCAGCTCGTTGTTCGCGAACAGCTCGTGTTCGGTTCGTTAAGAAACTCCTGTTCAGCTCGTTCACTAAGTTAACGAGCCGAACACAAACAACATGAACAAATATTTGTTCGTTCGTGTTCGGCTCGAAATACTATTAATCAATTATATATATATATATATATCTTTGAGGAGTAGTACTTTTAAAAAATTTAATTGACTGCAAGGCTACAAAGATTTATAATCAATTAAAAAATTTAGATTCAAATGATGTTTTAAATCTTGCTCCAACCCTTAACATCTTATGACTACGTGATTAGGGTTGTCAAAACGACTCTTTGTTCGTAAATGACTCGTGTTCGGCTTGCTAAGCAAACGAGCCGAACACAAACACACTTTTTGAGCTCGAAATATACACGAGCTAAGTCTGGGCTCGCTCGTGTTCAGCTCGTTTACCCCCCTAACCGCCGGTCCTCTCCAACACTTTCTGGCCACCTGTCCGACTCCTCCTAGCAGCCACCAGCCTTCCTGACCTTTTACCCGCGGCCGCCAACACCGTTGTTCCAACCTCGCCCTACCGTACCCGTCAAAGAGGGTTGTTTATGTTTTATGTTATTGCTTTTCATTTAAATTCAGCAATCCCCATTGTCGTTTACTGTTTACCTGTGTTATCTTATGTCTTGTTGAAGGTTGTCATTGTAACCTTGTGGCATCCTGTAATGATGGTTGCAATTTTTGAGTCATGGTTTGGGTTTCATCCGGTATCAACATGTTCTTCGCCTATTACATTTATACAACCCAAACCTTTCGTATCACATAAAAAACACCGCTATTTTAACATTTACAAAAATGAAATACACTTTTTCATGCCTAAAAAAGATGACAAATATGTAAAAATTGAAGTTTAGGTGTTAGATATATAAATACACAAGAATTGAGTGGTATGTCAGTAAATCTTCCTACAAAGTGATAGCCATGTATGCGCAAATTGTGGACAGATATACAATCAAAAAACTTTGAAAATTGATGATCAAATCAGCAAACAAAAATGAAGTGCTATTTTAAGATAATCAACAGTAACAATAGAGGTAATAATAGTCATGCATGTGCAAATTGTGGACAGATAAACAATCAAACAACTTCGAAAATTGATGATGATCAAATCAACAAACAAGAATGAAGTGCTATTTTAAGATAATCAACAGTAACAATAGAGGTAATGATGTATGATACCGAAAGAGTAGTTTGACTCTTTAGTTTTAGATAGACTCCACAATTAAATTACAAAAATATTTACAAAAGATAGTCAGAATGATGTGAAAGCGATCAATTCTATGTAGGACTTCTTGCTTGTAGGTGTGCTTCAGTGCTCATAATTATATATTGGGCCATTTATATACATACCACCCAATTCCCAAGTATTTACATATCTCACAGCTAAACTTTACATTTTACATTTTATCACCCAAATCTTTCATATTACCCCACGTAGTGGGATTAAGGCTTTGTTGTTGTTGTTGTTGTACCCAAATCTTTCATATCATATCAAAAATACCACTGGTTTAACTTTTAACATTTTCGAATTGAGTGGTATGCCGATAAATCTTACTACAAAGTGATAGCCATGTATGCACAAATTGTGGACAGATATACAATCAAAACAACTTTGAAAATTGATGAGTAAATCAGCAAACAAAAATGAAGTGCTATTTTAAGATAATCAACAGTAACAATAGAGGTAATAATGTATGATACCGAAAAAGTAGTTTGACTCTCCAGTTTTAGATAGACTCCACAATTAAATTGCAGAAATATTTATAAAAGGTAGTCAGAATGATGTGAAAGTAATCAATTCTATGTAGGACTTCTTGCTTGTAGGTGTGCTTCAGTGCTCATAATTATATATTGGTGCATCTATATACATACCACTCAATTCCCAAGTATTTACATATCTCACACCTAAACTTTACTTTTTTCATTTATCACCTAAATCTTTCATATCATATCAAAAATACCACTGGTTTAACTTTAAAAAAGTGAAATACAACTTTTCATGCATAAGTAAGATGGCATATAAGTAAGATGGATATAAGAATTGAGAGCTAAAAATGCAAATCGTATATATTTGATATAAAACTTCAGTGATGAAAAGTCCAAAAACTCCTTGCCTAGTTTCTACTCCTTAACTATTTCTATTTTTCATTTTTTTCAAAAAAAATACTAGAAATTTCGAAATATAGAATGTGATACAAACATCAATATGGCAACAAGCATTACAAACAATGAGTCCATGACTCTGCTATTGGATTAAACACCTTCAGGAAAATCAAAACATTGAACAGCATTATTTGGCATGTTTTCATCCCCAGCAGGATCCATTTCTTTTGAAGAACTGGATGATGAAATATCCTCAATTTTCTCAATATGTTGCCTGTTCAGGAACCATCTTTGTATCTGATATCAAACAAGAGAAGAAACATCACCCGGAAAATTTAAGAAAGAATAAGAGTTTATAAGAGATTACCTGCTGCGCCTGTATGGCTTTCTTTTCAGCTCGATCTTTAGCACTATAACAAGTAATTGACAAATTAAAAAAATTATAGCTTATGTATATCATGATCATTCATGAAAGTTCATTAGAGCTCAGAAAATGAAATAAGTTGTATTCACTTTTACTATTTTTGCCTCGCAAAACTTTAAGAAAATATCCGCTTGAATAAGGAAGCTAAGAAGAACTGAAGATAACATGGGGCTCACTTAAATTCATCAGCGAGTTTTTGGTGAAATTTTGGATCCGACAGTTCATCTTTACCCTCCCGGAGCAACATCTCCATATGTCTAACCTGTTAGAAAGTGATTCAAATAATTAAGAAATTAACTGAGATAATAGAGGACTGAAAGTGCTTCATGTCTCAGCCATGTTAGCGCATTAGAAAAATAAGGTATACTACTAAACATGAAACAAACCAATAAATTTACTCATAATTTGATGAATCAGAAATATTAGCTCCAAACTTGTGTAAGAGCAAAAAAATCATGAATTTTACAGTTAATAAAAAACTATATCTAGAAGTACAAAATCTATGGCACTCACCAATGTAAGGATGATGACTCAAAATGAGAGATTTTGAGATAAATGAAGGGAAAAAAAGGGCAACGATAACCATTCAGAATGTCCTCTGATAACAACTTTCAGGGCTCAAACTCATTAATGGAATGAGATAAAACTGGTGTTAAGAGTCATGGTAAAAATACATCAAATTAGAGGAGAATAGGAACTACTAAATTTACTTCTAAAAACTGTAAGAAACATAAGACAAGCAATTGAAATATTTTTTTAAGAAACACCACTTGGACAATGCCGTGCTCATATCCTACTCTAAAAGATTAGGATGTCATGCTCGTGGCCTTCTCTAGCTTCCCATGACCACAACCACATTTTTCTGCTTATATGACATTGTTTTCTTTATATCGGGATGTTACAATGAGTTTGAGCCCGCCAAATAATTTGAAGACTTAGTAATTTATTATTTATTATTGTGGGGTCTAAATAGGGCTAATATTCAGGGTTAGGGCATGCATGAGATCGTGGTATTCAGTCTTAGGCTAACGGTTTAGGAGGGATCGCCTACCATGCAAATTGTAGCTGTTGGGAGAGATCACTTACCTCTCGAATTGTAGATGCTTAACTTTATACATTTGAGTTGTGTTGTTTTGTGTTAGTGAAGAAACATATTTTGGTTGTTGATCCCGATGTTTTTTTATATGTAAGGATTTATGAAGTTAACACCACTACTTGAAAATTTTAATCCCCGATAATGACGTCAAAAACTTAATCCCAAATTTGATTCTAAATAAAGTAAGATTTTAATTACATTTTTAAATAGTAGGGATTCTATGCAAGTATATATATCGTTATCAAGTAATATAGGGTTTTCTGATTAAGCACCGAATATCGATCCCAAGGAGATCGAGGTTAATCACGATGGCTTTCAAGAGAAGTTCTAGTCTAGAATAACACGCCCTAGCTTGGAAGGTTGATAAATGTTTGGTTTTGATTATATCCTACAATTATCACTACAATACTACTAATCCTAAACTAAAATACTTAGTGAAAATCAGAAAGTGGAGTATAATATATTAAAAGTACCCTTCCTCATGCCATGAAATTAGTGACATTTGTAAAAGTAAAACAAGTAGTGAGAGTGATTGTGACAAATATGAGCAATTATATTCTTTACCCTTACTAGAGATGTTATAAAGAACATTGATTAATCTAAACTTTGAATAGTTTTGAAGACGGACTAAGCAGTGAAGATACTAGCTCTCACTCTATAGTTCTTTCTTATCCCTCCACCTAAAGGCTACATCTCGCATCAAAACCTAAAACAATAGACCAAATTATGGGGTTTTAGCCTGTCACTCTAAAATCCTCTAATTCTACACCCATTAAAGATTATTTTCCTATTTATTTGCACTCAACTACCACAGTTGATTGAGACAACACCATCACGGATCTTATATGTTCTCACAACAGATTTTAACATGCAAGTTGATCAAGTTTACATGTAAATGAAGAACAAAGTAAAATCATCACAATATATTTTCACTACTTAATTTTATATCCTACACATGCATACTAATTTATTACAAGAAATAAGAGTAAAGAAAACTATTCACTACACATGGAGAAACAACGAGAACTTTTTATTAAACAAGACTATGAAACCATACAAACAAAGTACTAAAGTCAAATCAAAATACAATGAAAATACTTCTCTGATGGAAATCAAGCTCTCCTTGTAAAGCAAAAGTAATCTCCATACAATCCTCTCCAAGAACAAAGTGAAAAGAAAAGAAGAAATCTCTCACTCTCTCTATTTCTCTCTCACCTTGTCGCCCTCCTTGGGGCTCATGCCCAAGCTTTCTTCTTCTTCTCCAAGTTTTCTTCTCCTCTTTCAATTAGTTCAAGAGTCCAAGAGTCATTTTAAAAACATTTCCAAGCCTTATTTATAATTTCTCAAGAGATGCTTAAGTGTCTCTTCAAAAGTGTCCATATTCAATGAATCTTTCAAAAGGTGTCTCAAGTGACTCTTCATAGTCTTCAAAAACATTCATATAATCGCCCCAAATCCGTCTAAAAAGTCTCTTTTATCATTTCTAATGAATTCCCCAAGAGACACACGAAACACCGCTTCAAAAATCGTCCAAATCCGATAATATTCAAGAAGATATGCTGAAAACCGTTTTTGGCGCTTAAGCACCGATTTTGGGCGCTTAAACGCCCTCCTCTCTGTCGGGTGGAGCCTAAGCGTCATTTTGGGCGCTTAAGCACCGGGCACAGGCACTTAAGTGCCCGGGTTCGGCCCGGTTTCGGCCCCCATGACTCCAGTGTGCCCCGGTTCGACCCAATTTGCTCTGGTTTGCTCCATTTTGGTCAATTTTTGCTCTTTTTGCTTTTGCTCTAATCACTCCAAATTATTCAATTTAATATACCTACAACCAAAAACACAAGAAAATATACTTTTAAAGTGCAATATCATTATAAAATATAGTTTGGAAAATAGTACATTTTCAGGCACATCAACTTGTTACCCTAATTTATGTGAAAAAATCGACTTAGTTTGTATCAAATAGGTATCACAGCAATTGATCACTGGGAAACAAAGATGTGATTGCAGCATACAAAAATCCTGCATCAATACAGTCGAGAGCTAGCTGAGAAGCCAACGATAGGATCGCGCCCATACAGAGGTTTCGCGCCAAACCTAGCGATCAGAATCGTGCAGAAATTCTGCGCTGATACAGTTGTGGAAGTCAATGAAGAGATCGCAGGATGTGGCGACTTATCATCATGACTACACCTCGTGAGACAATCGCAATTCAAGCTAGTTGGGTAGCAAGGACGGGATCGCGGCTTACAAAGCGTTACATTGGTGACTAACCCACATGAAACTGTCGCGATTTGAATTAGTTGGGAAGCCAGAGACAGAGTGGAGGCTTACAATCTAGGAAGCAACAAGATTGCGGCTTACAACCTCATGTTCCAATTGAGAATTGGGCAATGATTGGATAACAGCATACAGGAGTTTTGCTTCTGTGATAAAAAAGCTCCCCTCCATGAATGAGAGCAACCCTTCCATGATAGAGAAACGCTCGTCCATTTCAAATATGATTTGACTCAACTCTACCAAATTTCTCCTCTAGAATGCATACTTTTTTGCCGCCATTACTCTCAAAAAAATATTCGATCACAAAGACAAAACTCTTTAATGCCACAATCTCGTTGTTGGCTTCTCGACTAGCTTGAATCGAGACTATATCGTAATATTAGCTCATTGTAAGCCACGAACTAGTTCTTTGCGCCCAAATCGGTCAGATCAAGCCTTGCTCTGTACGCCGCAATCCCTCTTCCCAATCGAGACTGTATCGTGGGTCGGCTTCTGTCACGCATCCTTTGTACGATGCAATTTTGACTTGCTTCCCTATAAATGTAGCATCCCATCCAGCTCTAATCGTGATTGTATCACGATCCTAAGTGTTCCTGCTAGACTATATCACAAAAGCGTATGTCGTGATCTCGAGTGTATTAAAGATGTAGAAGTTGTGATCCTTCTCTACTTCCTAGAATCGAAGACTCTTATACCAATTTGATACAAATCAAAACCAAAATCAGTAAACAAATTGCAAAAATTACGTGAAAACCCAAATTAATGCTAATTTGATTAATCTCCAAGTAAATAAACAAGAACTCTAAACAACACACTCTAATGCATAAAAGATAAACGCCTACAATTTGAGAGGTGGGTGATCTCTCCTAAACCCTAACCCTAACACCTACAATTTGAGAGATAGTTGATCTCTCCCAAACCCTAACCCTAATACTTAAGTCAACAATCTCATCATAACCCAACCATAAATATATTAAGTCCTATTTACACACCCCAATACTAGCTAACAAATAACTAAATTGTCCTTTTAGCCTTGCGCCTAAAATAATTCTTCAAATTACTTGGCGGGCTCGGCGCCAATGTTAATAATTTGGTCGGCATCAACTTCTAAGATAAAGCCAATGAATGCATCGAGCACGTTATCATTGCTTCTGAAAATTGGGCTAGAACTTTGATGATCGGAAATTCATATAAATTTGCAAAGTTAAAACTTAATGATATATGAGGTTGAGCTTGAGTGAGAACATCAGAAGAAGAGAATCAAATAACAGCTGCCCCTATATTGTTCTAAATCATGAGAGATCGAAATTTCAGGAAAGTAAAAATTCCAAAGTTTGCAGCAATATTTGCTGGCAATATTGCTGGCAATGAGCTCAAAGGTGTAACACATTAGTTAGAAACAAAATGATAAATCTCAAGATGCCGGATTTGGGTGTTCACCTTCCTAACTATATATATATACATGTGTGTGTGTGTGTTGGCAATGAGGAACCTGATCAAATATGAAGAGATTATCTACAGAGAAAGGATTGATAAAATTCACATCATGAATGAATCAGTGAATGATGCAATTGATAACAATACATGACATCTCAAAGCATGGGATTCACATATAAACTTACGAGGAGATGCACATATAAACACATTCGAATACGGATGTTGACTTCTGCAATTTAATTTTGAGTTCATTTTCAAGACTAGTTTGAATTTCTCTCGATAGTTTAAGACACGGTATGATTTTATGCACTGTTTCAATTTCAATTTCGAACCACTTTCTAATTATAGTTCAACTAAAGGCTCAAATTCATTAATAATTCTAACATAAGTGGAAGTTCAAGTTCAACAAGATCAAATTCAATATTATATCTTCAAATCATTTTTGGATATAATAC